AACTACTGTTTGAAATTCAATACAACTTCATACAGTTGTCAAGGACATTAAAAGGAAGTGCAGTGCACAAGAGCCATAACTCCATTTTGACAAAATAAAGAGTTACTGCCCTTTGATACTTTTCCTTGTCCGGAGCATAACTTAAAACGTACTGGTTGGAATTCAAAACAACTTCATACAATGGTCAAGCACAATAAGAGGAAGTGCAGTGCACAAGAACTATAACTCCATCTTCAGTATTTATAGAGTTATTGCCCTTTGTTTCTTTTCCTTGTCTTTCTGGACTTATTACAGAGTAATTCAAAAAATCTTCATCAATAGCCAACCACATTGAAAGGAAATGCAACATACAAGAACCACAACTCTATATTTCAATTCTTTTACAAGGTATTCTGTTACTAGTAATATCTTCATTTCTGAAGCAGTTTTGTGGGGGTATTAATCATATTTAGTGATAGTTCTAGTTATATATGGTATTAATCAATTATCAAATGACAGTCATGTAATCCGCAAGAACAGTTGATTAATATTAATAGGGTTTAATACGTTTATTGATATTTAACTAAATGTATATTGATTTATGATTAACTGGCTCATCTCAGCATTTATTTATGATTCATTAATTTAGTAATCCATTTATTTATGATTCATTGACATTTGACATAAATAATCAATATTAAATTTTCATTTATAATTCACTGTTTCATATTAAAGTGTTTTATATTTATAATTAACCAACTCAATCAGCCATTTATTTCTGATTTATTTACTTAGTAAACCTTTTATTTATGGTTTATTTAGTAAGTATTCATTTAATAAACGATTTATTTATGATTCATTTAGTTATTAAACCATTTATTTATAATTCATTTAGCCTACATTTGATTGATCGACATCAATTATCTAAACAAAAAACAATATATAAACTCTGACATTGAAATTTTTATTCAATAGTCTATGATCATAGATTTTGTAATCTATGCATATTTAATTTTTGCCCAGTCATGAACAATTTCATTAGCATTTATTTAACTTTAATAGACTCATCGATCCATTAAGCCTAACAGAATCTGAGATTATATATAAATGATTGATTGTAATTATAAACCAGTTGTAAATTATTCATTGCAATGCTAATGAAAAACTCTCTTGATATGATTGTTAATTTGTACAGTATTTATATAAATAATCCATTTGCATAAATTATCATTTATGTAGATGTCGGGTCAATGATCAGCAACAATGGATTATAAAAATGTTGTTTTGTCTCATATATAGTTACTGTAGGAAACTCTGATGTTCTAAGTGTAATGCAGGCGTCTCACTGTCCAGAAATTGACACCAGATAGGCATACGAATATGGAATTTAAAATTTCGTGCGAAGATGGCCCCGAAATAGGTCAACAGCCCCTCAACAGACGATGCAAGTATGATTCCTACAGAAGGTCATGCGATCGCATCTAATCCACAAACGATTCCTACCGAAGGTCACGCGATGGCATCCATTCCACACACGAAGTCACCAGCTCAAAGATGCAAATTTTTACCAAGTAGTTTCCCCGCAGGACACTCAAAGGTCACGGGATAGGTACACAGTGTTGTATTTTGAGTATGACGCGTTCGTACGTGGTTACGAAGGCATCAAGTGACCTCCGGCTGGTATAAAACCTTCGGCCAACTGCGATAAATTTCAGTGGGAGCTAAACTACGTTTCAACTTTATTTTGGATCTTCATATTATTATCAAAAACAATTCTATTCACACGAAAATCTATGATAAAAAAGATGATTTTGATTTTGGTATAGTAAATTATCGCATTTAGATGGAGACGTACTGCATGCAACATCTTACGGGGTATATGTATCTCAGTTAATTAGATCCGCAAGAGCTTGTAGCAACATAAAGGATCTTAACAAGCGAAATTTTTTTATTACTAGCAAGCTACTCAAACACGGCTACCGCTATTATACATGTACATTTCGTTAATATTTTACAAAATTTTACAATCGTAACTTTGATTTAATTTCAAAATTCAATACTGATTTAAAAACACTTCTGCGACAAGGGATAAGCCAGCCTGATTTTTATGGGAATGTTATTTACAAACTTTGTATGATCTTGGGTCATTGTATTTTTTTTTTCTGTTGTCTTTACTTAAAATTAAACTTATTAAAAGAGGTTATGACCCTACTATTTGAAGACATACCACATGCTTAGAGTTCAACACTTTTACAGTTGGACGCTACGCTTTCCTCTTTTGATTTCATCTGACGGACCAAGAGGGAGACTCTTTGATGGACAGTTCTTAAAGCCCTTTTGGACTGAATTGCCTTAAAGTTCGTCTTCTGTCTTGCTTTGTTGGGCCCTTGTAGGTGATTTATTCTCTGTGTCCTTGCTTTGTGGGCCTATTAATTCAAAATCATTTATTTGTTTTCTTTGATTTCCTTGTCGGTTACTATTATTTCTTCTTATGTATCATTTTAGTGATTAGCCTGTCCGTGCTCTGCCTTGCGCTCTGTCCTGTTTTTGTTTGGGGTCCTCCTGGGCTCCTTGCCACTAGTTCTTGTTGCTGGGTCGTGTGGGGGTTGCGTTCATTGAACGCCGCCTTTCCTTGTTGATTTTGTTTATCATATTTGATTAAACTTTATCATGCCACCCAAGGTGGGCATGTAGGAGTTGCTCATCATGTTTTCTAAGGTGTATCAAAATTAGCAATGCTGCTGCCTTCTTTTTCTCGGTTGACTCATCATCAAAGCATGAAATTCTGCAGGAAATAAACTGAAAATAATTGTTAATTAATTGCAAATAATGGAAGCTTTTGATGTCTCTGTAGAGATGTGCAAGACTGACAGATGAGGAAGATGGTCTGAGGCTAGCCTTTTATATGTCCACCATGATAAACATGCAACGCTTGAGCCACTCAAATTTGCTTTCTTCGTCCACATCGTGGTCCCATCTCGATGACTTACCAAAATACGATGGCAACATGGCGGTATTGCAGGGGCTTCACGTAGTCGTGTACCCTTCTTTAGACAATCAGGAATCTTCTTGTTACCTTCTTAGTGTCTTCCTGAGGCGATTGCACCGATGATCACACAAAGTAAAGACGATGGCAAAAGATGCCCTCACGAATGGCCGGATGTTAGTACGATCAGATCCGAATTTCAACATTTCCTTATTCGTGTGTCCATCTGATGCCAAATTTGGGAGTGTGACGCCTGCATTAGGCTTTATAATGTGTTTTTCTAAGCTACCCCAATAATACTTGGCTACAATTTATATGTACTTCCCGTGATCGCAAAATGTGATATAAAAGCTTGCATTTTTCTGCATATACATGAAAATGTCAGAAGGAAAGAACCATATAAAGGTGCTTGGTTATTGTTGCTTTTGTTGTTGTTTTCTCAGAAAATATGACATTGGGGTGATCTAATGAAAGTGTAACATTATAAGATTACTGTTATGATTAAAATGCAATATTTGTAAAGTAACTTAATCATACAACATTTAATAGATCAATATTGCTTCAAGTTTCCTGAAATATTGCTGCACGAATAGAATAGCATTTCTTTGCAAATTTCCATGGAAAAAAAGGAAGAAATTGATTTTTAACAATATTATTGTAGTATTGGAAACCATTTGTATGACAAAAGGATAGAGGGGGGAATGATAGAACAGTGGCAGAATGCCCAAAAAGATGAATTGTGTTTCATTTTAATCAAATGGGCAGACCTTGGGATGTTTATTACTTTATTGGTTCAGTTTGCCAAATCTTGTTTGAATTAACAAGAATATAAGAGACAGGATCATCATTGAATGTGCTATTTAATTTTCAATACAGATACTGTTTTTTTTAGCACTTTACTTGCTGAATTTCCTGATAGCACGTTTCTAAATTTTTCTGTTAGGAATGTCATCAGATGAAAATAATTTGAATTTAAAAATTGGTTGACCCACAGCTAGTGTAATAGAACATGTGATCAGACTGCATAGATGAAAAGACTTGCTTGGTTTTATTTTAAGTTGCAAATGCTTTGCAGTTTTGGCTCTAGCAGCTTGTTTATCTACTACATTAAATGAGTGTCAGTCTTTTACAAATGCTTGTAGTATTTTGTTATGCTCCCCGAAAAAATTTGGGGGAGCATATAGTCGCCAGATTGTCCGTCCGTCAGTCTGTCCGTACATAAACGTACGTATGTCCTGAATTCGTGTCCGGCCGATAACTTCATTATTTGAAGTCAGATTTTACAACTATTTCACTGAAATGATCACTATATTGAGATGAGGTGTCGCGCGCAACATTTGGGTTGACCTTGCAGCAATATCGTGTCCCGCCCATAACTTCGTTATTTGAAGTCTGATTTTACAACTATTTCACAGAAATGATCACCATATTAAGACAGCATGACCTTGCAGCAAAATATAAATGTCCAGTAAAAGGCAGTATTTCTTTATTTCCTGTAAGTTCCCTTTATGTACTTAAACTGGTCTTCAGCTTTTCTAAAGGTTAAATATGTTATTTTATATAAATTGTTTCAAATAAATGTCAAATCAAAGGAATTTAAATGGAAAATAAAATTTTCAGCCGATAAAATACATAAACACGAAGGAAACCCCTCGATATCTCAAATCTGAAGGTTCCCTCTCTGTGTTCAAATTAGTAGGGCATTCAATTTCTTTACCGATTTTTTTTTTACTTTAGCGTTGCAAATAGCTCTCTTGATGCTGTTTTAATGAAGGCTTACAATGTTATGATGCACTTTCTAAAGATAAAATTGCTGAATTACTTAGTTTGAAACTACACAGAATTGTTTTTCCTGATAAAATAAAAGCTGAAGGCCACTTTAAAGAGTATATATCTATAAAGCCAGCCAATCATCTTTGTTTCAGATCAAAGCTGTCAGACCAAAAAAAATTTTTTTTGAAAAATGAAAATTCAAAGCACTATTACATATATCAAGTCATTTGAAAGTTAGTCTTTTTGTTCAAATATTTTTCAGGTGCACATGTGTAGAGCAAAAGTGAATGCAAGAACATGTTACTATTACAATCATCTCGATGGTATGTGTATATGTAATAAATAATTTTGAATTGTAATGTATATTTTTTTCCATTGTTGAAAATGTCACCTCAGCAGAGGGATGTGCAGAACTCATGCCACCCATATGATATCTTAAGTAGGTCAAGGTCAAATCTTAAGGTTATATGTCAGATGAGACCCAGTTGTCTCAATTTTGTGTCTAGTATATAAATCCTTTTATCCTTTAAGATTTGTCTTCAGTCTCGGGTCAAATGTTCACATCAATGTGATCGGCAGGACACATGCTGTGATTGTGCTTCGTAAAGGTCAAAGTCACACTTAGGTCAGATATCAGCCAACTCAACATCAAGGTAACATTTGAAAGTCAAATGTCAAACAATTTAATGCCTTCACTACTAGATTCTTTACATTTTGAAGGGCTTTCTTGAAACCTTTATGTTCACCTTGAAAATTAATAATAAATGAACTTAATTAAAATCCTGTGTCATAGAGATGGTGCAAAAGCTTTTAGCCAAATATGTTTATATACCATAACTACAATGCTTAGTTTTTGTGTCGCCTTGAAAAAGGCGACATACAGGGGTTACTTTTGTCAGGGGCGTTGTTGTCAGCGTCCCCTTAAGCTTGTCCGAAGCATAAGTCAGTCATTATAAGTCGGATTGACTTCAAACTTGGTATGCATGCTTCTTATAATGACCCGAAGTGCAGTGCACAAGAACTGGTACTCTGCACTTCTTAATTTTTGAGTTATTGCCCTTTGTTAATTTTCATACATTATTTTTGTCCGGGCCATTTCTCCTAATGTATAAAATCTATGGACTTGGAACTTCATAGGATGAGAGATCTCATTAAGAAGAAGTGCAGTGCACAAGAACCGGTACTCTGCATTTCTTATTTTTTGAGTTTTTGCCCTTTGTTAAATTTCTATACTTTATTTTTGTCCAGGCCATAAAAGCTATGGACTTGAAACTTCATAGGATGATAGATCTTATTGATAAGAAGTGCAGTGTACAGAATAGGGTTCGTACAGTCTTAAAAGGTGCTTAAATTTTAGTCTCTTTCTTAAAAAGTGCTTAAAAATGTAAAAAAGTGCTTAAAAGTCCTTGAATTTGATTACTCTTTTGAAAAGTGCTTAAAAAGTGCTTAAATTTGCTAAAAATGTGCTTTCACAGAATGACATAGTTTTTATAAAAATCAACGGTTAACAAAATAAAAAAAAGATCCAATTTAGTATCAAAATCAATGAAATGTTTACTCAAGGTAACAGTAAGTGGACAAATTGCAGTTGTTTTGAACATATCTGTAATTGATGCATGCACCCTTTGTTGTTCTTGTATAATGTCAGAAAATGTGTATTCAACAAAGAATGGTGAACAAACTATCCATCATAGGTTGAAGATTGTGTCGGTATATGTGCAACAAAATAATGTGCTTGTAAAATGGTAAAACGTGCTTGAATAGTGCTTAAAAAGTCCTTGAATTTTGGCATTGGATGTCTGTACGAACCCTGCAGAAACTGCTGCTCTGCATTTCTTTTCTTTTTTAAGTTCATTGCCCTTTGTTAATTTTCATATTTCATTTTTGTCCTGGCCATTTCTCCTAAACTATATTGTTCACAAGGCGACACATCCAACTCGCGGATTTCTAGTTTGTTTGTTTTTTTTTTTTCTAAAAAATACAATTCAACTTATTTACTTATGATTGTAATTGAAAAATGGTGAAAATGTTTTTATAAAGGTGGATGTTTGATGTAAAATTTGCTATTATTACACTCATCTGTTGTAAAAGATTACCAGTGCAAATGGACACATCTGTTAAAGCCAATATTGTTACCAAACATAGATTGTTTAAGATATTCTTTGTTTTAGCTGATATAATAATTTTCAACAAAAATGACAGAAAATATTAATATAGCCTGAATGAATCCTTAATTTGTGAACAATTTTGTTTCTTTTTTTAATGTCAAATTTAAATATGGAATAAAGAAAGTGAAGTGAGGCGAGTCATGTCTCATTTTATTTCATGAACATACTTTAAGTGGAAGTAAGAATGTTCATATTTAGGTGAAGTAAGTAACTTTGTATTTCATAGAGTGAAGAGTTCAAGTGAGATATACTGTAAAATCAAAAACTTTTCGTGAGGCCAAAATTTTGCAAAATCAATATTTTGGACCAACAGACCATGTTTATGATTTGGGAATTTATACTTTCAGATACATTTATATGATAATTAGATACTTAGCAAACATTTATTTTAACAAAAGTGTTCAATTAAAGCGAAATTTAATCCCTCATGAAAATGTCTGATTTTACAGCAATATAAAACTTCCTAACTTGAAACAATCACAGTGTTTTCATGCCTTATACAAATGAAAATGGTTTTAATAAAAGTGTCTTCTTTGTTATATAGATTTGAAAAAGAACTCAGAGCCGCGGGTGATGATGGGAAATGTTGTGGATATAGAAGACCTTGTTGGATATGGACAGAAGAACAAGTAAGGCCAAACAATTGATTATTTCATCCTCAATTTGGTCCTATTCCTCTATGTGTCTGTAATTTTTTAGTATAATATTTATGCCACTGCAGCATTTGCTGTGCAGTGGCATAATCACCTGTATGTGTGTGGGTGCATGTTTGACCGTGACATTGATAATGTAGTGAACTTTAAAAATCTTCTCAAAAACCACCTTGTGATTCCTTGGGTGAAGCTGCTGTTCAAAGAAATAAATTCCATACAGAACTCTGGTTGCTATGGCAACCAAAAGGAATAAAATAGGATGAAACTTAAAAAATCTGCTTCTCTAGAACCTCGAGCATAGGTATTTGGCATAAAGCATTGTTTTTTTGTTTTTTTTTAAATGCGTTTATTTAAGGTCGCCGCCGGAAAGCTCATATGGGCGACCGTACACTAAAGTCGGGCCATCTTAGAGCGTCCCGCCGAGATTTTTTCGTCGATTTGTTTCCAGCTTTATTGGTGGAGGAAGACCCCAGGTGCCCCTCCGGGCATTATTTCAGGCACGAGCGGGCACCTGGGTAGAACCACCGACCTTCCGTAAGCCAGCTGGATGGCTTCCCCACATGAAAGATTTCGACCCGAGTGAGGATCGAACCTACAGCGGTGAGGGACCTGTGATTTCAAGTCAGCGACCTTAACCACTCGGCCACGGAGGCCCCGTTAATAAAGCATTGTCTTTTGGACCTCTACTTGTATTGTTCAAATTATAGCCTCAGGGTCAAAATTGACATAGATCTGGTTTTAATGCCAAATGAATGTTAACTTTATTTTCTGTTCTTTTCAGATATCTAGATATTTATTTCAACTATTACAATATATACTTCAAAGTAGTTTCTTTCATCAGAAAATGAATTAACCTGCCTATAGATAAAAGGGATTTAAGTAGTTATTTATTGTTTTGTGCACACACATCCCCTTGCATTCATATCAGATACATGCTATTTGATGTAAGTGTCTAGGTGCATGTTGATGGGTAAAGATCAATATTTTCTCTGCTAAAGTGATCATGTACTTGGTGGTTTTCTTGTCTATTGGCTAATATTGATTATAAATGATTCAGATGTTAAATCAGTGTGATAAGTCATTCTGTTCAACCTTTCCCATATACTGTAATACATGTTTCATAAAATTGCATGAGTCTCACGTCATATTTAATAAAATTAATGTTAGTTACTGTGAATATTTTGAGAGCCTCAGGTCATCCTGAAAAAATTTTAGTTTGCTATATCTTGATTGTTGGCAATCTGTCAGGCCATCCCTAACAAATTGTTAGCATGTAAAAATTCTTAGCCATTTTATAAACAACAGTCATAAAAAAAATAATAACCTTGATCCAAATATTTTTTGTGCTTAGATTTCAGACAAGAATTTCCCTTTAAGTTCTTAATTGTTGTAAAATAGGACATAAAAATACCTTCTTAGTCTTTTGTAACAAAGTCGTTCTTTAATTCATCATCATTGACCTCTATATATGTCGAAAAGACTTGAAACAAGTTAAAATTACACCAAATTCCTTCAGGAAGCATTCTGGCTAAATATCATCTGCCAACTTGAATTGGATAGTTGAATTTGTTCAACTATTAAACACTACAGTTCTCTTAATAAGATAAAGTCAAAATTATAATTTCAATAGTTACAAAAATGAATTTCTCACCATTAAATCCCCTTTCCACCCACTTGGTTCCACCCACCCACTTAATTCCACCCACACACACTAAAAACAAACTGAAAAAAAATGTAGAAAGTAATCAATTTCTTTATAGCCTGAGTCAATGATAGCATATTAAGATTTTAAATTTTGATTTTACGCAAGTTTTACACAGAAAGTTTCATGTCAGGAAGCCATCATGCCATGTCGTAGATTAGTTTTCCCTCACTATCTCAAGTTTGAATCATCTATTCAGCAATATTGTTTTCTATTGATTGTTTTTGCAACATTTGACATTTTAGAAATACTTGATGTATTTATATGCATATATATCATAAGAGCTTAATTATGTCTCCCAAAATTTTTCCAGTTACCCCTCTGTTGTCGGTTGTCCCTCCTTCCGCATTAAGTTTGTCTGCCCTTCACAGGTCAAACTACTAGTGGGATCTCACAGGAATGATCAGTACCATCCCTAGTTGAGCACATCACCAGCACTTTCTGCTTTGCTGCACAAAATGGCCAACAGAGCTAAAAATAGAAAATTCTTGTCCGGCCATAACAGGTCAAACTACTGGTTGGATATCAACAAAACTTTACAGGAGTGATCAGTACCATCCTTAGTTGTGCATCATCACTGGCATGTTACGCTTTGCTGTACAAAATGGTCACCAGAGCTCAAAATAGAAAAATTCTTGTCCGCCCTTCACAGGTCAAACTACTGGTAAAATTTCAACCAAACTTTACTGGAGTGATCTGTACCATCCCTAGTTGAACACATAACGGGCACATTCTGCTTCGCTCCACAAAATGGCCGCCAGAGCTAAAAAATAGAAAAAATTTGTCTGGCCTTCATAGGTGAAAATACTTGTGGGATTTCAACCAAACTTTACAAGAGTGATAAATACCATCCCTAGTTGTTCACATCACCAGCATGTTCCTCTTTGCTGCACAAAATGGCCGCCGGACAAATAGAAAAGGAAAATCTTGTCCGGCTTTCACAGGTCAAGCTCATGGTGGGATTTCAATGAAACTTCACATGAGTGACCATACATAGTTTTGGGAGACATATGTTTTTGTGACAAAAACCCTTCTAGTTTTAGATAATTTTGGTGAGAAATATTTTGTCATAGTTAAACCAATATTGATAACCGCCTCCGTGGTTGAGGGGTTATGGTCAATGACTTCTAATTCAGTTACCTCTCTGGCATGGGTTCGATCCCCGGGAGATGCTTTGGTAGTTTAGCGCGGAGGAAGGTAGTCTAGTACTGGTGTAACTCTCCAAGAACGATGGTTAGGAAACTGCCCGCTTATATGACTGAAATACTGTTGGGAAAAGGCGTAAAATGAAACAGACAAACAAATAAATTAACCAATATTGTAAGAATATCATACAGTAATATATGACATTAGAACTTTACCAAAAAGTTTATAGGAATCCTCCACAGATATTTGATATTATCAAGTTTTGCCAAATTTGTACATTAATTGTTAAGATTCTATATAGTACTTTAACATTAAACAAGAAAGGTATGTTTAACCTCCAAAATTGGTAAGCATTTATTGATGAAATCTTAAACTTATACTTCTTTTAGCTTTTCAAAAATGTGTGAATGTTGGTTCAGTCAGTTATTGAATAAAAAAAGACGTATTACTGTTATTACAAGAAATGATGTGTGTTTTGTTTCAGAGTCTGTCCGTATTATATGGCACGAGAGCTGAAATCTGATGCTGATATAACCTTCATGCCATATAACTACCTTCTAGATCCCAAGGTATTTAGTCATCCTAGCTTGTTGTTTTTTTTGTAGCCCATGTCACCTTTAACCTGTATGAACTGAATGTGATTAGACTTTGTCACCAGTTTAGTCTGGTATGATGGTACACATCAGTGCAGTCTGCAGTGCACTTTATATGTTTGGTAGCCAAATTTGTATTACAGTCCGACCCCGGTTATTCAACAACCCTTTATTCGAATACCCGGCATCATCCAAAGTAGATCAGCAGTCCCGTTTTTATCTCTATATAAATCAATATAAATACGAGCGTATTATTCGAAATGCATTATCCGAATACCTCCTATTTTTCGAAGTAAAATTTCGGTCCCGATTATACAATTATGAAAGAATTTCACACCTATTATTCGAAGCCAGACTAATTGGCGCAGATCCACTCGCTGACCGGTCGACTTGTGAAAAAATATCAACAGTCATGCGTGCAATTAGACAATCGTGATAATTACACTTTGTCTGTTCTTTAATCAACTTTAATTACCGAAAATGAAAAGCTATGCACCGTGTCCGATGCACTGTTATTGCTTGAAGATGAAAGCGATAATTTTCATACATACCGTATATGTGAATTTGATAAAACATCCAAAACATTTGTTTTTCATTTATTGTCACGCTACATGAGAGTCTTTACCCTAATTGAAAATACCAGAGTTTAGCTGTAAATACCGTAGTGAGAACACGGCCATTATCAAGGCTTTGTACGAAAAGAAACGATACATGTAATGTAGAATAAAATGCAAGTATTTATGTCTTCAATGCCAACAAAATTATTTTTACACATCTTTTCTTTAATATTTATTTTTAGCTCGACTTTTCTATGAAAAGGGGAGCTATCCTACTCGCCCCGGCGTCGGCGTTGGCGTCACACCTTGGTTAAGTTTTTCGTACCACCCCACTTTATTTCAGAAGTATTACAAGTATGGCTTTGAAACTTACCATACTTGTTCACCATCATAACCTCCATCTACAGACAAGAGTACATAACTCTGTCAAGGTTTTTGACAGAATTATGGCCCTTTTTTGACTTAGAAAGTGTATTGAGCTTGGTTAAGTTTTTTGTACCACCTCACTTTATTTCAAAACCATTGGAGGTATTGCTTTGAAACTGACCATACTTGTTTACCATCACGACCTTCATCAACAGACAAGAGGACATAACTCTGTCAAGGTTTTTGACAGAATTATGCCCCTTTTTGACTTAGAAAATACATTGAATATGGGTAAAATCCACTTATTGCCTTAACCCTTTGAGATATTGCTTTGAAACTTTTAATGCTATTTCACATCATTACCCCCATCTGTACGCAAGAGAAGGTAACTCTGTCAAGGATTTGTTTTAAAAATTAAGGCCTTTTATCGACTTAGAATCTTGGTTAAGTTTTTTAGTACCAGTCCACTTTTTGACTGAACTGTTTGAGATATTAATTTGAAAAGTTGGAATACTTGTTTACAATCATGATTCCCAAACATGTCCAGGAGAAGGTAATTCTGTCAAAGATTTTATTTGAATTATGGCCCTTAACTGTCAATGTTTTGTATTATAGGCAAGCACTAAAAAACTTAAAAAATCTAAAAAAATTCATTCCTATCCACTTGTTCACTTTACCATAAATTATGTCATATAAACATTGCTGTAATATTCAAGGGTATCAAACAACTAGTTCACTTTAAAAATACAGAGATTCTTGTATTGCCTTTTACTGCAAAAACTTTTTTTATTGGCAAGCAATAAAAAAGTCGAGCGCGCTGTCTTACGGACAGCTCTTGTTCTCAATTGATTGCAGGAAGTTAGTATGTTATTAACGGTAGTTTTGCTGTGATTGGTCAAAGTGGAGTATTTTTCGTCGACCACAATATTCCGATTTCGATTATTCGAACCCATCGATTATTCGAAGTAAATTTTCAGTCCCAGGCACTTCGAATTAACGGGGTTGGACTGTATATCCATCTCATAATCATAAAATATGGTGAGGGCTATATTGACTCCACCATGTACACTCTATAAATCCTAAACTTGAACATTTATCTTCAAATTTGGCTAAAATGTCCACAAAAAAAGCTGATGTGCCCCATGCCACCCTTGTGACAGCTCTTGTTGTATTTTCATAGTGTAATCCTTTTCGATGCACTGTTTCAGATGCAAAGCTTGGCAAATTCATAATACAAATTTAGCAGATGAAGAAGTTTGCAGCTTGGCCAGACTCTGCACTGTTGGCTTTCTTTGTAATCCTAGAGTTAAACTTATACTGTTACATAATGGAACTTAGAAAAACCATTCCAGCAGAATAAAGATTACAGTTGTTAACATTTTGTTGATCAAATATTAATTGCTACTTTCAATGATTCCTTTCACAACATGTCTGCTAAACTTATATGTATAAATGTATATGATTAAATATATTGTTTGGAAGGGAAACTGGTAAAACATCTAGAGTAAAGGAATTATTATCAATACAAAATGTTGTTTAATTAACACCAGTGTTATTGTAATTTTTATTTTGATTAATCAATATGTGTGGGATTAATTTTCTCCTATTGAATGTATAAATTTCCACTCCTTTTTGTGCATGCACTTAGAATCCATTAATGGGATGAAGAAACATTAGTGTGTCTAGGGGAGGGGGAGCCTAGTAGTAAAGATGTCTGAAGTTTATAGGAGGGATCATGGGGTATATCTCTGCTAGGGTTGAAGGATGCTTCCTTATATGACACCAGTACTGGAAAGGTCAGGAAGTGGACCTTATAGTGATATATTATACCTCATTTGCATATGCTCTTCTATATTTAATATGAAGTCACCCTGTCCATAAACCGCATACAGACTGGGGGGCGGTCCATAATTGTTATGAAGACCGTTTAAACGTAACTTTCACGATGTGCGATTTCACGACGACACAAACTGTCAAAATGGCCAGGCGATTCGCCTTTTTATCAGAGACATAAATTTATTACATGTTGATCAAAAGTCATGATTTGTCTTTAATTTAAATATAAATTTTATTTATACAGTTTGTGAAATTCTTGAAGTCCGGGTTTTTTGCCTAGTAACATAAAATATTTAATTTGATTAACAAAAATGGAATATTAAAAGAAGAGCATGATTTTTTGCTGCATCGCTTGAAAATAACTAAACAAAATCCAACTAGGGTTTGAGATATTGCACACACTGAACAAGTAAAATTATTATTTGAAAGCAAATAATAGTAAAATGACAGCACAAAACAAATGGATGAAAGGATTTAGATTCGGTATAATATAACAAATAAAACATGGCCTTTCAGACAAAATGCAAGTTATCGGACTGGTTGGTCAGACCTCGGAAGGAATATGGCCCTCAGCTGCGTATACCTTCCTCAGTCTGACCAACCAGTCGGTAAACTTGCATAATGCCCTCAAGCCCATGTTTTATTTGTTAAATAGATATGCTGCAGTTGTCCTGTCCCGTGAAGTATGATTAGGTTTGATAAAGCAAGCTTATTTCAACCATTCTATGTTCCCATCCTCTTGGAACTAACAAAATATATGCCATATGATTGTAGGGCTGAAAGTCTGTGATCTACTATTCCATATTATGACAGGTGAGCTTAATAGGGCATCAGCTCTTTTGACTTCACATTGTTTATATTAAGTTGGGAAGCTTTCATTTATATATAAGACTTAAAGGTGAACTACTATTCAGAGCTTGTGTTAAACACTGTCTGCTATAGATATATTGCTTGGATTTCATTTTTCAGACTAGAAAAGCTCACGGTGTTGAATTACAAGGCAGTGTTGTGATATTTGATGAAGCTCATAATTTGGTAAGTTGAGGCCAAAAGTATGCTAAGTTGTTAGTTAAAGGGCCCCTGGTAGCCAAGTGGTTAAGGTTGCTTACTTTAAATAACATGCCCCTCAGTATTGAGGGTTCAAATCTTGTGAGAGACTGTAGGTCCTGTCATATGAGGCTGTTTCCTGGCTAGCTTACAGAAGGTGGTGGTTTTACTCAGGAGAATAAAGGGGGCAACTAAGTTCTTCCTCCAGCAGTAAAGCTGGCAAGATGCCATATGATTTCACAGTTATGACTTAAACCACAACCAAACAGACTCAGTAGAATTATCTTATATAAGTGAGAAGGTTTTGATTTGCTGGTGTAAAACTTTGATAGGAACCAGTCTCAGATAATTGTAAGCTAAGTCTAAGTCGCTTAACTCTAGTATGCATTTCTGTTTAATTATAGATTTTATGTACAAAAAAAATCTTATGCAAGTTCTGTTTCCACAAAATACTGTAAAATATTCATTTTAACCATTTTCATTTCATGGTCATAATTGGAGATCACAATAGCAAGACCAATCTGGCTTATCTATATAAATAAGTTTTCATCATGGACTTTATTTACCTCTGTTAAGTTGTATAAAATATAATTGAGAAATTACTCTTAAAGTTATCATATCTGAAGCTGATTATAAATGGTCTACAATGTTACAGAGAACCCACAGTATTTATTCATATGCATACAGATATGATTGAGTTTGTATTTTGTTTCCTGTTGCCCTTTTAAGAGACAGTCTTATCAGCTATGAGCTGGGAGTGAATTGATTTTCTCCCATATTGTGTTAGGATATGCCCACATTAAAGCTATTTTTGAACAAGTCTTCTCTTATCTGGATTTATCCAAGAATAATCTAGATCATATAATGCATTTTTACTTTGACAATTTGTTAGAATCTGTTTAATAAATGATACTTCTGTTTTTAAATGTAAGTCTATGGAAGGCCATAACTAAAATTTAGGCAAACTGTTTTCTTATTTGTTTTTTTAAGCAGTCCTTAAATCAAAGATCTTTTTTATGTTCACCTTTCTGTAGCTCATTAAATTTGGTCTGTACTATTTTTCTTTATATTTGTGCTAAAATTTAATGAAACAGTTTCTTAGAAGTATGCTTACTAATTTAGTGATGATGTTGTAAGAGAGTTTTGAAATGGTGCCCTATATGTTGGTGATTTTTATGCCCCAAATATTGGTGATTTTTATAACCCAAATAATGGTGATTTTATGCCCCAAATATTGGTGATTTTTATGCCCCAAATGTTGGTGAATTTTATACCCAATATCATTAATGCTGGTGATTTTTACACCCCAAATGTTGGGTTTGGGAATGCATATTGTCTGTCCTGCTGTCTGTTCTTACGGTTTACTTTTCTTTGCTATTTTTAAATATTCATGTTTTATTGTTCAAACAATTTTTGGAGTACATTTCTTCATAGTTTGAAAAGGATATGTTCTTAACCAACTGTGATAACTGCTGTAAATTAGCAGGTGGTTTATGTATATGTGCATAATACGAGCTCTAACAACGTTTGTTTCTTATTTCCTTTTAGGAGAAGATATGTGAAGATAGTTCATCATTTGACCTAAAGCCTGGTGACCTTGCCACAGCAATAGAAGAGGTCACAAGGTTGGCTGAGAAGATGCTTGAGATGTATAAATCAGAACAGATGTCGGAATCTCAATTTGATGACCCTTCTGCTGGTGCTGAATGTATGTATGTTAAAATAGCAGAATGCAATAACAGCCTGTTTGTTTCATATATCAAAACATACTTGTCAAAATTATATATTATTTGTGCGCAACTGTTCTTTTTAATACTAAAAAGAAAGAAATGCAGCATGAAGGAATTAGATGAATACTTTTTTATGCAAGAAGAGTGCTTATGCACTGTCTTTCAATACATTAACATTGGCAGAAGCCCTTTGGCATAATCAAGTCCCTGTCGCTGTGTGCTAGAGCTTTAAATGAATTCTCATGCCTTTACAGAGAGATGTTAATGCACAAAAAAGATGAACCCTCAATAGCTGACTAACTTCACAGTTATATTCAAAATTGTTATATAAATATAGTAAATGTGAATTGTTATAATAAGTATTTCTTTTAGCAGTCATTTAAGTTTGTAACACCTGAGATGAGATTGTGTCCTTGTAAATCACTATATGAGATGTTAGGTTTCATACTGAATGTTCTGTTAATCACCTGTTGCTTTGTTTCAGTACCTGATTTTACAGTGGATGATTTGTTAAGGCTTAAAGCTACACTTGTAGACCTTGAAGAAGAGATTGATAAAATAGATGTCCCCTATAACAGTAAAGGGATAACCAAACCTGGCATGTAAGTAACTGGCAGGGAAACTCACTCTTCTGTTTCCAAAAATGTGATCCAGAACTAGTTAATTTTATAGAATTGAATTTATTTTTAACTTCATACTTTAGTCTTTTGAAACTTGGTTGTATTAATGCTATAAATTTTAGATCTCCTTAATTTGATTTCATTTGAATTGACTGTCAAAATGGGTTTATTTGGTTAAATATCTGATAAATTGCAAAATGAAAAAAAAATGTGGTCTAGAATTCTCAAGTGAAAAAATCGAGTTAAAGGCAGCTTATTGAAAAATTGTGTGAGCTTTATGGACAATTTTTTGCATTTTGAACTAATCTTGATCATCATTATGCATTTAAATTCAAAATTTTGAGACAGAAGTTAATTAAGTAATAATCTAAAGATAATAGTCCTGTTCCCAAAACTTTCAGGGGAAACACAAGAGAGTTGTATGTTATGATATTTTGCTAGAGATTGCTTTGTTTATATGATATCCATTTTGTCAACTTTCAGGTTCATGTATGAATTGTTAGCAAAGGCAAACATTGTCTATGGGAACAAGAATATAATAGTGGACACCCTGGACAAGATTGTCAGCTATGTTACAGCAGATGGTGAGTGAAGGAAACAGAATGTATTTATATTATGAAATTGAAAGTTGTAATTAAGACTTCTTAAGCCTTATGTGTTTATTGTTTTCAATGCTAAGTAAATGTATTGAACTTGCCCTTTATTAGAATTTAGATGCATGTTATATCAAATATGAAAATGGTTAAACAGTAAAATATAGTTTTAGGTTCTGCTTCACTGAACTGTAGATTATAATGGCTTCATATTGTAGGCATAGACATATCAGTATTTCTGATAGCATTAATACAATTAAAATGAAATTCAATCTATTTAGTTAAAACATATTTATTGATGCTCAGTGGTGAAACAAGTTCTTACAACTTATTGTAATTGTTGTTGGGTCTGCTTTCTGTAAGTGACCAGTACTAGATTCATGTGAGGGAACAAGGTTATGACCAGAGTAGGGCGTTCAAACCAGGAATCCTGGGTGTGACATACCTTAACCATTGTGCCATGACACCCTTAAGCCAGCTTTTAAAAACATGCAACAATGTATTGGTCTTTTTTGTGTCGCCTTGAAAAAGGCGACATATAGGGACTACTTTTGTCGGCGGCGTCGTTGTCGGCGTCCCCTTAAGCTTGTCATTATGTGTTGGATTGACTTCAAACTTGGTATGCATGCTTCTTATAATGATCCGAAGTGCAGTGCACAAGAAGGTACTCTGCATTTCTTATTTTTAGCTCGACTATACGAAGTATATGGAGAGCTGTCCTACTCGCCCCGGCGTCGGCGTCCACGTCCGCGTCCAGATTTCAGATTAAAGTTTTGGTGCAGTAAAATATTTTTCACTATAACTTTGTCATTTCTTAAAGTATCAACTTCAAACTTCAAATATATGTTCCTTATCATCAACCACATCTTATGTGACAAGGTTCATAACTCTACTCTAGCACCAATATTTTCAGATTTATCTCCCCTTGAACTTAGAATTTTCCTTAAAAAATACTATTTTTTACTGTTACTTCTTTATTTCTTAAGGGATCAACCTCATACTTCAAATATATGTACCTTATCATCATCCCCATCTTATGTGACAAGGTTCATAACTTTAGCACAAATATTTTCAGATTTATCTCCCCTTGAACTTAGAATTTTCCTCAAAAAATACTATTTTTTACTGTTACTTCTTTATTTCTTAAGAGATCAACCTCATACTTCAAATATATGTAACTTATCATCATCCCCATCTTATGTGACAAGGTTCATAACACTAGCACCAATATTTTCAGATTTATCTCCCCTTGAACTTAGAATTTTCCTCAAAAAATACTATTTTTTACTGTTACTTCTTTATTTCTTAAGAGATCAACCTCATACTTCAAATATATGTAACTTATCATCATCCCCATCTTATGTGACAAGGTTCATAACACTAGCACCAATATTTTCAGATTTATCTCCCCTTGAACTTAGAATTTTCCTTAAAAAATACTATTTTTTACTGTTACTTATTTATTTCTAAAGGGATCAACTTCATACTTCAAATATATGTAACTTATCATCATCCACATCTTTTGTGGCAAGGATTATAACTCTAGCACTAATATTGCAAGAATTATCTCCCCATAAACTTAGATTTTTTTACTAGAAAAATGTTATTTTTTACTATAACTTTTTTAGTTTTAAAGGTATCTACCTCAAACTTCAAATACTTATTCCTTATCATCAATTACACTTTATGTGACAATGTTCGTAACTCTTGAAGCAATATTTACAGATTTATCTTTCTTTGAACTTAGGATTTTCTTTAAGAAATATTATAACTTCTTTACTTTTTAAGGTATCTACTTCAAACTTCAAATATATATTTCTTATCATTACACACATGTTGTGTGAAAGGTTCATAACTCTAGCATGACTTTTTCTAGAATTATTCCCCTTGATCTTGGAATTTATGTTAACAAATGATATTTTTTTACTATAACTTAATACATAATTATACATAATTGGTTTTTCTTTCATAGTTTTGTCCTCCTTACTGCGTCCAGTATTTTGTTAGTCGAGCTTGGCTGTCTCCTGTGACAGCTCTTGTTTGAGTTATTGCCATTTGTTAATTTTCATACTTTATTTTTGTCCGTGCCATTTCTCCTAAAGTATAAAAGCTATGGACTTGAAACTTCATAGGATGATAGATCTCATTAAGAAGAAGTGCAGTGCACAAGAACTGGTACTCTACATTTCTTATTTTTTGAGTTATTGCCCTTTGTTAATTTTCATACTTTATTTTTGTCCAGGCCATTTCTCCTAAAGTATAAAAGCTATAGACATGAAACTTCATAGGATGATAGATCTCATTAAGAAGAAGTGCAGTGCACAAGAACTGGTACTCTGCGTTTCTTATTTTTTTGAGTTATTGCCCTTTGTTAATTTTCATACTTTATTTTTGTCTAGGCCATTTCTCATAAATTATAAAAGCTTTAGACTTGAAACTGAATAGGATGATAGATCTCATTAAGAAGAAGTGCAGTGCACAGAAACTGCTGCTCTGCATTTCTTATTTTTTGAGTTATTGCTCTTTGTTGATTTTCAAATTTCTTTTTTGTCCTGGCCATTTCTCCTAAACTATATTGTTCACAAGGCGACACATCCGACTCGCGGAGTTCTAGTTGGTAAAAACTATTATCCTCAAGAATCATTCATTCTGAAACCTTTGCGTGAACTTTTCTTATTCAATATATATACATATAATATATCAGCTTTAATAATTAGTTTGTTGCACAAGATTACCAACCTACTGTTATATGTCTGAATTATATACTGTCTGTGAGACAGGGTCAGTCATTGTTAATGTACACAGATTATTATAATTATCATTTTGGTACATCTTTAATTATCACCCTGGAGTATTTATGTTACAGTCATTTTCTGACCAAAACTGGGAAAGTGAGATGTTTTTGGTGCCCTGATAATGTACAGTTGCCCTGAAAAAATTGTATAAGTGGCCTGGATATAGACTTAATGTGAAATAATAAATGGCTGCCAAGAGTTAATATCAATTTATGTATAAGTGATTGATGTGATGTCTCAGTGCATCATAATTTACATATCTCTTACATCATAAAAAATAGTTTTGGCATAAAAAAAAATATCTGAGAAAATGGTCTTGCTAGGAAGTAACATATTTTTGGTGAAAAAAGTTCTTGCTCAGACTTTTTTTATGTCTGGAAAGGTATAATAAAAAGCTTTTGCAAGAAAACTTTCTCACATTTGTGAAGGAGCTGTTGTTAATTATTTTTTGATAAAAGATAAATGGAATTTCTTTACCAGCATGTCAGAATTTTTATGCCCTTGGGCATATAATAATTGAATCATCTGTCTGCATTACTTTATAGGGAAAGGGGGCCATCTGACTGTAAACAGAACAAAACAAAACAGTTCATAGAGAAAGGCGCCATTGGCTCTATATTAAACAAAAGAAATGACCCCTTATTCCATTTCAGCCAAATGTCTGTCTGTCCATCCGTACAGACTCAAATGACATTTTGGGATGAATATCCTTGTCCATTCTGTACAGACTCGGGGTGAAATTACATGTTTTGTATGTTGCTTAAGGTTTTTTTTAGATCAATGGATCAAAGAAAAACCCATGTTGTCAACTCGGGGAGAACATCTGTCTGTCCGTACGAGGTTAGCCGAAACCGGCAAGTGGTTAAGGTCCCTGGTAACAAATTAGTTACCCCTCATTCACAATAATTTTACATCAGACAGAGTTGTTTGGGTAAAAGTATTGGTAATAAGGGTATGTCATTTGATAATTGTGTTATCAGTAACATGTTGTTTTACAGCTTCAGGAGCTGGAACTGGGTTGTCAAAGGGAGCTGGTCTCTCAAAAATTACAGACATACTCAAGGTAATCTGATTGTATTCTTTTGTAAGAAATTTTAAATCTCTCAAGTCTTTATGCTAATTTATAAGCTCATTTTGTAATCACATTAGAAGTTTGAAGTGCATTGGTCGACTATTGGCATATTGTCCAGAAGAATTTCAAATATTTATAAAAGCAATAGAAATGTATCATGTACGGGTATTCTTTTAAAATATTACTTTGAAAAGGAATGTTTTTAGAGTATTAAGTTATTATGTATGAGCATATTGATGATAATAATATTTTGTTCAAGAACAATTTTTTATCTGCCATATAAAGATAATTCATATCGGATCATGTATCTCACACTTAACAACAGTGATGTAGTAGTATAACCTAACATGGTTGTTTCCCTTACTCTGTCCTTGTTAAACAAAGTTTAAGCCTTTGAGTTTCTGTTTGTAAGTATATGATATGTGCTTGAAGATGGGATAGGAGTGTTGATGTCATATGACTCCAGATATGCCAAACCAAATGCTGTCATATACCCTTTAATTACTTTTCAAATGAAATAATTTTCAATACTTCTTTGAGCATATTAGATCTAATATGAAATAAATATCAATGTTTTTTTCATTATCATATGATATTGCATGGTTTATCTTTCAGATGCCCTGCAATAAATCACCTGTGGCCTTGTGTTTATGTAATAATGCAACTTCAATTTTGTAGTTTTATATGACATCATTATGATGTCATAACTAAAATCTGTTTCCTAATTATTCTAATATAATTGGGGCATTGTATTTTCTACAGATTATCTTTAGTCAAGATTTGGCACCAGGCAGTTCATTAATAGAACATCAGGAGAAAACAGCTAGGTCGTACAAGGTTGGTGAATTACTGCACAGTATATTAAACTACAAGCATCCTAGTTTTAGTTGTCCATATTTGAAGTTTGCACTTACCATTATCCTGCTGTATTTATTTCATTGGAACAGTTCATTTGAGAAATAAGGAATTTTGATATTGAAATACAAAACTGAGCTACAAACAGTATTGGAGTCTGGTCAGGCTTTATATTGGTGGGATTTCAACCAAACTTTAAAGGAGCTAATCTTTTTTGGTTCCAGCAGATTAAGTGATAAATTATGAAATTGTGAAATGGATTTGCCCAGCTTTGAATTTAGAACAGTTTATTCTACGTATTAGGGATTTTTATATCAAAATACAGGAATTTAACCAATTGTATAGAGTCTGGTCCGACTACATGGATATACAGACTGGCCTGGCTCTATACTGGTGGCAAACTTTAATTACATCTGGTTCCATCAGATTAAAGGTTTATCGTTAGATCATTGTATCATAGTTTGGGGACCTTTCTGTTGAAAAAGTGTCAGAGTTAAATCGTATACATATACATGCACAGTGCGGTAACTGGAGTGCAGGTATCAGTTACCCGCACTCCATATCATGCCCATTGATTGGCTCATTTTTGCTGGGGTTTACATATTGTGAAGGCAGAGAAAGGGAAAGCAGCAGAAATATCATATTCAGATGCTCGATCATTGGTTACTTTTTCCCAACAGGGAACGTGTTTTATGTTTGACTATGATACAAAAGAGAAAGAACACCAAAACACTCGGCAATCTGATTTATACTCGGGGGCTACGCCCCCTCGTACAAATCAGATAGCCTCGTGTTTCGGTGCTCTTTCTATTACATAGATATGAAATATAGTAAAGAAAAGTAAGACCAGTTTGTTAATGTTTGATAGGTAGGGGTCATTTACATTTTACATTATTACTTATTTATACTTAGTAATTTATAAGGATAATGTACTTACAAATCTGAATTCTTTAAGTAAATTCTTCAAATTCTACAAATTAAAAAAAAAATGGAAACAAATCAAAATCAAAAGATGTATGTATTCTTGACTGAGAAATGTTGCAAACTTGATATGCTTTAAAAAAATAAACATTTATGTCTGCTTAAGGTTCATTTACAAAGAGAAGACATTGGAAAGAAAAAGAAGCAAATGGATTTATGGACAAACTCCTCTGCTGCAGAGAAATCAGGTAAATTGTTGGTGATGGCAGGTGATCATTTAACATTTGTGGCAATTTTAGTTAGGAAATAGATATGCATTTTTCTTTTGTTGTAAAATCACAAAATTTAATGTCATTGACTTCAAACCACTTACCCCTCACCTCTGTGGGTTTGAGTCACATTTGAGACTTAGGATTCTTTTATGTGAGGAAGCTATCCAGCTACTTTACATAGTGTCTTTTGTACTTCTATAAAGTGAACAGAGGGACACATGAGGTATTCCTCCTACCTGTAAAACTGGAAAGAACGTTTAAGGGTAGGTGTGACTTAAAACCAAACAAAACAAAATCAGACACTCAATAATATAATTATATATATTTATTTATTTTACATGTGTGCCTTTTATTATGCATTTAAAATATAAGAATTGGCTGTAAAATTAAGTGTCTGCTAAAAACATGGAAAGTTACATATTTGTTTATTTAGGTAAAATATAAGTTTTCAGAATCGACCTAACTTTATATATTTTTACAGGGAAGACATTAAGTTACTGGTGTTTTAGTCCGGGACACAGTATGAATGACCTGAAGGCACATGGTATTAAATGTATTGTACTGACTAGTGGTACCCTATCTCCGCTCTCATCATTTACTGCAGAAATGCAGGTGTAAGTAACATAGGTAACATACTACCATTTTCAGAGTCACTGCTAAATCGCATCATATTTGAGGTGACAGGGCTGTCAATTTTGGAAAATTTTGTAGTGATACATTGAAATCCTAATATGGATGATATATGTAATAGCTAGTTCAGTGGAAATCATTGAAATAAGTAATATAAACTGTTATCATGGTGTGATATATGCTTGTTTTAATCATCACAAATACAACATACTGATAGAAATTATGTGTTGTTATTATTTCTCACTGACATCTGTAAAAATTAAATTCAGGGTTCAAGCTAGACAAGGAAAAGGAAGAAAAGTGACCTCCCTTCAGACAAAATAAAGAAAAATGTAAATAAGACGGGGAGAAATATACTTTAGAGTGAATGGATATTATAAATTACAAATGAATATAAAATCAAATGTTGAATGTCAATGTTCTATTTGTATTATGATCTTATTTGTTAAAGTCTAACAGTAAAAATGGAGTCACATACCATATCATTTTGTTTTTGACATGTTTGATATTGTGCATAATCTTAGTTAGGAACTAGAATAATCTCAGTGGCTAGGAACTAGAATAATCTCAGTGGCTAGGAACTAGCATAATATCAGTGGCTAGGAACTACCATAATATCAGTGGCTAGGAACTAGAATAATCTCAGTGGCTAGGAACTAGCATAATATCAGTGGCTAGGAACTAGCATAATCTCAGTGGCTAGGAACTAGAATAATCTCAGTGGCTAGGAACTAGAATAATCTCAGTGGCTAGGAACTAGAATAATCTCAGTGGCTAGGAACTAGCATAATCTCAGTGGCTAGGAACTAGCATAATCTCAGTGGCTAGGAACTAGAATAATCTCAGTGGCTAGGAACTAGCATAATCTCAGTGGCTAGGAACTAGAATAATCTCAGTGGCTAGGAACTAGCATAATATCAGTGGCTAGGAACTAGCATAATCTCAGTGGCTAGGAACTAGCATAATCTCAGTGACTAGGAACTAGCTCAGCATATCATGGTACTAAGCAGTTGGTAGTGCAGAAAATTAGTTGTTTGTCCTATTTACAATGAAATGCTTATTTGTGCTTTTCTAGTGTTTAACGTTCAAGAGTACACTATTTGCCCTCTGTCAATCTGTCTTTGTCTGGTGGGGTTTGATGTGTCGCTTGCAATATCAGTGACTTATTTCATAAATGAATATGTGTCTGCAATTAAAAATAACTTTTTTATGTATTCTATGATTTTTTTAACATATGGAATGAATAAGTTAAAAGTGTATTTTACACACGTAATTTGCATTATTTGATAAAGAAAATACAAATAATCACTTGTGCATTATACCTCATTTTGGCAATTTTTCAGACCATTTCCAGTACAGTTAGAGAATCCACATGTCATACAGAAACATCAAGTATGGGTGGGTACTATGAGGAAAGGTCCAGATGGTACAGTATTGAACTCAAACTTCGAAACTAGGTAAATTATATGCTTTTTCTACCTTTTTTCTGTTATATTTTGGGATTAATCTGCTGTATAATTATGAATACACGTAATCTTAAAAGTTGTACAGGTGAGCAAACATATCAAAGTAAAGATGGATTATATGTGGAATTTAAGATGTTTATTGCTTATCAAGCTATTTAAGGGGGATAAATAGTACAAGGCAAATATTTTACAAGGTATCAGTGGTTACTTACTCTGAAATACATAGATTTTATGTTGAGTGAAATCTATTCTAACTTTAACAGGAGAACATAAGTCATTGTCTTTTTCTTTTCATTTTACAGATTCAATCCTTCTTACCAGTCTTCTCTGGGAAACTGTATAGGTGTGTACAATATATTTTAATTCAGTCAACATTAGCATACTTTTATTAATATACCTTTGCCTGCTGAATTTCTTAAATGGACTTGTCCAGCTTCCAGTTAACTACATTGTATATAAACAAATAACTCTTTAACTATTGATATCTATATGATACTAATAAATAACTATATTTCTTGTTTCAGTAAACCTTGCACGGGTCACTCCCAATGGACTCCTGATATTTTATCCCTCCTATCCTGTTATGGAGAAATGTCTTGAACATTGGAAGGTGATAACATTTACACAAAGGATCTGACCAAATTAATATAAGTTGTTCTGTTTTTGTCAGTTATTTCAAATATTTGGTTACCCATGATGTGGTAGCAGCTATATTGACTTATTATATCACCAGAACTTACTGTCAACCTGGGGACTGTGGGTTCAAGCCCTACATGGGCCACAACCATGTTCCTCATATGACACTTATACTATAAAGCTCTTAATTCAGACTGACCATATTCTCAATGTACTGTTCAGTTGGGCATTTAGATTAATTTTTATGTTATGATCACTTTTAGTCACAATGAATTGTTCTAAATTCAAGTTTATCTAATTGTCATCACACAAGTTTAGCAGAGTAAAGGAATGTAAAAGTTTACTATTTTTGGTTTGAATATTTGAAGGATACTGACCAGGTGGGTGTCATCATCATCATCACACTTCTGCTCAGTTTTTGCATGCAAAAACACAGGTCCCATTACTTTGAGTTACATTTATACAGAGTTATACCCCTTTTTTGGAATAGTAAAAAGGCTTAGTCTTAGCTGAGTCATAGTTAAAGCTGTTGTCATAATAATTTAATAAACAGAATCTTCAGTGTGCATGGGACTATATGTTTAAAACATACATTATACAAAGGATTAAGTTACTGTGCACATTCTATCCTAATCTTTTCACAAAACATAAAAGCTTATTTGATGGTTTATGATTTGATAATTCTAGGTTGAAATTAAAAGTTATTTTGTATAAAAAGTCTTTGTGCTGAATGAAAGTTATTTATATTTATTATTTTATTAGGAAACAAACATATGGACAAGGATTGAACAGTACAAACAGATTTTTGTAGAGTCAAGGTCCAAAGGTGTTCTAAATGATGTAAGTTTAGTTTTAGCTCACCTGTCACAAAGTGACATGGTGAGCTTTTGTTATCGCTTTTCATCTGGCATCCGTTCGGCGTCCGTCTGTAAACTTTTACTTTAAACGACATCTTCTCATAAACCACTAAGCCAATTTCATCCAAACTTCACAGGAATGTTCCTTTGGTAGTCAACTTTAAAAATTGTTCAAAGAATTTAATTCAATGCAGAACTTGTTTTGATTATGAACTCTTCTTGCAACTGTTTTTTTAAACAGACTTTCTCATTGTCTTTTGATATTATGGTTCTGTCATGGTATTTGAAATAATGTAAAACTTTGTTGATTATTTTTCAGTTGATGAATGACTTTTACAGTAAGATCAATGACCCGTCTCTGAATGGAGCTATTTTTATAGCTGTCTGTAGAGGAAAGGTATATATATGTTTTCATATGTTGCCTATTTAACACCTAAGTGCCTATTGATTGTAAAAAAAAATGAAATTTCAAAAACAAAAATGATTCACTACTCTACATGTTACAGCTAATCTTGAACACTGAGTCTAATGGTAATCTGTCTCTTATGGCTGATTCAGAAATCATAACACATAAAATAAATAAAATCTATCAAACAAACAAGATCAAAGAAGAATTGCATTTATAGCAACAAAAAAAAGGAATGATACTTTGTATGTTTTGTGTGTGTGCTAAGGTTCCAAACACTTAGAGACAAAGAGATAGCTTGCATGTCAAATATTAGTTTTATTTCCTTGTTTAGGTTAGTGAGGGCCTGGATTTCTCTGATATAAATGGAAGGGCTGTAGTTATAACAGGTCTCCCTTACCCACCTTACCTTGACCCTAAAGTTGTCCTAAAAATGCAGTACCTTGATGAGATGAAAGGAAAACAAGGATTTCAGGTGAGTATAACTTCTGTCCTTACTATAAATATTGATGAAAATTGCTTAAAATAATATGAAACCACTGGATGAATTTTCAGAATTAGTTTTTTTTTCTATTAAATAAGGTTTGGTCTATCTTAATTTATGCTGTGTAGCAAATATTTATAATCTGCATGCTCATGATCTCTCATTTATAATCTATCCATGCTTCCACATCCTAGAGAAGAGCAGTGACTTTTAACATGGCCATCAGGAAATCCTTCAAAAAGTACTCACTGTGCAAAAACAATGCAATAGTAAAATGTTGCTAGTTTCCCCATTTAGAATGTGAGATTAAATCTATCCATATTCCGGCTTAAAGTCAAGCTTTGTCTAAAGGTTAAAACCTGGTTAATTTGCCCACAGTTTTCTTATGAAGGAAGTAAATATAACAAATGACTGGTGCATTAGTCCTTCATATTTTTCTAAAATTGTTGAAAACCTTTTATTGTTAAATTTCAAATAGTGTGGAATAATTTTACACACATAATTATTGCCCGCTTTTGAAATTTTATATTCTTTGTTTGTAAGGGTTTTTCACTGTTTGTTTAATGAATTTATATCTTGTCAAAATATTTGCAGGGGAAACATCTAGTAAGAATGTGAGTTTTTCATTATTAAAGAGGGTTATTGAATTTGCCTTCCATGTAAAACGGTTATTTCTGCATGATTTCAGAGTTTGTCAGGGAAAGAATGGTACAAACAACAAGCTTCCAGGGCTGTGAATCAGGCTATAGGCAGAGTGATTAGACATAAGGAAGACTTTGGTGCTATTATTCTCTGTGATACCAGGTAAAGCTATGTTTGTTGAATCAGGCTATAGGCAGAGTGATTAGACATAAGGAAGACTTTGGTGCTATTATTCTCTGTGATACCAGGTAAAGTTGTTATGACTTGGGATGCACAGCTGTGAGGGGCTACTCATTTTTACATATGTCATTAATACAGTCGATATTTGTTCGCTCAAACTCAGAGGGCCTGTGCAGGCGGGCGGTCAGGAAAATCTTTTCGTAACAGTTTTCTCAGCAACTACTTATCACAGCCTCTTGATATTTGGCATACAGCATTGATACATGGTCCCATACCGTGGGATTCAATTTCAGGTCTGTTGCTTATCCACTTACTGTTTACCGATTTATTTAAATTTAGTTAAATTTTCGACATTAATGGTCAATGGTAGGAAATTTTTGGGTAACAGTTCTCTCAGCAACTACTTATCACAGCCTCTTGATATTTGGCATACAGCATTGATATGTGGTCCCATACCGTGGGATTCGATTTCAGGTATGTTGCTTATTCACTTACTGTTTACCGACTAAGTTAAATTTTCGACATTTATGGTCAATGGTAGGAAATTTTGGTAACAGTTTTCTCAGCAACTTCGTATCACAGCCTCTTGATATTTGGCATACAGCATTGACACATGGTCCCATACTGTGGGATTCGATTTAAGGTCTGTTGCTCATCCACTTAGTTAAATTTTCGACATTAATGGTAGGAAATTTTCATAACAGTTTTCTCAGCAACTACTTATCACAGTCTTGATATTTGGCATACAGCATTGACACGTGGTCCCATATCGTGGGATTCAATTTTTTTGATATTTGGCATACAGCATTGACACTTGGTCCCGTATTGTGGGATTCGATTTCAGGTCTATTGCTCATCCACATCATGTTTACTGACTTAGTTAAATTTTCGACATTGATGATCAGTGGCAAATTTTTTTTCGTAACATCACAGCATCATGATATTTGGTATACAAACCCGGCCTTTCCTGTCGTTGACCAATATTTTAGAACATGCCGACCCGCAACTTTTGTTGTCTGTTTGTGGTCGACCGAAAAGGTGTGATTTACACTACATTTCTCCCAAAGGGACCAGAGGTTAGGTTCGACAGTCCGAGCGATGGGTGTTCAAGCGATCCGAGGTAGAACAATATATATTATATAGGAATTTTGCCGGGACTGGGCGATGAGTTCGAGCAAAGGGAGGTATTCGGGCGATCCGAGTTTGAGCGAACGAAGTTTCACTGTACATGTTAGTTCCAAGAATAAGACTACAGCAAAAGTTTTATGTTTTCTTTAAAATGTTTCAAAAGTTTACTGCCCTATTCATTTAAGCTATTATATATTTTAGGTTTGCCAATCCTGATGCGGTGAGACAACTACCAGTGTGGGTCAGACCTCATGTAAACAAGTATGATGCCTTTGGTCTAGCTCTCAAAGATGTGATGGTGTTCTTTAAAACAGCTGAGAAAATGGTACACCTTGATAACTCCTTGGATAGAAATAATTATTTTATGTATAATTCTTACTCTACTATTATGCTATGATATTGTAGCTGTCCAGTAGAAGTTTCATTATGAATGGTATTAAGTGTGGTCCATAATACATTTATATGAAATAAACAAATGATGGATGCTGCCTGTGATATAACTAAATAAAAGGGGGAAAGAAACAGGTTTTTATGCCCATCATTCTGTCAGTCTGTAGACATACAAAAACAGCGGAATGTAGACGCATCCATAGCCCCCCCCCCCCCCCCCATAATATCATGATAAAGTTCTAGTAACTCTGTCATTAGTAGGCATAATTTCAAATAACACAAATGTTCACAAAAATGAGACGGTGTGTTGCGCCCAAGAACCCTGCGGCTAGGTCAAGGTCATACTTAAAGGTCCAATGCAAAACAATGGTCTCAAACAGCTTGTCTGCACTATAACTTTATCACTAGCTTGTTGAGTTTCAAATAACCTGGCACAAATGATCAACATTATTAGATGGTGTGTTGTGAGCAAGGGCAAGTTCTTACTTCAAGGTCAAATGCAAATTTTGGTCTGACAGCTTGTCAGCACCAGAACTTTATCACTAGCTGTTTAAATTTCAAATAACCCAAATGTTCAACATCATGACATGGTGTATCATGCACAAGAACCATGTGGCTAGGTCAACGGTAAAGGTATTACTTTAAGGTCAAATGTAAATTAAATGGTCTCAAATAGTTTGTCTGCACCATAACTTTATCACTAGCTGGTGAAGTTTCAAATAACCTGGCACAAATGTTCAGAATCAATCATGAGATGATGTGTCCAAGCAAGAACCGTTTGACTAGGTTTAAGCAGAAAGTCAAACCTCAAGGTCAGATGTGACGGCAGGCTTGACATTTTGCCCTTGGCAACACTATAGTAAATGACAAATATAAGATTTATTTTTATCATATGATATTATGAAGACAGAAAATACAGAAGAAATTTTGTTTTGTTTTGCCAGATGCCAGCTCCGAAACCACCCAAGAGGTCAGTGTCCTCTAGTTCTCACGGTGCTTACTTTATGCCAACTATTACACGATCAGGACATGCCGGACCAAGTGGTATTCAACCAGCACATGCTGTGATGCAACATGTACCAAGCTTAAAACATAGAGGTATCAATAACTTTATTTTAATTTGAAATGCTATTTGATCTGAGATTTTCAATTGTTCAGTTACTATTTATTATAGTTTACCTTTTAACAAGTCTCTTTAGAATCTAGAGAGGGTATTCAGTTGTCATATGTATAGGTCTCTGAGATCAATTTACATGTGTCTTATTGGTGAATTGCAAATTTTAGTAGAAATGTTTAATATTAATTAAAGGAGGGAGATTAAAATATTTAGGCATACCTGTGTTCTTTCTTAATCAGATAATGTGGACCTAAAATACTCTGTGTTCCTTTTAATTATGTTATTTGTTTATCATTCTGTATTCAGTTTATTCACTTTTACACAGTGTCCTTAAAATTTTGGACTATCTGTTAGATTGCAGGTTTATTTTATCAACTGTAGATTACATGGATTTGTATGCTAGCATGGTTTTATACTGCTGGCATCTTGACAAATTATTGCCATAGCTGGCATTCAATGAATTACAGTAGATGCCCATATATGAGTGTATAGATATTCAAAAATATAAAATATGTCTTAAAGTAAAAAGAATTGCTTCATTATTTACAGTACATTTGATGATTTGTATATTTAATGCCAGATATGATTGAATTTACTTTTTTCAATTTTCATTAACAGAGTATGGGCTATTTTTGCATATTTTGATAAACTTTACTTAATTGTTGTGAATATTAAGGGTTATTAGATTCTCTTTAGGTGTGTAATTTAATTGCTTCTTTTTTATTAAACATTTTCTTCACTTTCATTAAAATTTGAATGAATCTGGAAGCACGCTGAAGTTTGATTAAGTTTGATTGTGTATATGACAGGTGAATCTGTTAGTAATGACAAGTTACGAGAACAGTATCAAAGTGCAGGGAGGTCAGCTTCATCATCATCACAGAAAAGCTTGTTTTCTGCTCTTGATCATTCAGAGGTATGTTTGTTTTATATCATTTATATGGAGATCATAACAATATGTCTTCATTTAGAAATAATGATTATGAACCTTTTATTTTATCATTGATTAACATAAGGACAGATTTAAGATCAGGAAGAAAAGTAAATGATTTTATTCAACACTATTGGCTTTTAACATATCTATGTTTTTTATCACCGAATAAATATGATAAAGTTAAACAACAATAATTTATTATCATACATATAAATCAAAAAAGCGAAACTAGTTAATATTTAAAATAGCAAAACAAAGGAGTTAGTTTTATCAGATTTTTTAGATAAAACTGGTAATGGTTTCTTTCAAAATGAAAATCTTGTTTGAGAAACGGTTGTGTGATTTAACAATACAGAACACTAAGTGTCTTTGAACTACATATCTTAAATTTTATAAAATGTGTCCATAATAAAGTTATTTTGATTTATTTATCAGAAACATCAAGAAGAAAGATTGCCTACATCACCGGTAAGATATTTCTGGTCTGTTTGTGTATCTGTATTGAATGTTGCTAAAGTCAGACAGAATTTCTAATTACAATCACATGACTTATTCAGACAGTTACATTGCAAAAATAGTTCCACTGATTTTATAAGCCTACAATGCAGTTTTGATAAACATTGGATAAATTGAAGAAATCTGGTTTATCAGGGTATAATTGAAATTATTCGGCAATTCTAAACAAGAAAGTTTATAACTCCTGAGCAATTCAAAGAAGAAAATTTATAATTTTTGTCAATTCAAACTAGAAAGTTTATAATTTTTGTCATTTCAAACTGGAACGTATATAATTTTTGTCATTTCAAACTAGAAAATTTATAATTTTTGGGCTATTCAAACAAGAAATTTTATGAATAAAGCTGAGTGGAAATTCCAGATGAGACTTCTTGTCAATAAACCACTTCTATTCTTAATTATTAAAAGATTCAAAGACAGTAGCATTACATGTACATGTATATACAAAATTAGATATATAATGAAAATAGTTTTTTTACCTGGCATGAATTTATATTTCAGCTACCATCTTTACAACAAAGCTCAACAAGTGGTGCATTAAGAAAGCAGCAAAGTAAAAAGAAAATTGTAATAAAGGTAAAACATTTCATCCTGAATACAAGAAAAATAAAATAAAAATTAAGTTAGTAGAACAACATTTACTATAGCATGGCATATCAACTTAGTTGTTGCTTAAAAATATCATATGTAGTTTAATTTGTCTGCCTGTTTAGCTCAGGAAGGAGAACATCAGATTTGCTAGTCAGCTGTGATGGGTTTGATCATTAGGCAATGCGAAATTTCTCCCTGACAATAGATCTGGGTCATAGACTCTAACTGTCTCTTACAACTGATTCAGAAATCGTTTGGATTAGTAGTAGGTTTAGTAAATACTGGTTAACTATCAATTTTGGAAGAACATCTGACAAGTTAGGGTTAAAATGTTGAAGTTGATGTAAATAAACAGATAAACAAACAGACATTTTGCAAATTTACAAAATATGTATCATTTTACAATACAATATATGGATTGGAAAACAAGCCAAACACTTGCAGTAATTCTTTTCCATAATGGAGTTTTGTCTACATAATTTCATTTAAGAAGATCAGTGCATTTTTTTATATTTCACAATTTAAAGAACAAAATTGTGAATATTCTTTTTTTTCTTTTCTTTTTTGACTTGATTCTTTTGACTAACACTACTTTAGAGTAAAGCAATGATCAATACGTTAAGTGTGTTAAGTTGAATATCTGAAGTACTGACAAAGATAAAAAAAATGAAAATAAAACACAACTCAACATGAAATAAAATGATTTTACAGGAGCTGTAAATTATATAAATGTCTATATATTATAACAGAAACGTGCCAGTGAATCAGCACCTATAATACAAGAGAGTACAGAGGTATCTTCTAAAGTTTCAATGTCACATCTGAACTCGGCTGAAAGTTATATTGCAGAGGTATATACTTAAATATTGATTCTCTTTTTTTGTTTGCCTGAAGTAATAGTAAATATTGTAGAAAGGAAAGAATGTTGAAACTAAACAGTGTTTAGAAAAGACTCTTTAATGCAGAGTTATTAACTCTTTTGTTACCTGGTACCTTTTTGGGAGTACTATATACTTGTAGTTAAAACCAATGCTTGATGACTTTATTATCTGGCATGGATAAAAATTGTTGATACTTATATATAACCAGAGACATAAGATGCTAGAACTATTGAAACTCTTCAATATTTTGTGTTATTGTTAAAATCTCCAATTTAAGGTGAAGAGCACACTAAGTGGAGATTCCTATAAGATGTTCTCACGAGCATTGGTGGAGTACAAGAAGACTGAAGATATAGATAAAGTTATAGAAGTTCTGGCTACACTCTTCACAGATGATACAGCCAAACATCATCTGTTTGCAAGTAAAACATAATAAAAGTTACATTATTGCAATATTTCATGTTACAGTGGAACCTGTCTAGTCCGAACTCGTCCGGACCAGAAGAAAAGTTTGGATTAGAAAGGTTTCCGGATTAGAAGGTTTTTTAGCTTACCTGAGCATATGCTCAGGGTGAGCTATTAGGATCACTCTTCGTCCGTCGTACGTCGTCCGTCGTACGTTGTCCGTTCACACTTTTCAAACGACATCTCCTCTGAAACCATAAGGCAGATCAAAATGAAACTTCACAGGGATGTTCCTTGTGTGAAGCCTTAACAAAGTTGTTCAAAGAATTTGATTCCATGCAGAACTCTGGTTGCCATGGCAACCAAAAGAAAAAACTTTAAACATCTTCTTCTAGAAAACCAAAAGAGCTAGAGCTTAGATATTTGGCATGAAACATCTTCTAGTGAGTGTCTACCAAGATTGTTCAAATAAAATCCCTGGGGTCAAAATTGGCCCCGCCCCAGGGGGTCATTGATTTTCCCTATATGCATATAGTAAGACTTAAAAAAAATTTCTTTTAAAGAACCCAATGAGCTAGAGCTAAGATATTAAGCATGAAACATCTTCTAAAAAGTGTCTACCAAGATTGTTCAAATAAAAGTCCTGGGGTCAAAATTGGCCCCGCCCCAAGGGGTCATTGATTTTCCCTATATGCATATAGTAAAAACTAAAAAAATCTTCTTCTAAAAAACCCAAAGAGCTAGAGCTTAGATATTAAGCATGAAACATGTTCTAATGGATGTCTACCAAGTTTGTTCAAATAAAATCCCTGGGGTCAAAATTGGCCCCGCCCCTGGGGGTCATTGATTTTCTCTATATGCATATAGTAAAAACTTAAAAAATTTTCTTTTAAAGAACCCAAAAAGCTAAAGCTAAGATATTTAGCATGAAACATCTCCTAATCGATGTCTACAAAGTTTTTTCAAATAAAAGCCCTGGGGTCAAAATTGGCCCCGCCCCAGGGGGTCATTGATTTTCCCTATATGCATATAGTAAAAACTTAAAAAAATCTTCTTTTGAAGAACCAAAAGAGCAAGAGCTAAGATATTAAGCATGAAACATGTTCTAATGAGTGTCTACCAAAATTGTTCAAATAAAAGGCCTGGGGTCAAAATTGGCCCCGCCCCAGGGGGTCATTGATTTTCCCAATATGCATATAGTAAAAACTTAAAAAAATCTTCTTTTAAAGAACCCAAAGAGCTAGAGCTACGATATTTGGCATGAAACATCTTCTAATGAGTGTCTACCAAGATTGTTCAAATAAAAGCCCTGGGGTCAAAATTGGCCCCGCCCCAGGGGGTCATTGATTTTCCTTATATGCATATAGTAAAAACTTAAAAAAATCTTCTTCTAAAAAACCCAAAGAGCTAGAGCTTAGATATATGGCATAAAACATGTTCTAATGGATGTCTACCAAGTTTGTTCAAATAAAAGCCCTGGGGTCAAAATTGGCCCCGCCCCAGGGGGTCATTGATTTTCCCTATATGCATATAGTAAAAACTTTAAAAAATCTTCTATTAAAGAACCCAAAGAGCTAAAGCTAAGATATTAAGCATGAAACATCTTCTAATAAGTGTCTACCAAGATTGTTCAAATAAAAGCCCTGGGGTCAAAATTGGCCCCGCCCCATTGGGTCATTGATTTTCCCTATATGCATATAGTAAAAACTTTAAAAAATCTTCTTCTAAAAAACCCCAAAGAGCTAGAGCTTAGATTTATTTGGTGTAAAACATGTTCTAATGGATGTCTACCAAGGTGTTCAAATAAAAGCCCTGGGGTCAAAATTGGCCCCGCCCCAGGGTTCATTGATTTTCCCTATATGCATATAGTAAAAACTTAAAAAAATCTTCTCTCTTAAAGAACCCAAAGAGCTAGAGCTAAGATATTAAGCATGAAACATCTTCTTATCAGTGTCTACCAAGTTTGTTCAAATTAAAGCCCTGGGATCAAAAAATTGGCCCGCCCCAGGGGGTCATTGATTTTCCCTATATGCATATAGTAAAAACTTTAAAAAAAATTCTTTTAAAGAACCCAAAGAGCTAGAGCTAAGATATTTAGCATAAAACATGTTCTAATGGGTGTCTACAAATTTGTTCAAATAAAAGCCCTGGGGTCAAAATTGGCCCCGTCCCAGGGGTCATTGATTTTCCCTATATACATAGAGTAAAAAGTTAAAAATCTTCTATTAAAGAACCAAAAGAGCTAGAGCTGAGATATTTAGCATGAAAACATGTTCTAATGGATGTCTACCAAGTTTGTTCAAATAAAAGCCCTTGGGTTAAAATTGGCCCTGCCAGTGGGAGGGGGGGGGGTCAAAAGTCATTGTTATTCATAATTTGTGTATAGTAAAATCTTAACATCATGAAATATCTTTTAATGGGTGTCTTCCAAGTTTGTTCAAATAAAAGCTCTTTGGTTTAAACTTGCCCGGCCCTGAGGGCCTTTGTTCAGGTGAGCGACCCCAGGGCCATCATGGCCCTCTTGTATAGGAATTGCGTCATTGTTGCTATTTATAGGAATTGCGTCATTGTTGCTATTTTTAGAAATTGCATCATTGTTGCTATTTATAGGAATTGCGTCATTGTTGCTATTTTTAGAAATTGCATCATTGTTGCTATTTTTATGGTGCCCTCACACATAAACCACGACCTTACTGCGACCTGAAAACTAGTAAAATAGCATTTTTCTTTCGAAAATCGTTGGTTTTCTTTCAAATTTCTCTCGCAGACGGTCCGGGGCTCTGCAGTCTTGTGTTCAGTACGTTTTCTCTATGTCCTCAATACGACCCTTCTACGTCCATGGCGTTTCCACTGCGACTGTATTGCGTCCCCAAGGCGACCCCACGGCGATCATCGGCGACCCAGCTGCGACTGTGCTATGTTCTCTGCGTCCTTACGGCGACTCTACGACGACTATTGCGTTTGTCCGGCGACTGTACGACGACCCTACTACGTTCTTGCTACGTCTATAAAAACAATACTTTTTACCAGTAAATTTCATTCTGAGTCTGACCTTACGGCGTCCTTAGTACGAGTGTACTACGTCTATTGCGTTCTTATTGCGTCCTTACTACGATGCTGCTGCGACTATGGCGACTCCACTGCGATCCCACGGCGACCTAACCAGGACTCAGCAAGAACGCAGAGTTTCTGCGACTGTTTTGTGCATGTTCAAAATAGTCGCCGACGGTCTGCGACCTTGTGCGTCCTTGGGTTCCTCGCTACGACCTAGCTGCGTCCCTGCTGCGTCCATGGCGACTGTGCTGCGTCCTGGGTCGTAGCAAGGTCGCAGTAAGGACGCAGTAAGGTCGCGAGGTATGTGTGAGGGCAGTTTAAGAAATTGCGTCATTTTTTCTATTTTTAGAAATTGCGTCATTGTTGCTATTTTTAGAAATTGCGTTATGTTGCTATTTTTAGAAATTATGTAATGTTTCTATTCATATATATATACGAAATATATAAACAAAACTAATGTGACAAGACAGACCAACTAAATTTATAAAAAGGAAACGTTAAGATATGTTCAAACCTTTCTATGTTTGCGTTTAGAAAAAGTAAAAAGTCGAGCGTTGCCCCTGCCCGGCGTTGGCTCTTGTTAGCTCACCTGTCACTTTGTGACAGGGTGAGCTTTTGTGATCGCTTTTCGTCCGGCGTCCGTCCGTCTGTCGTCCGTCCGTCGTCCGTAAACTTTTACTTTAAATGACATCTCCTCATAAACCACTGAGCCAATTTCATCCAAACTTCACAGGAATGTTCCTTTGGTGGTCACTTTTGAAAATTGTTCAAAGAATTTAATTCCATTCAGAACTCTGGTTGCCATGGCAACCAAAAGAAAAAACTTTAAATATCATCTTCTATAAAACCAAAAGAGCTAGAGCTTAGATATTTGGCATGAAACATCTTCTAGTAAGTGTCTACCAAGTTTGTTCAAATAAAAGCCCTGGGGTCAAAATTGGCCCCGCCCCAGGGGGTCATTGATTTTTCCTATATGCATATAGTAAAAACTTTAAAAAATCTTCTTTTAAAGAACCCAAAGAGCTAGAGCTAAGATATTTAGCATGAAACATCTTCTAATGAGTGTCTACCAAGTTTGTTCAAATAAAAGCCCTGGGGTCAAAATTGGCCCCGCCCCAGGGGGTCATTGATTTTTCCTATATGCATATAGTAAAAACTTAAAAATCTTCTTTTAAAGAACCCAAAGAGCTAGAGCTAAGATATTTAGCATGAAACATGTTCTAATAGATGTCTACCAAGTTTGTTCAAATAAGAGCCCTGGGGTCAAAATTGGCCCTGCCCCAGGGGGTCATTGATTTTCCCTATATGAATATAGTAAAAACTTAAAAATCTTCTTTTAAAGATCCCAAAATGCTAGAGCTAAGATATTTAGCAGGAAACATGTTCTAATGGGTGTCTACCAAGTTTGTTCAAATAAAAGCCCTGGGGTCAAAATTGGCCCCGCCCCGGGGGTCATTGATTTTTCCTATATGCATATAGTAAAAACTTAAAAATCTTCTTTTAAAGAACCCAAAGAGCTAGAGCTAAGATATTTGGCATGAAACATGTTCTAATGGATGTCTACCAAGTTTGTTCAAATAAGAGCCCTGAGGTCAAAATTTTCCTCGCCCTAGGGGGTCATTGATTTTCCCAATATGAATATAGAAAAAACTTAAAAATCTTCTTTTAAAGAACCCAAAGAGCTAGAGCTAAGATATATAGCATGAAACATGTTCTAATGGATGTCTACCAAGTTTGTTCAACTAAGAGCCCTGGGGTCAAAATTGGCCCCACCCCGGGGGACATTGATTTTCCTTATATGTGTATAGCAAAACTTAAAAATCTACTTGGAAATAACCCGAATAGCTAGAGTTTAGATATTAAGCATGAAACATCTTCTAGTAAGTGTCTACAAAGATTGTTCAAATAAAAGCCCTGGGGTCAAAACTGGCCCTGCCCCAGGCCCTGTCATTGTTTTTAAATACTAGTATATGTGTAAAGAAAAAACTTAAAAAATCTTTTTTTAAAAAACCCCAACAAGCTAGACCTTAGATGTTTAGCATGAAACATCTTCTAATGGGTGTCTACCAAGTTTATTCAAATAAAAGCCCTGGGGTTTAAACTTGCCCCGCTCCGGGGGGCCTATATACAGGTGAGCGACTTCAGGGCCATCATGGCCCTCTTGTTTACATGTTTGTTCATGTTATTGGCAAAACATTGTAAGACTTTAACAGTGTTGGTGTGACTTTAACCCAACAAAACAAACAATAAAATTGGAGTCTATTAAGCTAGCTTACAGAAGGTCAGTGGTTCTACTTGGTGTTTGTCTGGCCTTTGCATGTTCCTGAAATATAACATATAGGGGCACCTTTTTAGTCTCTCTCTCTCTCTCTCTCTCTCTCTCTCTCTCTCTATAAAAAGGTTAATATATGTTGCCATGTGAACAATTCATTTCTAGTTTTAATTTAAACCCAACCAAAAAATAAAAAAAGTAAAGAAGAAAACATGGCAATTAAATATTTATCACAATATGCAAATCGATGTAAACAAGTCATTTATAACATAAACTAAGCATGTACTGTTCTTTATTTAGTTATGATAAAAGACACTTTTTTTCCCCAGAATTTTACAGATTTGTAAGGGCTAAACATAAAGAGCATTTTCACATAATGTGTCAGGAACTAACTGGGTTAGCAACAGGTTATAAAGCAGAGGATACTGTAAACAAGAAAAGATTACAGGACAATATAGCCTGTCATGGTATGATTTATCTATCATTTAACTATCTACTTATGAATACATTTCAATTAAATGTTTAACACCTGTATTTCAATGATTCCTGAAAGTGATCATTCAAGTAATGTGTAGCTGTCACCATGTTGTTCAAGAATTAGTTACATGCTCACATACATTTGATAATTTCAAATACAACATCTGACAGTTGGTTAGAGAATGGGTTCATTTGCTCAGTTGTAAAGAGCATTGTTTTTAAGTTCATGTTTTTATACCCCCAAAAACGAAGTTTGGGGGGGTATATAGGAGTCACCCAGTGGTCGGTCGGTCGGTCGGTCCAGACGTCCGTTGCATTTTCCTTGTCCGGAGCATAACTTGAAAACTAATGGTTAGAATTCAATATAACTACATACAATGGTCAAGCACATTGAGAGGAAGTGCAGTGCACAAGAACCATAACTCTATCTTGACTAATTACAGAGTTATTGCCCTTTGTTACTTTTCCTTGTCCGGGGCATAACTTGAAAACTACTGGTTGGAATTCAAAACAACTTCATACAATTGTCAAACACAACAAGGGGAAGTGCAGTGCACAAGAACCATAACTCTATCTAAAGTAATTACAGAGTTATTGCCCTTTGTTGCTTTTCCATTGCTTTTTTTTTTTGTCCGTTGCATTTCCTTGTCCCTGGGATAACTTGAAGACTAATGGTTGGAATTCAATATAACTACATACAATGGTCAAGCACATTGAGAGGAAGTGCAGTGCACAAGAACCATAACTCTATCTTGACTAATTACAGAGTTATTGCCCTTTGTTACTTTTCCTTGTCTGGGGCATAACTTGAAAACTACTGGTTGGAATTCAAAACAACTTCATACAATTGTCAACACAATAAGGGGAAGTGCAGTGCACAAGAACCATAACTCTATCTTGACTAATTACAGAGTTATTGCCCTTTGTTTCTTTTCCATTGCTTTTTTTTGTCCGTTGCATAACTTCATTTCAAGCACATTTGAAGTCCGGCATATGCATAACTTGACTTATTACAGAGACTTTGTTACTTTTCCATTGCTTTCTTTTTCCGGAACTTCAATAATTGTTAACTACATCATACAATGGTCAAGCACATTGAGAGGAAGTGCAGTGCACAAGAACCATAACTCTATCTTGACTTATTACAGAGTTATTGCCCTTTGTTTCTTTTCCTTGTCCATGGCATAACTTTGAAAAACTACTGGTTGGAATTCAAAACAACTTCATACAATTGGTCAAAGCACAATAAGGGGAAGTGCAGTGCATAAGAACCATAACTCCTATCTTAAAGTAATTACAGAGTTATTGCCCTTTGTTTCTTTTCCATTGCTTTCTTTTGTCCGGACCATAACTTGAAAGACTTATTGGAATTCATATAGGACTTCATACCGGTGGTCGCACATTTGGTGGAAGTGCGGGCATATGGTCGGTCGGTCTTGACTTATTACAGAGTTACTGCCCTTTGTTACTTTTCCTTGTCCACAGCATAACTTGAAAACTAATGGTTGGAATTCAAAATAACTACATACAATGGTCAAGCACAATTAAGGGGAAGTGCAGTGCACAAGAACCATAACTCCATCTTGACTAATTACAGAGTTATTGCCCTTTGTTACTTTTCCTTGTCCAGAGCATAACTTGAAAACTACTGTTTGGAATTCAAAACAACTTCATACAATTGTCAAGGACATTAAGGGGGAAGTGCAGTGCACAAGAACCAATAACTCTATCTAAAGTAATTACAGAGTTATTGCCCTTTGACTTTTCATTGTTTCTTTTGTCGCGCCATAACTTCTAATGTGGAATTCATTTTGACAAAATACAGAGTTACTGCCCTTTGATACTTTTCCTTGTCCGGAGCATAACTTAAAACGTACTGGTTGGAATTCAAAACAACTTCATACAATGGTCAAGCACAATAAGAGGAAGTGCAGTGCACAAGAACTATAACTCTATCTTTAGTATTTATAGACTTATTGCCCTTTGTTCTTTTTCTTTGTCTTTCTGGACTTATTACAGAGTAATTCAATTAAACTTCATCAATGGCCAACCACATTCAAAGGAAATGCAACATATATGAACAACAATTATCTTTAATTGCCCACAACCATAACTCTATGTTTCAATTCTTTTACAAGGTATTCTGTTACTAGTAACATCCTCATTTCCGAAGCAGACTTGTGGGGGTATTAATCACATTTAGTGATAGTTCTAGTTGAGAGTTTGTTTTATTATATTTTACTAGTCCCTTAACATGGTTACAGTGAAGGTGCTCATACCTGCAGGCCGGTCAGTCTGGCCAGCTTGTTTACTTCTAAATTCTGACCATGTTGAATACTGCATGTTTACATTTTGTTACTTAAGTTCTTAGATATGTTTGATTTTATTGCGTTGCTTTGAATTTGGACTGTCATTAATTTCATTTTAACCATAAGAAACCCATGTGACCTTTGATTTTTGCCATATATTACGATGCTAGAGTTGTAAGAAAATTGTCATGCTCATCTGGTATATTATTTGTAATTATTCATTTGACACAGTGAAAGATTATTGTAATTTTATTTTCCAGGTATAATAGATTAATGTGTGTTCCGGCATCACTAGCTAACTGTACATTGATGGACGAATTCAACGTAGAAGGAAACAATATATCTTTATTGCCTGTAAGTTTATGTATGAGGATACCTTTAGTGAAAAATTATCATATGACAAGAAAATTTTAAATGAGGGTGCTATTTATAGCCTTCTCAGCTGTTTTGTTCCTGCCCTTGTATGATCATTTATCCATCAATAGTTTATGTTTATTGCGGGTCCATTTGTTAAGGCACAATGTAACATTTGCCTCCCAGTAGAACCTCAACTTGCCAACCATCATGCCCTTAAAGGTTTAATATTAAGAACCAAAGTAATGATAATTTACCTGCATCCAATCCTCGCCAAATATTTGCTAATAGATAAATGTTTATCCAAAAGTAGGGCACTATATGGCGATCATTTAGCATCTAAATATACAGTTACCTGGAGACAATGATGATGATAGTCCTGATAAAGGCTGTTGTTGCCTTGCCATTCAAGCCTTCGCTGTTAACTTAGGGCTCATGAATCATAATACCCATCCTCGTTCCTGCTTTCTCTGTCAGACCACTTCCCTTGGTTTCATTGAGGACATTTGGTAGCTGGTCAGCAGGATGCTAGTTTTGGTTTTCTTTTTCACTATCCCAAGGACTTAAAAACTTCTGCTGATACTCTTTTCCTATGTGCACATAATGATGGGTAGAGAAGCTCTGTATGATAATACAATAGGTCAATGCTTTAATGTTTGGCAAGATTTGCGTCCCTTTATTAAGGATAAGTTGTTCATATCTGTTGCAAAAATGTCATGCTAAATAGCTTTATGGTTTTCACAAACCAGATGTTTTGCACTTATTTTTAGAGGTAGATCTATCAAGACATTGATTTTTTTACTGTTTCTGCAGATTAATATTGACAACATGATAGTGTTTATATCAGAGTATTTAAATTGATTCCGTGTCTGTTAAAGTATTCGCATGGTCTTGAACCTAAAAAAAAATATTAAGAGGTATCCTTGAGTTGAATGTAAGTGTTTGATCATCATATTCTTAATTACCTTATAAATTTCTTAATTGTTTCCTTATTGCCCTAATTATGCAAGAAAAATGCAATATGTTAAAAAAACAACAACCCTGAATTAATGCATTAATGATTTGTTTATTAATAATCATATTTACCTTTACCCTATTAAAAAAGACGTGATGCGCCTTTAGTTTATACAGAATTAATTTTAGGGTGATAGTGAAGGAATCTATAAGCTATATACACTCTTAAATCCATTTCTAGAACCAACCAGTAAATAGCAGTTAGTCACGTAACAACGGCTTGCCCCTGACAAGCTTTGAACCCATGCAGCTAGTAAAATGTAGATTACTAGTCTGACGAGTTAACCACTTAGCTGTGCTGACATTGCCATTGGTTAGGAGGCAGGTCAGTCTGTACATCCGTGCAAGCTGATCAGTTTGTATACTGTTGTGTAAATTACTAACTATAAATCTTGATATCTCCAAAAATTGACAATTGACAGATCTGAAAACTGGAACTGGACAGTTTTTGTTTCAGTGTTAGAAGTTTTTCACTTGTATACCTGTAAGACTTAAGCATTATCAGTGAAACTATTGAGGCAAAGGCGGATAAGACTAGGATTTGTAACACTGTGGCTTTAAAGTACAAAGTATATATATTATGTTTCAGGAGGGCTTGTTGTCAAGTTTAACAAATTTGAAGTCGTTTACGGTACCTCGGAATGCGTTCCAGTCATACCCGACAGGGGGTCCGTCACAGTTTGTCTCCGTTGAGGTCAGTTATACTTCTGTATTTTGAGTGTGTTGTTTTTGTAAATGGCATGTTATACTGATGTTATTGTTTTATCATGGATAAAGATACATATTTATATGAAAATTAAGCGTCCACTTAATTGTGAAGAATTTCATTGAAGTTTTGGAGAATTACCCAGATTACTGAGGCCTTATTAAGAAAAAATGTAAGAAGCTATGTTATATAGGAAAAAAGAAAACCCAGATATTGCATATTGTTAATCTTCTTTGTCAGATATACATGTCCTTATGTTAGCTCTATTTATTATTATTATTATTATCATTTACAGTCAATCAACATGGAGCACAACCAGATTAACAAGATTCCATATGGGATATTTTCCCAGGCAAAATGTCTCTCCAAGTTAAACATGAAAGATAATCAGCTCACCTCACTACCTCTAGGTAAGTAAGAGTTATCTCTCTTACATAGTTTATATAAAGATGATGATAGACCTTTTAAGTTTAAGGAAACAGAAAGAATAATTTTTACAGTGCCTGTCCCTCTTTGTGTAATTGTCTGTCTATGAAGTTTGTACCTAAATTGCTTGTGAGTTATTCTAAATGCTGATTTTTAGGCTTTACTACATGTATTATTGCTATTTAAGTAATTGGCTGTATCTTATATTTCATGTTTGATTTGACAAATGTCACAAACGATGAAACAATGTTTTTCCTTATATGGTTTTAACAAATGGGTCTGTACATAACATAAGATTGAGTTATCTGATTGGCGGATAATATTACAAATAGTCTTGCAGCATTGATGATGATGCTGTTTCTGATTCATACCAAACTGAACACCAATGATTAGCTAGGATATCAATTTATTTCCTTGCTGTCAAAATAGTTGTAAAAACAGTGTGAATTATAGATTGATATAAGCATCCCCACAACAGTCATACCAGATTTTATAGACAGAGATTTGTGTATTTCAGATATTGGCCAGTGGACGAACATGGTGGAACTAAATCTAGGCACGAATCAGCTCACTCGTATACCAGATGATATCCAGAACTTAGAAAAATTAGAAAACCTTATACTTAGTAATAACTCATTAAAGGTAAAACAACTGTTCTATACTATAGTTTTATTACTTGTAGATATGCTATTTATATCAACTGTTAGAATTCTAAAAGGGATAATTATAATAAGCCCATGCCTCTAGTATAGATTCTGGCCAGTATGCATAAAATTATTTATGTAAGTTAGATCTTACTTTTCATGTACTTCTAACTGGTTGAATTTTAGCTTTTCTGTATTAAAAAAAATCCACTTAAACTAAAAAATTAAACATTTTATATTCAAAATGAGCAAGTCCATTATGGAAAGGTAAGTTTTAAGTCATGTGTACCTCTTTTCTGTTGGAAATTCAAGCAGCTTTGTGGAATGATGGTGGTTGCACATTGTTTTAGAATAATACATTGGTGTGGAAGAGATACCTATGGTGTTAGTTAAACCGTGACAGTTTTGATATTGGATATAGATATTTTGTCTGTATGGTTGTCATAAAAGTCTGATTGTACATTTAAACCCATTGTCATTTTAGCTGTCATTTACTTGATAAATATAAGAAATAGGTTTTGCCACTTAGGCTTTCCTAGCATTATAGTGACCAATCAGTCAGTCCACAGACACGGACCACACAGACTGAAGCACAAGGCCAAGGTCCTTTCATTCTGTGTGTCTGACTTAAAATGGAGTGTATGATAAAAAGAATCAATACTTTTGCAATCGAAGCATTTAATAAGCACTATCAAAAAGTTGAATAGTTTAGTACAATGTACTTGTAATAAATTTACCTTGATGTTCATTTTCAGAGATTACCTGCAAGCATAGGAAACTTGAAAAAACTACAAGTCCTAGATTTAGAAGAAAACAAATTAGAATCCCTCCCTCAAGAAATAGGTAAAACTTTTTGTATTTTATCTGTATGGTTTTCTATAAGTTATTAGTATACATGATTTCTAGTTAATTAAAACATTTCAATTTTTAAAACAAAGAAGGTATTTATGTTAAGTAATAAATTCATGGTAAAGAAATTTTACGTGCTGTATGGCTGCATATAAATGAATCGTTATTTTTTAGCTAGTCTGTTTCGAAAAAAGTCTATTTATGATCGCTGCAGCATTGTTGTCATCATCTTACTTAAACTTAGTTGCCCATTATTTAAACATTTTTAGAGTAAACAACATGAAATACTTGTTTTTTCAAAACAAGGTGCAGTTGTTAGACATGGAGCATAATTCAGAAAGAAATTTTTTTGGAGTTATGCCCCTTTGTAACTTAGAATTTTTCACAGATGTGTGTTAACATCATATGCTTGTTTTATGGTGTAAAATGTATAAGCTTTGTGATCTTACTTATATAATACTATGATTTTTAAGTTGCTATTTAACAAAATATAAATTGTTATTATTAGGTCAGTTACGAGAATTACGACGTCTAGTGGTTCAAACAAATCAACTTACGTCATTACCAAGAGCTATAGGGTTTGTATTTCATGTTTTGTAATTGAATGATTTATTAATAATCAGTTATGATGGCGACCTCCGTGGCTAAAGTTATAAAGGTCACTTAATCTCAGCACTGTACGTTTAAGCCCTACCAAGGAATTCTTTTTAATGTGAGAAAGCTATACAACTTGCAAACAGAAGATTGAACTGCTCAATATAGGTAACCTGTTTGTGTGGGTAAAAATGCACAATGGGGCACCTTAGGTCCTCCTTTATTAGTAAAGCTTGGAAGTTGCTTTTCATTGATAATACAGTACAATAATACATTATTTTCTTGAATTACTGTTTAGATAAATATCTTATAAAGGCATTTATTAGTTGATTTATTTAAAAAAAAAATATTGAGATTGATATGGGTATATATTTCTACATTTCAAGTATTTAAGTAATTTGATATACAAATGTATTTATATTTGTGCATTTTGAGTGTTTAAAGTAATTTGATGAATTTACATACAAGTATTTTTGTACTTTTCAGGTGTTTAAGTAATTTACAATATTTAGGTGCTGGAGAAAATCATCTCACTTCCATACCCACAGAAATAGGTATGTATAATATATATAGAATCAGAAATACATAAAATTCATTGTTAAAATACAGTGAAGGGAGGAGACTGTTTATAAATTTGTTTGGTTTGATTATTTTCATTTAGTTCATACAGTACAATGTGTTTCCTGTACATTTGAAATGCTGTTGTCTTGGTTTGAACATTTTGGTCTTCCTCTAGTATAAAAGCTTGACAGTCATCATGTGACCTTCACAGTAATGGTGCAATTTAAAACCAAAACCCAAAAAGTAAAGAAAGTAGATTGTTTGGTGATATAGATATAAATAAGTTACTTCCTTGTTTAATACTATGTGCAAACATCAATAAGATTTATGTAGTCATTTGTGTAAAATAAGATTTTTGTGTGAAATTGGATCATAAATACATTCTGTTTTTATGACATTTTACATTTATTTGTAGGTGCTCTAGAAAGTTTAGAATCGCTGTATATAAATGACAATGCAGAGTTACATTCTCTACCATATGAGCTAGCGCTGTGTTACAAATTACAAATTATGAGTATTGAAAACTGCCCCCTCAGTCAGCTACCCCCTGAAATAGTGGCACGAGGCCCCTCATTAGTGATACAGGTAATCTACATTTGAGCCATGTCACGACAAAACCAACATAATGGGTTTGAGACCAGCATGGATCCAGACCAGCCTGCGCATCCGCACAGTCTGATCAGGATCCATGCTGTTTGCTATCACTTTCTCTACTTGTTATAGGGTTTGTAAGCAAACAGCATGGATCCTGATCAGACTGCGCAGAGTCGCAGGCTGGTCTGGATCCATGCTGGTCGCAAACCCATGATGTTGGTTTTGTCATGGCACGGCTCATTTTTATTCTTTCTTTATACAAATTCCAATAAATTTAAAAATCATGATCAAAATGAAGTTGGCTATCACTATTATGTTTCATGAATTATGTTTCAAAATTGTTATTAAATAAACATTTCTAGACACAATGTATCTAGAAATGTATATTAATTTATTTTTATTGATACAAATTCATTATTTATGTCAATGATATAATTATTTAATTCCCTCTTTTTCTTAACGCATATTTTATGATGTTTTACATTTATGTACTACATTATTCTATAACATAAACTAATTTTGAACATTATGCCATAACTTGAATAGATAATAGATTGATAATTTTCTTTTCATTTTATAAGCTTTATAAGATATACTTAATGATAGCAATGTTTTCTAAATTATTATCTCCCTTTTTTCAATTTCAAAATGTGATTAAAGAAAGTATATTTTTTATCAAGAAATTATGTGCTTTATTTTCAGTTCTTAAAAATGAATGGCCAGTACTGCAACATGTGAAGCAATGGTGTTTTCCAGTAGAGGGAAAGATTGGTGTCCGTAGCAACCCAATGAACATTGTTGCTAATGGTTACAAAGTTTGTGATTAATGATGACAGTTTGAGGTGACATCCATCCAGCATTCTCACCAGCTTATTACCAGCTGGTGTCCGGTGATGTTTTTGAAGATACATCTGTGTTAAATTATCATTTTTCTTTCTGTCGCGGGAACAGAATAGTGGAATGAAATGTGATGTGATTATTATAATGATGATGATAATGATGATGCTATAGTCTGTATGCATGTGTGCCAAATAGTGCTACCTGATTGAAGATAGTAGATATTGCTATAGCAACATCAAACAATTTTGCTTCAATTCAAAGTGCAATGTTGGTGAAATATCCTTTTGTTTTTTTCTTACCCACAGCTTGGGAAGTTTGTTTGTTTGTTTTTCCACTGGGAGATTGTAGACATGTTCTTATGTCAAAAAAAAAAAATGTAAAAGTTTCAGCAGACCTGATCTATTGTGGAAAGTGGGTGTATTATTGCCTGTTTCAAGAACTGATTATAATAAATATTTAGAAATGTCTCGACAGACATACTAAACTTTTTGATTTGAAACAGACTTTATTTGTGGAAAATGGGTATGTTATAGTCTGTTTCAATCATATGATATTCCTTTATGATAAGATAATGTGTTAGATGAAAAGGACACAGAAGCGTACTGTGTATTAAACAAAATGGTATTACAGAAATGTATTATGTTGTAAAGCTGTATTTTAAGATATATGTTTTTTATTTGAAGAGCTAATATGAGATTTGTTTTCCTATATCAAGTATAGATATTGAAACTTCATTATGTCATTTTTTAGTCACGAGTTTTTATTAGATGTTCTCAACATACATGTATTTATTGTAATTCCATTTAGAGAGAAAAAAAGTATTTCTAGATAAATCTGTAAAAATGTAGACAGATACTGGTTTAGATATAAAAATATGTATTACTTTGTTTGGTTATTCCCAATAATCAGGTTATATGGAGTCTTTTTACCCTTGACTGAATTTTTTTAATGGAATTGTCCGGCTTCCATTTTTGAAAAGAAGAAAATATGAAGTTGATCAGTCAGCAGTGTAGAGCTGGTTGGACTGCATGGACTGTGCATGCTGGCCTGTCTTTATACTGGTGACAAAGACATTTCATTTAGATGTTCAGCAGGGTAAGACAGGTTAAGTATCTTGTTGTTATAGGACTAAATAAACTGATAAAATTCCTCGGGTATAATGAACACACTTAATTTATTTTTTGTCAGAATATTTTTGTGCATAATTTTTGCACCATAGACAGGGTTTAAAACTATTAAGCAAGAACTGTTGAATTTTACATTTTTGGTATTATATACCAAGAAATAATTCTTTCATTGCAAGTAAAAGATCTGTAAAATCTTCTGACATTGTTCAATTTTAACTCGACAGCATTTAGTAAGTTGTGTTGCAGAAATCTTTTTAACATCAAACGGTGGTCTTTTCTTTGATGTCATTGTATTACAGAATACAATAACTATGGGTTGTAATATTAGTGAATTTCATTTATTGAAAAGTTCTTAATTTGTACATTTGGCAAATATTTACTGAACTCAGAAAAGCATACCTTTTTTCATAGCAAGGACGGAGACATTACCTGCAGGTTTTGAGTAAAAAAAAAAATAAGATCAATGTCAAAAGAGATTTAATTGAAAATTATCATAGAATTCTATCAAGGGAGTTCTTACTGGAAAATATCGTGGACCCAGCTGGTCGTTTAAAAAGTTTTTCAATCACATTTTGAAAGAATATATCATTTCTGGTATGTCCTTCACTTGTTCTTTGATCTTTCTATCATACTTGCTTTGCATTTCTTATTGCAGCACCGTTGTTATTATTGACTTATATCTTGATATATTTAATTTGTTGCTTTCTCCCATGGCTCTCTGCTTTTGTAAAGATTTCAGGTCAAGGTCACAGAGGCTAAAAATAGAATTTCTTGTTTATTCCTCATTCCCCATACTTAAAGCTTAGTCTAAGCAACATTATGGAGTATTAAGCAATGTTGAAGATCTTCTTGTTATGTGATATGTTTAGTAGTTTAAGTTAGGTATAATGTTAAGTGTTTATTTTTAGATCATTGTGCCATATTGTTAATGATACATTATTATTTGGAATAAAGAAGAGCAATACTGATAGATGCAAATTTAATTTATAATGTCTACATACATGTGTAGTCTTGTATGGCTTAAAATTGAAAAGTGAAAAAAATGAAACTTATTACTTGAGAAATAGTTGGGATAGAAAAAATAAGATCTGGATGAAGTTTATTTGCTATAGAGTTTTGTGTCTGAAACAGAAGCCTTGATCAGCGTAACATTTTATGAAATGTTAATGTCTCTAATGAGCCAATTAAGATACGGTACTTGAAATTTCCTATCATCAAATGGAAAACATGTGAAAAATTAGATTGTTTTGATAACAAATGTTTTCAATTGAATTCAGATTTAATTAACCCAACTTATTTAAATGTAGCAAAGAATATTGATGCATGACAGTGAGTAGAAAGCTGATGCCTAATGTCAGTAGTGTTATATGATTTGTTGAAACACAATTTATACTTCAGTCCATAGTCATTCAGCCCAAAGAAGAACAAAAAGTTGAATGATGAACTATTTTAATCTTGCTAATTGTGTGCAATAAATGTGTCTGCAATTGATTTTTGAACTGTCCTTTGTAAATTCAAGTGATTTCTGGACAAAAAAGGAAAGAAGTAACAAACATCATTAAAGAATTTGGTCAGATTGCAGACTGGTTAGATTTCCATATTGTATTTTTCATTTTTTGGGCTGAAGTTTGTTGAAAATAACAGGCAATTTCAGGTTAAAAATTAGGCAAATACTTTGCTACAACCACTCCCAATCTGTAAGCCAATTTACATAATGATGCCATTTCAACTAAAGGTTAGATGCACTGCTTTTAAGACATTGTTTATTATTTATGCAAAAAAAATAGTTATTTATGTTTTTGTATGGTAAATTTTGACTTTGTTGTGAATTGTGTGGTGCTTTAGTTAGTTATTGACTAGTCTTTTATTTGTGCTCTATACAGTGGAAAACTAAACTCTGATACAGGTGATGTACTTAAATAAGTTCTCACTAGGCTGAATAATTTATATTTGCATCTTTTTAGTCCCCTACCGGTTTACCGGAGGGGACTTTAGGTTTACCCTCCGTCCGTCTGTCCCTCTGTCTGTCCGTCCGTCCGTCAGTCCGAGCAGACGAGAGCTACATTATGAGGTTTAGGTTTATGTACAGGCACTCTGTATGGGGTTCATTCCGTAGAGACATGTATTATGTGGTTAAAAATGCTCTTATGGGGTTATAAAAATTTGCTCTTGTGGGGTTAAGAGATCAAAGGAATAACCCCACAAACACGTCTGCTAAGTATGTCCGTCCGTCAGTCCGTCCGTCCACAAAACTGGATCCCGCGATAATGCAAAAAGTACTGAAAATATTTTAATGAAACTTGATATATGGATAGATGGCAGTATGGAAATTATGCACGTCTTTTTCTTTTCTTCCTATGTTGAAAATTCTGGTTGCTATGGCAACAAATAGACTGAAAATATGGCAAATTTTACACATAACCTGGATCTCGCGATAACGCAAAAAGTACTGAAAATATGTTTATGAAACTTGATATATGGATAGATGGCAGTATGGAGATTATGCACGTCTTTTTCTTTTCTTCCTATGTTGAAAATTCTGGTTGCTATGGCAACAAATAGACTGAAAATATGGCAAATTTTACACATAACCTGGATACAGTGATAACACAAAAGTACTGAAAATATGTTTATGAAACTTGACATATGGGTAGATGGCAGTATGGAAATTATGCACATTCTTTTCTTATCTTCCTATGTTGAAAATTCTGGTTGCTATGGCAACAAATAGACTGAATTTCAAGATTTCTGATTCTAGTTTTTAAGTTTTTTCACTATAAGTTCTTTATTTCTTAAGGTATTTTCTTCAAACTTTAAATATAAGTTGCTTGTCATCAACCACATCATATGTGACAAGGTTTACAACTCTAGCACAAAATTTATCAGAATTACCTCCCTTGAACTTAAAATTTTCATGAAAAAAACATTGTTTTTTTAATAACTTCTTTTTCTGAATGTATCTACTTCAAACTTCATATAAATGTTTCTTATTATCACTCAACATTTGTGAGTGTTCAATACTCTAGCAAGACTATTTCCAGAATTATGCCCCTTTTGGACTTAGACTTTTTTTGAGAAATTGGTAATTTTTACTCCAACTTCTTCAATCACGATAGGATTTTAAAAATGTTATATTTTGATAACAGGGATGTTTAAAAAATAACTTTAGAGTGTCCTTCAGTCCGTCTGTCTGTACATAAAAACTGTTTCCTGTGATCACTTTTAAAGAACTTTTTCAACAAATTTACTTAAAATAGGAATCTAAGTGAATGGCCAATGGCCCTTCAGAATGTTGCTTGGGCTCTTACCGGTAGGGGACTTATGGATTGCTTGCAATACTATGATAATTGCTTGTTAAGATAAATATTTTCTTCATTGTTTTCAATTTTATCTTAGCAATGTTAAGAGGTCCGAAAACAGTGATGTGTGCAATTATAAAGAAGGTTTTAAAAGTTATGATGGCAGAACTTGGCAAAGTATTTTCAGTATAGTAATGGACTAGATTATAAATTATGTATGAAAATAAATACAAATCACTTCATGGATTCTTTTAGAAAAAGAATTGAGACTCTATCTAGCTAGCCAAGTTTACAGTAGTTCTACTGTGGCACTTTGTCATACCTGAGGTCTTCCTCCACAATCCTCTACCAGTAAAATAGGAAAGTTGATATATATTTCATTTCCAGTATAGTATTGGTGCAACTTGAAATGGAACAGTGATAGGGTTGTCTGCCTTGGCACAAATTGCAGTGAGTAAATATCTGTTAACCTTTAAATTCCTTGCTTCATAAGATCTTAACACATTGAGTGCAGTATATGTCTAAATCTTATAGTAGTTTTAAATCGTAATGAATGACTCATATTTAATATTGACATAATCATAGGTTTATTGTTTTCATTTTCATGATTTGGTGCTTTAGAATTTGAGTCAGACTTGTGGAAAAGTTCATGAGATAAAATTGTACTATTTATTTTGTATTGTTTAAACAGAAACTAATGCTTCTAGCCCTTTTAGGGTGACCATAACTGAGCTTATTTTAATAAATGACAAGTGGCTTAGAATTTTTTCTATATTTGTTATACACACATTGCTTACTAAAGATACAATGTCTTTTTAAATCTTTTCAGTCTTTACGATGCTGCCAGATATTTTTTGGTTAGCAATTATTTAAAAAATCAACAATTTCCAGGCTTTGACTTTATAAGAAATAATAAAGTTATAAAAGAAATTCCATATAGGTAGTACATGGAGCCTAGTCAATCCTAGTGAAACCCAATTCTTCATTTTAGAATCATTGAACTGTAATATATAACCATAAGATCTCGGAAGTATTTTGTTAGAAACAATCTTTTACTAGAACTATCACAGCAGAATCTCTTGTGTACAGTGTAGCTCTAGAACTTTCTTAGACTTGATTTAAATTTTGTGCAATGTGATTTCTTGGCAAAATAAATACAAACTAATTTATCACAATATGATGTTCAGAGCCTGAGCGGTAGTGATTTATCAGTCTTAGTGATTATCAGTCTATCGGTGATTTCAGTTAATAAGCTGTTGCTTTTTTCAGGTACATTTTTAAGTGAAGGAGACTAGGAAAAAAAAAAAAAAGAGCCGCATCATGACAAAACCATTATAATGCGTTTGTGACCAGCATGGATTCAAACCAGCCTGCGCATCCGTACAGTCTGATCCATGCTGTTTGCTTACAAACTCTATAACAAGTAGAGAAACTGATAGCGAACAGCATGGATCCTCATCAGACTGCACGTTTGTGCAGGCTGGTCTGGATCCATGCTGGTCGCAAACCCATTATGTTGGTTTTGTCATGGCGCGGCTTTAATTATTAATGTTGTATTTTTGAACAGGTTGTTTGTATATTTTTCCTAAATGAGATCTAATTGAATAAAAATTTCTGAATTCTGTAAAGCAAGATATTTTAAAAATAGATTTTTGTTTTAAACAGTTTATAAAAAGTGGCAGCAAAAATAATGGTATTAGTGAACCAGCTATATTTTTTGTAAAAATCAACTTTTTTTGTAAGATTTAAACTTAATGAAAAATGACCTACAGGTATTATTTGATGTTTAAGGCGTGCACATAGATTATAGTGATTTATAGTTTTCAAAAAAAAATAGTCCTGGATCTATGTTGTAGTAATGTGATAGATTCATGAACTATATTCTTGTTACAATATTAACCTTTGACCCTTTGTTAAATTTGTGTCATCCTCATGTGCAACATTATTGTATCTGTTATTAAGTTCCTGACAGTATTTCCTATGGGTTTTTTTAGATACAATTTTGCCTTGCCTTCTGGTTCACTTAGTGACTTACTTAAAACTTCTCCATTTCTTGACTGATATCTTAAGACAATTTGCATGTTTGTTACCTCTCCCCAGGTTGAGGTTTCATTTTAAAAGGGTCAAAGTCACCAAGTCTAAATATAGATTTTCTGACCTTGTCTCTTAACGAGGTCATATTTTTAACCTTGTGATGTAGGGAAGCATTAATCAGTGTTTACAATATTTCTGTATGGATTAGGTAAATGAAGTTTGAACATTTCTTGTGCCCGGATGATGACATATTTTTATTTAGGGGTCAAGGTTATTATTACTGTTACTTAGTGTAATTTTCTAGACACTCTTATCTGGAAACACATGTTTGAATTTTGTTGTTTGTAAACTTAGTTATTGTAAATGATTGGCTTTAATTTTAGCTGGTTTTTAGTGTTGTTATTTATTATTTTTACATGATTGAATAGGTTTTGTTTTGCTTTTTATTGTTGAAAAAAAAATTTAATTATTTTTTTTTTACAGTTTTGACAAAAAAAGTGTTCATAAATTATATAGAATATTCTTCTCATGATTTTAATGGTCAAATTGTACATGTTTGTAGAATAAAATAATATACATTGTTAAATTTTTTTGTGCTAAATTGTTAAATACAGCTGTGTTTCTACTCGGCTTGTTGTTTGTTGTAAATAGTGTACAAAAAATGTCCAAATAGCATATTTGAAGTGTCCAATAAAAAACTGGCTTTACAGTTACATTTTCATTTGCTGAAGAAAAAAAAAAGACTTATGATCTATTATTTGATATTTTGACAAGTAATTTTGAAAATTTTGTCATTTTTTTCGAGACTGGATACAGTCTATAATATTTGAGACTGGTACCAGACTGTAAAATTTCAAGCTCATCCATTGGATAATATTTAGAATCGACCAATCAAATTTTACCATTTTAGGCTGATGTCATTCTGATCTTTTCTTAACCTGTAGAATTTATATAGTAGATTTGCCTTACTTTTTGATTTGGGACAGTGAGGGATTTCTGTATGGGAAAAAAATGAGTTCCCAACAGTATAGAGGCTGGTCAATCTAAACTGATGTGCAGGCTGGCCTGGCTCTATACTGGTGACCATGGTAAATCACTTCTAGTTCCAGCAGGTTAAGGGTTAGATATTTGCAGTGGTAAAATACTAGACAAGTTTTTTTGTTGTTTTTTTTTTCTAGAAATTTGGATATTAAATTTCTCCAAAATGAGCAAATTAAACTTTCAGTTATATCTTTGTGAGGAAAATTAAGCAGAAAATGATTAAAGACTGGACTTGTAATTTTATATCTGAATTTTGTACAATAACGTATGAGAAAACAATGGTCAAATTTATTTGAAGTGGTCAAATTGGTTTTGAGTATGCTACTAGAAAGAATTATAAAACTTTGTTTAGCATAAATTATATAAGATAGAAGTGTACAGCAGTGCTGAACACGTGACATAGCATCCATTTTATTATTTTTAGATCAAATAATAATATCAAATTTTTAAAAGTAAGTTTGAAATAATTTAATAAACAATTTTTTTATAAAACAAAATTTCTATAAATTTGAGAATTTTCAGGATTTTTATGACCTAGGCAGAAAAAAATATCCAGATTTTAACGTCTCAGCAGTGCTGAAATACAAGGTTTATTAAGAATTTTTGATAGTTTAAGATATTGTTGGAACTAGAACTTGGTCCATTTATTACAGTGTAGTATTGCTATATACTACAGGGTAGTTGATTTTGTATGTTTTTTTAAAAATTGGTAAAAGTTCAATAAAATGCTCTCTGTAGCAATGAACTATTTAGATATAGCATTATTATTTGCTATACCTTATATTGACCATATAGCATACTCTTTAATAAATGACTACTTACTGTACTTATCCTAATATGTGCACCTTAACAAAAATTGATATACTGCTTTTGCACAGTTAAGATTGTTTAATACAAGCAAATTTTTGACTATGATTAATTAAGAAGTAAAAAGGAGACAGTAAAATAAAATGTTTCGAATGCAGAAGAATTAATTTTGATATTGATAACAATTTAAACTTATTTATTTGAAATTTTTAATGAAAAATATAGCATGTTGGGATAAGTACGGTAAAATATTTTACAATGTTTCTATCACGTTGTTGTTGTTGTCACATCTGGGCTAGCGTCTGGTCACAGATTGATTCAATAAAGAAATGCCTTTTATGCTATTGTTGTCTTTTTATGCACAAATATCAAGCAATTAGTGCCGTACCCAGTTACAGTTTACCTGTGTTCCTTGAAGAAACCAGATAGTTTTAAGTATAAAACAAATCAATATCCAACTGTGTGCTAAAAATATATTTACTTTGATTAGGTTTCAATCCAACAATATCAATACAGTATGACCAAGTATGCTAAATGGTGAAGAAATGTAATAAAATGTTGACAAACTGATAGCAGTATCGTGGATTCATATTAATGTTATACAAATGGATTTTATCATCACACAAAATTTGAGGAGAAATGGCTATCAATAGCAAACCTTGACCTCCATAGCAACCACTGACTTTCCTTAGCAACCATAGACTTCCATAGCACTTGATGACTTTCTACAGCAACCATTGACTTCCATGGCTTAAATTTTACCTTCTATAGCAACCATTGACTTCCCATACCAACCAGTGACTTACATGGAAACCATTGACTTTCCAAAGGAAGCAAAGACTTCTTTAGCAGCCAATGACTTTCCATATCCACCAATGACTTCCATAGCCACCATTGTCTTTCCATGGCAACAAGTGATTTTCCATAGTAACCATTGACTTTCTATGTCAAACATTGACCTCCATAGCAACTACTGACTTTCCATAGCAACCATAGACTCCCATACCACTTGATGACTTTCTACAGCAACCATTGACTTCCATGGCAAAAATTGGTTTCCGATAGCAATAAAAGACTCCAATAGTAAACAATGACTTCCCATAGCAACCAATGACTTACATAGAAACAAGTGACTTTCCATAGCAACCATAGACTTCTTTAGCAACCACTGACTTCCCATAGCCACCAATGATTTTCCGTAGTAACCATCGACTTTCCATAGCAACAAGTGACTTTCCCTAGCAACCAGAAACTTTCCAAGCAACCATTGACTTTCCATAGCAAACATGGACTTTCATAGCAACAAGTGGCTGTCCATAGCAACAAAAGACTTCAATAGCAACTTCTCAAAGGATTGAGATAGAGTCAAAGGCTTTTCAGCATTGGCTACACTTTACCTTTAGATCAACTGGAGGCCAATTTTAGCCCCTCACAAGTCCAAAATCTTCTTGGCGATGAGGGGGCTGCTGTCCCCTTCAAACTTCTAAGTAGAAGGGGGCACATCCCCTCTGATGTATCTTTTTGATAGGGAACAGTGCAAAAAAGTGCAACATCTCGAACAAAAAGTGTTTTGGGTCTAAATAGGGCACTCATTTCACTATTTGAGGCCTCGAAAAGGTGGGTGGCGTGAAAAGACATCTATATGAAGAAATGGGTTAAGATCACTTATATTCAGGTGAGCTATATTAGGGCCATCATGACCCTCTTGTTTGATGCTCATCTTAGAAATTTGTATCACATGCAGTTTCTTGTGTACAACTGAACTCTGATATCAGACAACCTAAATATTTACCTAGTGACCTACTTTTTTGTTTTTTATGTGCAGTTATAACATTAGATCCATGTAAAAGGTAAAAATATATTTTGCATGAAGTATGGTCTTGTGACCAATATTGTCCTAATTCTTGTAATAATCACTAGGCTTTACTGCTTTTACACAAATAACAGTCTGTCCTCAGTGAAGTGTTTTTGTACCAATGGTCTCCTTGTTTATGCTTAGCAAAGATGAAAAATATTGTACAGATTAAGAAACACAGATTATACAGATTTATACATGTAATTTGCAGATGACACAGAATACTTGACCTTTTGACCACCTTTCGCAAGATTTTTCTCAAAACATCAAACCAGGGTCTGACAAAATTTTGGGTTCATACCATACACATGAATTTAATGCAAACTCTCGAAATACTGTGATGAATCATAGTGAATATCAAGTGAGGTAGAAACCTCCCCTAAGTAGTGTGGATAAGGACATTCAACTGTAATGAATAACATGCTTGCATGAAAGAAATCCAACACCTCACAGCCATTGCAGGTACTTAAAAGTCACCTAAATTAAAATAAGAACCCAACTTACTTAAAAGTAACACAAAGACAACAAATTTATATCTGGTTCTTTATTTGCATATATTAACAATAGAAGAGTACAGTTTGTAATGATGGTACAATTTTACATGACAATTCTTTTTTTGCACCAGTTTTCTAAAAACAAGAAAAAAATATCATTAACATACAAAAAGGTAAGAAGAAAGTCCTTGTGGGGAGAAAATCAGCAAAATATCACTGTGAACAAAACTGCAGAGAAAAAAAAAATGAAGTTTAAAAAATAGCTCTAAGAAAACATACATTATAACGCATACATGTACCTTCTTTATCCAATTTATAAACTGATTAAATGAGTTAAATAAATAAATGTTACTGATTTGACATAAATGAACAGTTTATAACAATCAAACATTATAGAACATGCAAAATAATCAATTATTTCATTATTTTTTTTACGATTTTCAAAAGGCATTCCTTATTCTCATTTTCTTAAGGAGCAAACATCGAAACACTTTTGTTGAGAAGTGCGAAGCCTAACCACGATATATATCTTAAGTGGACTAGTCCATCTTTTATTCTGGGCAAAACCATCCAGCATTTTAGGGGGAAATTTCAGAAATAAGTACTGACTAAATGGCGACATGTGATTAGTGGTGACACCATTAGATGGCACAGAAAAGCTGGCTGACTTTGGTTTGTACTAGTTGCATGGGTATTTTCACCAGCAGTCAACAGGCTTCAGAATAAGAAACAGTTATCAAAACTGAAGGAATAAGCCCAGGGATGCAAGAAGTAATTACATGTAAATTAAATTTAAAAATAATAATAAAAAAATTAGGAAACATTTTCATAAAAAAGGTGAATAATCATAGTATTCTAACCAGATCAATGATTTAAGAGAAAAATGTATTTATACCATTAAGTCTACGTTTTTCTCTTAAAGAGTAACAAGCTAGGATGTTGTTTTTGTTGTAATTTTTCAGCTGGAAGAACTAATATAATAATGCTATTCATTGAGCTAACACTAAGCAAACATCTGTATGTTACCGTACAATGAAGCTCCTACAGTTTACCAGTAAACACTATATTTACCAGTAAACACTATATTTACCAGTAAACACTATAAATAAAATAACTGAAAGCTATATTAGGGAAGGAAAGGCATTATATTTTGATAATGATAAGGTTGTTGGTTTAATTTTATAATTGTTTATGTGTTCATCAAGAATGTTTTTTGCACTCTTGTTCTTGGAAATCAGGCGATACATTGTAACTAGAGTTAACAATCGTATTTTCTAGAATTAACACTTACATGTGCTTGACATGTAAATATAAGTGACATGGTTTTTACCACAACGTTACTGTTTTGTTATAGATGTGGAGAAGAAAATTTCCCTTTATAAAAGGCATTGTATGCCAGAAATAAAAAAAAAACAAAAAAAAAAAAACCTGCACAAAAAAATTCATATTCTCAAATTCATTAAAATTTCATCCAAATCTACATACATGTATTGTTTTATCAGATAGAAAGTCTTCACAAGAAAAACTGGGATGGACAAATCAATGCAATAATGAATTTGCCTCCCTTTGGTGTAAAGGAAATGGAGTTATGTAAATCACTATGTAGAAATGTATTATATAAATTACTACACTCCCCTCATAACATATACAGCAAGAAAATGAGGTATTACTATTATGAACATGTCAATAAAAGTAAAGAAAAACAGTGAGCATAAATCTGTCGATTACTTTCATATAATCGGTCAAAAATATTTCTTATTCTCACACAAATGCACATTACTGAAAACAAATAAATGTTTAACCTAACAAATAAAGTCTTTATTCCATTTCATATACAATACTGATAAACTGGGAATAATGTACTAAAAGTTTGAAATTATATTGAAAACCTATTATTTCGCAACATATGAAAAAGACCTGTTTACAGACAATGAACAAAAACCAATAGCATTGTTATTTAAAAAAAGTATTTTTTAGTAAGCATTAAAAATACCAAATAAAAAGAAAATTTGTTAAATGCAACAATTTCATTCATATTTTTTGTCTTGTTTCATAAAACAGCAAACTACAAACATACTGTATGAAAATTTTCATCAAATAAAATACTTATTTTGTCATTAACATGCATTTTGTCTTATTTTTATTCATTTTATTAAGCTCCTAGTCATCAATGTAATGTAACAATTGAAGAAACTTATGACATCATCTAACATCACAAAATTACAGAACACCTTTCACGATAAACAAATGTAAAAAACGCAATAACATTTCGCATTATATGACAATTTGCACTAAAGTTTAAGCAAAAATTTTAAATCTACACAATGTACTAAAATTGATGAAAAATTATCAATAAAAAAACAAAATTTACATCAAGGCAACAATCAGTTTTAACACATTCGAAAACAAATTTACCTGCAAATTTTACAGACATCATGAAATACTTCAGAAGCATGAAAGAAAAAAAAAATTCTAGACCTTATCAATGACTTTTAGTCACAATTAATTATTGTACAATAACATTTAATCCAATAACCTTTAATTAGCTAGAAGCATAGAGGCCTTCACCTTATAGTAATTATTAAGTCACCATTCTATAGTTTAACATTTAAGTTACATTTAAGTTCACCTAAATGAGGGTCTATATAATAGACAATATCCTCAAACTTAATTTATAAAATGCTACATTTTAAGATGGAAACTCTCTCCGTAAGCCCCAAGTTGCCAATAAAATCTGTCGACTACTGCATAAATTAACAGCCACTTTATTTGACAATGATAAATCAAAATGCTGTCAAATTACCTATGACTGCTTATCAGCTAACTTCTCACAAATTTTTAATCCAAACTTGAAGTTTATGGAGAAAACCAAAATGTGACTGACCCTCCCTTTTTTTCATACAGTAGAAACTTTTAAGTTATATTCTAATGAAAAACTGGTATAAAACTGCATGTAATTTACTTATTTCTGTCACTCAACAGTGCTTGTATATGCATTTCTTTATTATGATATAGTATTGTGACTTCTATAAATACAATCAAAGGCCCCTCCCCCTCCTCATAGGCCATGATAAATGCTGTGCCTTTATTTATTGCTAGGTACAAGGTGTGCAAATTTACGAAATTGTACCAGATTATTTTTCATGTAGCTTATTAGCCCTCACCCCGCTGCAACCTCAAGTGATAAGCCTTTGCAACCAGTATATACCCACCAAAGACAAACCCGAACAGGCAGTCTTACCAGGCTCCTTACTGTTGGCTGACTTACTTTTAAGCCGCCTTCAGCTTTTCTATAGGCTAAATATTTTATTTTTAGATAAATAATTATATAAATTGTCAAATCAAAAGAATTCAGGTGGAAAATGAACTCTGCTCTCGATATGTAATCAGTAAAGTGACACGATCTTCTTTTTTAAGAAACGAAGTCACTGACGTGTTATAGATAGCTCTCAATACGCTGTTTTGAAGAAGGCTTAAAAGAGACACAATGATATGATGCACTTTTTCCAAGATAAAATTATTAAAATACTTAGTTTAAAACAACATAGAATTGTTTTATTCCAACAAAAAATAAAAGCTGAAGGCCCCTTTATCATTCATATTGATATCCAGAAAATTGATACTGGACCGTTTTTACAATTGAAAGCTGAACAAGTTCAGTTAATAAATGCAACAAGTTGAGGGCAAACAAGTTATACATTATCACCATATTCACCAAATTTTGCAATTATATCAATATATATACTTAAGCGAGCTACTGGTATGAAATAAAAGCTGTTAAGAAAAGTATATGTAATATAAGTGAACTTTAACACAGGTACTGACTGTGTTATTTCAACTGATAAAGCATCATACTATGTGTAGCTGTATTTATTCTAACTCGAATAATTTAACTAATATATGGAAATAGATATATTGTTGTCTTTAATTAATGTACTGTGACAACAGCACATGGTGGTAATTGAAAATATAACATGTTATATATTAAATGATGCAGTCTTTAAGCTATTCAGTACCAAGTATTTATGAAAATACAAAATCCATCCAAACTTAATTGTCTTTAAACAAATAATGCATTATAATATAGAATATTTATCTGGTCAAATACTGCATTAGCCTTTCAAAGTCTTTTCAATTTTTTTCCAAAATAACTTTTTATGCCTTTATTACTCTAATTAGCCTACAATACCTTTGATTTTCTTATGAACTCCTCATATTTAACTCCATTTATGGAAAATCTATTTTGTATGTTTTCAATGCAAAATTAATTTTACCTTAACATTCTTTTTCATGAAGTTAGTAAGACAGAGTGAAAATGCACAAGGTAATGTTTGATAAGTGACAATATATGGGAAGGAATTCCCCAAGGATATTTATAGCTTAATTGTTGAATGATTTAGATGTATAAATATTTCACTGCACACTAAATTAAATTCAATCAGGTAAAAAAATCGAAACAAATGAAATAAGAAAATAAAAAGTGAAATTGTATGAAGTATTTAACAGGTTTCTTCTAACAAAAAAACAGACATTAACGAATGCGTGCATACAATAAATGCATCATTGGCGTACACAGTAAATACATTAAAATTAAATAAAATGATCCTTTCAATATACACAGTAATAATTACATCAGCATATATATATATATATACATAAAATATACATTCATAACAACACACATAGTCCTCCGTTAATTAATTCAAAATTAAAGACATTCTCAAGTAAAGAAAAGTGATTTTCCAATCTTCAAGAATAAAAACACCTTGTGAAATAATTGGAAAAAGTCTATATATAGAAAATTCTATAAATAGGATTAAGATCTGACTACTAAATTGACCTTAACATCATTTTTGATATGCAACAGAAATTTCTGTTTGTAAGTATAAAACATACATACAATATCTATATATGCATCTCACATGAAACAAAAGCAACAAAAGTCGACAGAAACAAAGAGTTTGAAAACCAGTCCCAAATACTCATATAAAATTAGCTATTCACAAATTCAAAATTGAAATTAACCAATGACAGTGTTCTATTTCCAGACTGGTCTCACATCTTATTATTTTCTACAAACATTTTTCTTTGAAAAACTGAATAAATCTTCAGGATCAATATTTGAACAAAATAAATTATAATGCTTCATCATTGTCTTAAATATTTAAATTCTTTCATTATTTAAAAAATTCATTTGCTCTACTAACAAGCATAACAAACACACTGCCATTATTTGAGGTTTCACTATTTCATCTAAAAATGATTTTCTTTTTCTAGCATGACTACACAATGGGCGGGTACTGTCTATTCATTCAACTAGTCAGCACTATGTATGTTTGAACATGAAATGTACTACTACTTAAAATTGTTTCATAAAAAATTTGACATTTTCTGGCGTTTTTTTTCTTTCTTTTCTTTTCTTTTCTCTCAATATAAGCATCATTGGAAACATCATTTCTTGTAAAAATATTCATGAATATATGGAACTAAATATGCCCTTGATTTTTCTTTGTTTTTACAAATTATACCGGAAAAAATTTGTTTTATTTCTGTGTCTATGACTTGAGTATGAGGGTTTAGCAACAACAGTTTAAAAAAAAATTATAGTGAAGACATATTGTAAAATGCCTCTATTATAAAACCACCTAATTACCAGTATATTCTGCTACGAGCTACAAAAATGTATTTTTTTTTACTATTTTACATGTTTTCCAAAGTATAGGCACTCAATTCACAAGAAAATGGTGGTGTCCTTTTTGTTTGAGTCTATAATTCATTGCTGCATTATGAAGAGATGCAACTACCAATCTTGTGACTATATGATCTTTGTAAATGAAAAAGTACAAATAAGCCGTGCCAATTCATACATGACTGAACCATACAAATCTAAAAATTCACCTTGATAAAACGCAGCAAAAACTGTCAAAATTTTCGAACATTGTCAATGATCGTCTTTTCAAGTATAGAACAATATCACAGAGAGGCTGTGAAGGGAACCAGTCATAAGGCTAAGCATTTCTTAAAGAAAACCATTCTATGCTAGAACCATTCTATGCGCTTAAAGGCTTTGGGGAACTATTCCTACAAAGATAAAAGTGCTTAACCATTGATAACAATTTGAAACATCTGATGAAATATCTTCTGCATCTCAATTAAAATATCAGAACGCCAATAAACACACCTTGATTGGAATGCTTGTTTGCTTTTTCTCATAAGTGTACAATCACACTAATCTGGTCTCCATTGTTTGATGGCAAGATTCTAAAATCTGTTGACTTTTTAATAAAGTGATGCATCCATAGAAATCACCATTTTCTTTAAAATTCATTTATGTTCTTTAACACCATCACATACTGTTAAGAAGCAATCATTCGGGAGTTCAGATGTGGCAGGAAGTGGCGTTCCTTTCACTTTTACTGCCTATCCAATGCCCCTTCAAAGTTGATATAAATATGCTGCTTGTTTTTCCCTCTTTATTATTTAATTCTATTCTTTGAAGCTCTGTAAAGATCAATCAAACATTCGTTTACCTTACTCGCTGTCAAGAATGTATAAAAGTTTACTGTATATATACACTATATCCTATTTACAAATTGTGAATGATCAAGATTTAACGTTTGACGTTAACCAGGTTAAGCCTTCGTAAAGTCCATCTCCTGTTGTCGCACAAGCTGGTTGAACGTACCAATTTCGATCTCGTATACGTGTTAATCCTAGTTTCTCCTGAATTTCGTGGGGTTTCATGGCTGAAATAAATAAATAACTCAAATTATTGACTTGCCAAAATAACTAGTTTTCAATCTATTTTAATTTAACAAGTAGAATTAAATTTAAGCATAATAGTTATGAGATAACAGTAAATTGATAAAACTTGCATGTAGTGTTGACTGACAAATACAAACATATTAAATACTGACATCTAAACATAACAAAATAAATAAACATAATCCTTTTTATTTATTTTGTGGCTTCAGCCAAATACATCCCCCAAGAAAATTTCTTTAAAACCATGCAAATTTCCCCCCTACTTCGAATCTTACTCCCCTTAATATGAGTTGACGTGCTTATTTTCCCCAAAATTTGAAGGCGAGGGCTACATCCCTCGAGCTTTATAAACTCACTTGAATAATATAAACAAAACTTCAACTCAGAATGCAATCACTATCTTTAAAATTAAAATAAACTAGAAATGTGTCCATAGGACACTGATGCCCCCACACGCCACTGTTCTGTCAATCTTATGACTCTAGGTCAAATATTTTTTGGACTACATGTGCCACAAGTTGAAACTAAAAATCAACAAAGAGCCATAATTCTGTTAAATTTGTTCGCAGCAAAAATTCCTTCCTTAACTACCATCTACACATTAAGGTTATTCATCCCTGTAAGTTTAAGCAAAATCTGCCATCCGGTTTAAGAGGAGTTGCGTTCACAAAATTTCTACATAGTATATAGTGAAAAAATCAAGAAAAGGCCATAATTCTTTTAAATTTGGTCGCAGCAAAAACTCCTTCCTTTACTACCATCATTAAGGTTGTTCATCCCTAGAAGTTTAAGCGAAATCTGTCAACCGGTTCAAGAGGAGTTGCGTTCACAAAATTTCTATATGGTATATAGTGAAAAAACCAAGAAAAGGCCACTTTTCTGTTAAATTTGGGTCGTAGCAAAAATTCCTTCCTTTACTATCAGCTACACATTTAGGTTGTTCATTACTGGAATTTTAAGCAAAATCTGCCATCCGGTTAAAGGGAAGTTGCGTTCACAGAATTTCTACATAGTATATTGTGAAAAAATCAACAAAGAGCCATAATTCTGTTAAATTTGGTCGCAGCAAAAATATCTTCCTTACTACCATCTACACATTAAGGTTGTTCATCCCTGTAATTTTAAGCAAAATCTGCCATCCGGTTTAAGAGGAGTTGCGTTCACAAAATTTCTACATAGTATATAGTGAAAAAATCAACAAAGAGCCATAATTCTGTTAAATTTGGTCGCAGCAAAAATTCCTTCCTTTACTACCATCTACACATTAAGGTTATTCATCCCTGGAAGTTTAAGCAAAAGCAGCCATCTGGTTTAAGAGGAGTTGCATTCATAGTATATAGTGAAAAAATCAACAAAGGGCCATAAATCTGTTAAATTTGGTCGCAGCAAAAATTCCTTCCTTTACTACCATCTACACATTAAGGTTGTTCATCCCTGTAAGTTAGAGCAAAATCTGCCATCCGGTTTAAGAGGAGTTGCGTTCACAAAATTTCTACATAGTATATAGTGAAAAAATCAACAAAGGGCCATAATTCTGTTAAATTTGGTCGCAGCAAAAATTCCTGCCTTTACTACCATCTACACATTAAGGTTGTTCATCCCTGTAAGTTTAAGCAAAAACTGACATCCGGTTTAAGAGGAGTTGCGTTCACAAGATTTCGGGACGTACGTACGGACGGACGGACGGACAGACTGACGGACGGACAAGTGCAACGCTATATGCTCCCACATTGTGGGGGCATAAAAAAAAGTTACTATAAAAATCTATGGAAAACCTTTCAAGTCTTATTTATTTATAGTTTTCCATGTGTAAAAATTTTTATAATTTATTCAGAACAGGTTTTAAGGTAATACTCAAAATGCACAGAAATACAGACAACTGTTCATTTCATTATGCAAATACTATCAATAAAGATACAATAAAACAATGTAATAAACTGACCATCTGGTAAATCTTGTTTATTGGCAAATATAAGAATTAAAGATTCCCTCATTTCTCGATCATTGATTATTCTATGAAGCTCTTGTCTCGCCTCGTCAATTCGGTCCCTATCAGCACAATCTACCACAAATATAAGTCCCTGTGTTCCGGTATAGTAGTGACGCCATAATGGTCTTATCTTATCTTGTCCTCCTACATCCTGTAGAAGATATATATAAATAGTTTAAGCCCTACACTTGTTAAAAGCTTACTTTTTAAACAATAATTATCATGTGTATAAAAGATGGAAATCAAAGTAACAAAATTTACGAAATATTTTGGAGTTGTGTAAGAGAACTGTGTAAGACATAAAGCAGCGATTAAAAATTAATTTTTTTCAAATCTCAGATAGATAACAAGACGGAAACATTCTACATGCTTAAACTACAGTCACTCCTCAAAGTTTGTTCTGATCCATAGGATCAACCTGGACTAAATCATGTGATAAATGCCATGCACCTGATATGACACTGAGGAGATCATTTATGATATAAAATATAGAATATCACTAATGCACCTTTGTTTGTGCATAAACAACTGCTGAAGCACAAAGTCATATTGAAAGTATAGCCTGTATGGCATTGGATTAATTGAACATAAAAGGTGCAATAGCCATTGTTACATGGCACCCTTAGTTAGGCAAATTTAAATATGCAACAATAGCACATGCTTCCATGATTAATTCATGTTTACTTCTCTGTTAATGTACACCTTTGTGCACAGTTTGTGTGTAAGAATAACATTTTAATTTTTAGAAGCACAGTCAGTACATAGCATGTTTTGCATGTTTACGAATCATTTGTGATACTTAACCTCATTAGAAATTTTGGACTTTTGTACTGTCAAATTTTGTGCCAGTCACTGCAGAGTACTGTACATGTACTTCATATAAACATAGAAATTGTGGCCATTGTTATAAGTTGACTTTTAAAATGCTATGAACCCTATGATGAAATTTACTTTCTGTGCAGAATGCTGGAAAGCAACATAAAAGCATGTCAAACCTTTCACTTTCTCTTTAACTCAGTTGCCGATATCAATAAATAAAATACATATGTTGACACTTTGGTTAAAGCCCACATTGTTCCAGCTGAGACTTCAACACTTTTAATCTTATTTTATACAATATAAAATGTTTAGATTGCTTTTTTTTATATCCTACTCATAGTATCTATAACTACATTCTTAAACTTTAAACATGACCATTATCTCATTTTCCGTCAACTTTTAAACTTGCACTCTTATGTTTGAATCGTTACATTAGTATATATAACTTCTCTTTTTCTATACAACACGACCTTGTCTGCGTCATTATACTGTAGAAGCAGGAAGTACTTACATATAAAACATATTTCATTGACCACTTTTATTTCCGGACTCTAGACTAATCTCGAGTGAAGTGTAAAGAAATCATTATATATCTTAAAGATATGTATCACTTTAACCATGTATATACAAATATGCTCAGTTTTGCTGGAACAAATTTCAACGCCCCTTTTTTTTTAATACCCTTCTAAATAAAGTGCCCTGGTTTGTCCAACTGAGAAATTTGCAAGTTATGAAATAATAAAGTAAGTTAGGGAAAAATGAGTCACAACAACAGTGCATGCATAATATCTAACAATTCTTTTTTTTTCCAAAAAAAAAAAAAAAATTAATTTACAGGAACCGTGAACAGTGGTCCAACAATCAGACCTATCTAAAGATGAAAAGTAAAACAAATTGAAAATATGTTGCAGTTTGCTAGAAGAATCAATGATCTATTAGTGTCTCAATTGGGTTTTATGAGTCACAAACACTGAAAAAGCATGAACCCACGTCAATATAATGCTGTCTGTAATTATCTAAGAATGAATTGATCAAATCCTTTATTTGAATGTAAGATAGTGGATAGTGCAGCCACCAATACAATATTCAAATTACATCACATTTCTACATCATATGTTTTAAGCTATTCTTATTCCATTCACCACCCTGGAAATCTTATTCAATTAAAGCAGCACTACCCAAGATCTGTGTTAATTTGATGAAAACTTCTAAAAAAAATTTCAATGAGTAACAAATGTTGTCAAATTTCAAATTAAGTTATTTATCCTACTATCTACAGAAATTACCTATAATCTGTTAAAAAGATGCAGAAATATCTATAATTATTTGAGAAATTTAGTGATCAAAAGAGTTAATTTTGTCAGTTACATGTATGATTACGGCACAAAACAGGTTGATGTTGCAATTTTGAAGTTATTTTGCCAGTATCATATTTATCATGAAGATAGATGACTCAATATTTTTAATGGTTACTAAAACATAATTCATATCTATTGTATTATGTTTGCACGTATAGATATGGAAATTGTCTCATTTTTTTTTTAAAGTGAGACAGTCCAAAATGTGGCTGTGTCAGGAAATACACTACTGCATGTTACATGTATATACCTAGCATATATTATATTAAGCAAAATGGTGTTATATTGTAATTTTGTTCTTGATGATCAACAGGGATTATGATAATTTGACTATTTTGAAAAAACAAATGCCTGTGGACATGACATTTCATCAACTGGAAGGATTGTTTCAATAAAAAATTTCAGAAAATACATCATATTTTGTCAATCATTCAACACTCAAGTAAAGCCGTTTTTACTTACCCATACACTAAATTTAACATTTTTATAGGTGACAGTTTCTACATTGAATCCTACAGTAGGTATAGTGGTTACAGATTGGCCCAACTTCAACTTGTACAAAACAGCTGAACAAATGTTAAGGAAATGTTTGACTGAAAAGGAAATACTAGAGCAAACATCATAAAACAGGGAAATAATATTTTAAAATAACAAAGACTTACACTTAAGATGATAAATAATGAACAATGTGTTAATAAATCAAATTATTTCCTGGAAAACAGAGAAGGTTGTACTTGAATACATGTATAAGAATATATACAAACATACATAACATTTGCACCAAAATAACAGTGAATCACGGATTCAACATTATCACATGATAAGAATGATTTAAACAAATCTGATAATACATTAGGACACCTTTAGTCTTTACTAAATGCAGTGTATCTTACCTGCAATAGAATATTAACAAGGTTTCAATATAATTAGTTATGAAGCTTTTGACAAAAAAAAAAACATTGTCTATATGAATCTAGAATGGAGAAGGTAGGTGGAACTAAGGTCAAGAAGTAAGATTATAGTATAAGTGCATGCAGGGTTTTATTTCTGCTTCTGGCAACAAAACATTCAACAATATCATGTAAGTTGTTGTTTTTGGGGGAATTTTTTTAATGCATATAAAAGAAACTTTGGAAAGACCTAATAAACCAAAACATTCATTTGAGGCTAATTTTGTTTCCTGTTTGCATAAAACACACTATACATGTACATGTCTCACTGGTAACATACATTTATTTATTTATTTATACCTGTATGTAATTTATGATAAACAATTTCATAACACCTATTTGATAATATTGCATTCTCATTATTATATACATGCCCTAAACACATAAACATTTGCATAATAAATTCATTTTCTCTATATGATTAATGAGATAACATTGACCTTAAATTACGTTGCAACCTAATTAATTATGAGCATGTTTTACATTACTGAATTCTTACTCAGTAGTTATGAGTGTAAGAAGAAGAAAAAATCAAATGAATCAGGTAAATGTAAATTAACTGAATCTGTAACAGTTAACACTCAATTTTATGAAGGATATCAACATGACCATTGTTAACCTATTAAATGTATTTTTCATTTTAAATAGCATTTACATTTGAACATCATTTTCAAAATGGCCTCGATTTATGCTGCATCAACAAAATATAATATATATACCGGTAAAATTAACAACACTAGATATGCACAACATATATAATGTATATAAGGTTTTCAGCAAAAACAAATAATGTACTGAACTATGTGATATTTCATTCTGATTTGTAGAAAAGGCTGAATACACTGACTCACTGCATTATTGACTAGAAAAAACTTGACAAAAATCCCCTGACAAAATACCAAGTGTCTAAACAAATTATACAGTGAACTGGTTTCATCACAAACAGTGGTTATTATGACATGTATATTAATATAGAATAACATCAGTCATAAATTAATAACCAATATCGCCATGCTTTAGTATATAATACAATATTCTGTATAGATTGTCTATATATGTCACATAGGTGAGGTTTGGGACACCTTATGAAAACTTGACCCTGGGAAATAGATGTTCGGTAATTACTGTCTTGTTACAACATGACATGTTTGACAGCTGTCAACATACTGCAGCTATGATCTACAGTTACATTACAACTCCACCTTAAATTGTTTTTTACCCACCAAAAAAAATAATAATAATCATCATATTAAGACAATATCCTGTTCTGCATTTTTCACCGAGGAATAATTATGAAACTACTAAAGAGGACCGCATTTTTATTAAAGTTATTTCCCTAATAGAATTTAAGAGTCAGTTTAACGCGCAAAAAAACAATTCAAATATCTAATAGTAAAACACTGTGACTCAGAAAAAATTTGACCACAAATTAATTTTCCTCAATTCCACTTTCATGACCACAAGTCATTAAATAACCATGAAAAAAACTCTAAATAACCATGAAAACTGAAAAAGGGAGTGTCCCGATTTCGTAAACATTTAAATTTATTGAATAAGATGCGAACAAATTAACAACAATGATGCCATTCAATTTCCAAATGTACTTAAAACTCCCCTGTGATCAGCTGTGACTATATACAAATGTATTAATAATTAACTCTTAGCTCAGGAACAACCTGTCCTATATTTTCACACATTAGAAATCATGTATCATTATCTACATTTAAACAAATGAACCTATTACATTCTAGCATGACTATGAATAAATAATGCAAATTTTAAACCCAACAGAAAACAGTGACCTAGTCATCATACAATGTGATTGTCTAATCAATCCAACCAATAATTAGCCACAAGGTATTGTAAAGCCCAATTTCAGTAAAGATAAAAATCAGCTTGATAAATTTGTCATAAATTTCACTATAAAACTGGACACGTTGCTATCCCAACAATTTTTACACCTGTAAATTTATATGACAACTGGTTCACTCGATACAAATGAGTAATTTCATTAAAAAAATGTTGTGATTCATTTGTGAACTCAGATCTTATAACTTAATATTATTACCAAATTAAAAGATATGTGGCAAAATTAATAACAAAATCCAAAACATCTTATATATATCTACATTTTCATTTAAATGCCACTTTAAGTACATCAGGGTTTTTTGTATATGTCTTTATGATTTTCACTTCATCAAAATATTTCAAACTTAAAAAGAATACATGTGTAACAAACTGAATCGCTGCTTAAGAAATAAACTTATACTATCAGCTGGAAAAAGCCACAATGAATTGTGTATGTTCAATACATAAAAATATGTTTTCAACATTAAAGGATACTAGTTTTTCCAGCAGCATCCAATCCCAGCATGAGAATTCTCATCTCCCTATTCCCAAAAATCTTTGACAACAGCTTTCCCATCTTTTGTCCTGATACCACAGCACTTTACTCTTTAGTCTGAAATTTGTACAAAATTTTATGCTATAAAGATGAAATAATAGGATGCAAGTATGAAAATATATCAATTTCAACCACAGGGGATTCTGTCATTTTTTTCCCTGTGATTTCAACTACTGATGGTACATGTATATTCTTTTAAGACAGATAAGTTGTCTTTGGTTTACAAACTTTACATGCTCTTTCTTTATGCCCAAAAATCTCTGTAATTTTGTTAGGTTGAATCATGCCAGAGATTTTGGATTCTTTCATTTTCGGGAAGCTATCCAGGTAGCTTACAGAATGTCAGTGGTTCAAGTCAGGTGCCCGTTCATAGTGTCTGAAATAATGCAGAAAGTCACCTGAAGTCTTCTCCACCAGTAAATCTGGAAAGTCGCCCTATGACAGCTACTGTGTTGCCTTGGTGCAACGTAAACCAACCACCAACCCTCACCACCAACCCCAAAAAAGTTAGGTTGGAGTCATTAAACATCTTGAATGAGTATGACTCACAAAACCTTTGGCTCAATAAACAAAGGGTTCAATAAGGGGACGATTTCTGACATAAAAATCACGCTGAAATTGGTAAATTGCAAGGATATCATGCACTTCATAATGACATTCTATTTACAAATCCATGTGTCACTGCATCCTAGAACTACACAATATTAGCTCAAGTTTATAACAGTAAAAATGATGCTTTACACTTGTCAACTGTTATGCCACATACATGTAAGCCAATCAGAGCACAGATTTTACAATAATCTAGTTGAAGTAGCAGAGGCTGCATGACAAGCTTTGTGTATACATTTTGTAAATCAGCATTTTAAACATGCAACAAATGCAGCATATTTGTTGTTTACACTTTACTTAGCTTAAAAAGTGCAGATTCTGATAAATTGTATGTTTGACTAATAATTGGTACAGACATGCAGAGCTTCATGGATTCAGTTCAATGCACATTGATGATATATCAATATGGGATGACAAATATCAACAATACATCAATATATCCAGAATTTCTTCTATACTTTTACTTTCATATCCATTTTCATGATTTCTGTAAAACACATCTTCTACTCTCTTATATGCACACAATTATGATGTGTATTGTTTATTGTATGGTTATTTTTTTAGTAATATTAAACTTGTCACTGCTTTGAAATATAACAATTATATAATTTACATATTAATATATCTATAGTTGCACACCAATATTTGGCTCATCACACAAATCACGGAAATCCCATTATGTTCTTAAAATAGAATAACCTTTACTTTTGAGGCCTGATATGGGGTACCCAAATTACGAACGCCTGTGTCCCAATGCACGTGCAATAAAGTGCTTGTGCTTGATATAACTATTTTACTAATGTAAAGCCGTAAATTACATGAGGTAATATAGGGCAAACTCATGATATTTTAACAAGTTTTCATCGTAATGTCCACTTATCTGTAAACAGGTGGTATTATTGAAAAACCCTTTTAAAGGCCTCTTATGGTAGTATTTTTGTACATACGCTTAAGGACAGAAGCCCCAATGTTTACAATTCAAATTTTTACAACACACAAGTGAAACTGTGAGTGATTTCAAATGAAAACTTTTTGAACCTACAGCCGATCAAACACTTATGATTTTGTCTAGTTCACACATCTGTGTGACATGAATTGATACCATTTTTTAAAGAATACAATTGATAATCAAGTGTTTATAAGAAAATATGGGTACTGCTTTTGTACAAGAACTACTTGCACGCCAGTATAGAAATAAAATTTTGAACTTAAAGTAGTTAGTAGGCATAGAAACTATGTATAATTTAGAGTTAATTCCTGAGACTGATTATTCGAATAAAAAAATCACTTAAATTGCATTGATATTGACACAATGCAAGAAAATGTTGTGTTCCACAATAACAATCTATGACCCTTTCATTACTCCAAGTTTACAAATCAACACGTTGATATTTAATATCAGCTGCAGTGTGTTAAAGTTTTAAAGGCACGCTTCATACTTGTAAAAACTGAGATTTTCCAATAGCTGATTGCGGCAGTGGTCCATTGTGTAATATCAAATGCTGCATATTCAATCAGTTTTTATATAAGTAAGGCGCGATAGCTCAAATACTTATCATTTCAATTGGGGAGAGGAACGGGGCAGAGTTTTAGCCCCAAAAATAGGTGGCGCCATAGCTCAGTTGGTTAGACCACTGACTTCTACCCTTTGAGATTTAAGTTCTATGTCAAACAAGGCTTTTAAAACAAAAGTTGAGTCATGCATTTAATAAAAGCCTGCAGGGAATTGAACAGTATCTATTCCCTGTAAACAGTAACAACATTTCAGAAATATTATTTAGTCTTAAGCACAACCATTTATAGTGTCAATTTGGAACAAACCAAGTTTTGAGAGGTGGTATACACCACATTGTAATGTTACTAGACACTTAGTTCTGGCTTTCAAAATTTTATAAGCCGCTTTTTTACATTTTTTGTTTATTATCTGATGCAACATTTCAATTTTTGAAAGACCTGTTAGGAAACCTAATCAGAATAACCTATGTTAATTTAACCTTATTTTTCATTTGCAAATGCCCTGGTCCAAATTAATTTTTGTGCATTTTGCAATTAATCGATTATTTTAATATCGTTCCATACCATTTAAAGAATCAAAATATTAATACAGTCATTAAAATTGCCTATTAAACTGTGTAACATTAATTATGCAGACCACAGTCGGCCATGACAATTAGGAGCTACCTGAGACCGCTTATGACATAATTCATGTACTATATTTAGAACATCTTTGTTGACATGATTTCAATATATATAATTCAAGATAATGCTTTTATTTATTTTCATTAATTTTTTAGTATATCATTTTTTTTAGTATATGGTGGCCAAGTTATATTTTTTTAACTGTCAGAAACTATTAGGTAGTTTATGTTCGTAATAAGTTTTATTATACATCCATCCTTGGCTTATCAACAGTCATTATACATAGTTTCATCAAGGCATGCTTCACTTTTCTTCATGGCATGTACGATGAATGAATACGAGTTTTACAGATTCCTGTCACGATTATTGGTGTATTTTCCCTATGGGTCTATTTTCAGCGTTCACGTCATGACATAGTATATAAACGGGTATGCTGAAGATCTTAAGCTACTAGACACTGAGACAGATGTAAGGACATTTTTCACATATTCACCGCAGATATTTAAGTATTTTTCACAAATATTTTGAGCACAACATATATTCCAATAACAAACCACTTTAATTTGGTTTTACAAATTATTCCATCAGTAGCTCCATCTATAAATATTAGGAAGAAACACTTTCTGGTTAAGAGATAACAGTATCAACCTGACAGCTGGCAAGCAATTATTAAATTATCTCCCTTGAAATAACAGAAGAAAAAAATCCATGACAAATCGTTGTATTTAAACTGTTAAACTGGAATTAATTGGATCATTTACAAAAGAAATTGAACATAACTATCTTAAATAGTACCTATCTAATATATCACTTATAAAATTTCAACGGGAGGAATACACCCTCTCTATTTTTTTAAAAAATACTGAAAATCACCCCACCTACCTTCGAAAAAATTATCGACTTGTTATGGCAATAACTGAATAATAACTCACAAATATTATAGATTTCACTGAAAAGTTAATTGTTTATTGAATAAATGAAGAATCGGGGCCATAAAATATCATTTACACAAGGCATCTTAATAAATTACACGCTGTAAGTTTATTTTCAACCATGTTATGGCGGTTCGTGACCTCGCCTATTGTTCCGCAAAAATGGCGGAGAAAATAGTTCTTACAGAAACCAATGTTTTATAATTTGAAATTTAATCAAATGTGAATGTATTCGTAAAATTAATGAAATTCAAACAATAAATTTTGTACTGTTTATGTTCGAGCTAAAACAATAATAATTTCTAAAACAGTTTGAATTTGCGTATGAATATATTTCTTTTTAAAGTAGTCCAGTTATTATACAGACTGTACCAAAATCGCATTTCAGTCTAAAAAGTGATCGCAGGCACTTAGGATGTAAAGCACCAAAAAAGCCTTATCATTTAATATGTCTTATCTATATTTGTCATTCCCAGCACATACGCTTATCAAATATTTCAATAAAAAACATAAACATACGCAGATATTCATATACAATTATACATACAATAGGCCTATATGATTTTTCCCACTCTACATATGTCAAGGACTTTAATTTACAATTGCGTCCTTAAATATATACACATACAATATCCGTGATAATATACGTGTATTCATGTTTGTAAGTACAGACGTTGAATTTCTTTCAAAACAGCGTATATTTAGATTTATTGAAATATATTATAAGTATATAGGTGCTGGATGATAACATAGATCTATATACTACTTTTTTGTTAGGTTTTTAAAGGGTGTATAGCCTTATATATCTTATGAAACATATCTTTATATATTCAAACTTACATTTTTTCTTTCAACAGTAAAGTTATAATGGTTCCATTATATTATAATTATGGTTGAATCTGGAAAGAGTTGTTTCATAGAATGTCTCTGTTATTTAACACACATATACTGTTAGCCTGGGGTTGAATTGAAATTGAATTGAAAATGTACTTAAATTGCAGTTTGTAAACGTATATTTTCAGCAATTAATAATTTGATATTCAACACTATATTTCAATTAAACTCTATATTTGATATTTCAAAGGTCACTTTCGTATTTTCTATGTGAGCGAAAGGAAGATTGCTGAACATGTATATATAAAAATTATGTAGAAAAAATGGGGTAAAATCTTCATAATGATTATTTTTGAAAATAAATAATATTAATTTTTGATATAATACGCCTGAAAAATGCAATATATGTATAACTTTCAATTCAATGCTTTATTTCATATTTTACAAGTCACTTTCGTATTCTTCAATGTGAGCGCAAGGAAGATCTCAGAACTTGTGTATAGAAATTATTCAAACAAATGGTGATTAAATCATCATAATGATAATTTTTGAAAATAAATATTATATATTTCTGATAATATACGTCTGCAAACTGCAATTTTAGTATAAATTTCAATTTAAACTCTATATTTAATACGTTACATATCACTTTCGTATTTTTCAAAGTGAGCGAAAGGAAGATCTCAGAACTTGTGTATAGAATTTGTGCAAATAAATGGCGATTAAATCATCAAAGGGATTATTTTTTGAAAAGAAATATTATAAGTTGCCAATGATATACGTCTACAAACAGCAATTTTACTGTAAAATTCAATTAAAACGGTACAATTAAAATTCTAAAAGTCACTTTCGCTCACTTTCGTCAAAAATCTCACTTTCGTATTTTAGGCAAACCCGCAGTTATTTGTATGTAAACTTCAAATGAAATACAGAAATTTGTTTTCTGAAGAAAATAGAAACGGTCCAGGTGTTAAACAGTCTACCAAATAAAATGCGCTCTTTAGATAGGTGCACATATTTTGTAGGGCTGGTCCACACTTGGACTGGTCCAAAATGTAAATACATGTACATGTGCTATGCATATATAACCTCTATGTTGCTTGTTTTAAGTACTATGTTTGTTTATTTGTACAGCATAAGTATAGCTTACGTTTCTTTGTTTTGTTGAACCAACGTTCAATAATTTTTTCTTGTACCTTGTAGACGTCGAACATCAAGGACACTGCATCATGCGATAATGTTACTTATTTCTTTTGAACGTAAATTCGTTTTTTACACTTAAAAAATGTACTTTTGCAATTACACTTTTTATCGTCTGAGAATATAATAAATGATTAACTTTTATCAGTCTAAATATAGTTTATATGTATTATTACAGATAAAAGAGTGCAAGGTTCAGTGAAAAGAAACGTACTTGTGGGGACTAGAAAAGGGCTGTTGTCACCAGACTCTCATTGAAGACATTAACACTGGGGCTAGATTTGACCTGGTATGGGAGATTATTTTCACATTCCTTTGTTATGTATATACATGATGTAAACATATCATTTATAATAACTTATTATAATTATTTAATTAGATGGAAAACACATGAAAAGGGTCCTGCACAGTGCACAAAAATAAACTTTTTAAGTCATCAGGTATCACACAAAAGCTACACATATGTAATAAATTCTCCTTATGTTTTAAAATGTGATAATATCGACGCAAAACCATACAAATAAAGAACTATTTACTACTTTGCAAAGGGTCGAATACTTTTTTGTGCGTTTTCGGTACCACTATGAAATACGCGGGGTACCAAACAAGAAGGGTGCAACTGCATACGGTCAATTACGGAAATTATTAATCGGACAGATTTTAGTTTATCAACCGTCAACTTCCGGATTATGAGCCAAGAACAACAACAACAACAAACGGCATAAATTACAGATTCACAAAACCGTGTATTTTAACTCTTTGCTGCATTAAAATGTCTTCACAAGTTCAGAATTTACAAAAACAGCTTTTACAGCTTCGACAAGAAGCAAATGTGAAAAGGATTCCAGTTTCTCAAGCCATTGAAGAGTAAATATATTTTTAATATCCAGGACCCCACCCACATATGGAATATAAATGGATAAAAAACCTGAAATATATAGTATCTGTCGTTGTTCCAAATTTATTGATAATTTTTCTCAACAATTTCCCTTTAAAATAGAGGGGGACACATTTTGCGTCCAAAATTTTTCGTAATTGCATAATAAATTTACAGACCCTTTACACACACGAATATCACATTATAAAAGAGCCCTGTTTTAAACTCCAGGGGGCAAAAAGGGACTTAATGCACAAAAAATATCTATATTAAGGTCCCTAGTAAAGTTGTCTTAGCATACTTCATCAAGGTATTTACTACCTATTAAAATTGAGGTTTTAAACAGTTCATGATACTTCAGCATATTACACAGGTTTGCCTTGATTAAATAAGGTGTTTTAGTCTTTTACTGATTTTTGTGATGTGTGCTACACAGTAGCTGATACATACTACAAAGTAGTCAGGACTTGTCTTAAAAGGATCTTTTTTTTGTCATCTACATGTATCTGTCGGTCTGCTTTTCTGTCTGGCACTACTTTTAAAACACAATAAGTATAATTCTAGCAAATTCTTAAGAAAATTTAGTTGAATATATTGTAGAATAAATTCAAAACTGAAATTCGGGCCAGTAAATTCAAAATCTTAAATTCAATGACTGTTGGACTTAATTATTTTTGCCCACTGGGTGTTAAAACAGGTATTATTTATCTGATAAACGGACAATCAAAACAGGCGAATTGTAATGTGACGAATCGTTAATGTGGCGAATTGTTACATTACCGTTAAAATCGGACAAAGCAATGCATTGGGACCAGACAATTAGGGTAGCTTGTCACATATGACAGGAAGTTGTATTATTCCGACCATTTATATAGGGAAATACGCTGGGAGGACTGAAACAAGGTCGGATAAGACAGGAAGTTGTTGATATCAGGGGGTTGCTCGGGCATTTCTAAACATTTCTAATAAATTTCATGCCAAAAACTATACCGCAGAATTAACAAATTAATGAACACTTGAAAGTCTCTGGGCATTGACACCCAGAAATGAGGGGATGTGTCTTAAGACTGATCAATAATGAGTGTGCTCTGCATTTAGGGATAGTTCAAGTACTGGTCAACATGGTGGGGATATCTCTAGGACTAGTCAGCATTGAGGGGATAGTTCAAGTACTGATCAGCGTTAAAGGAATAGTTCAAGGACTGGTCAACATTAAATGGATGGTTCAAGTACTGGTCAACATGGTGGGGATATCTCTAGGACTAGTCATCATTGTGGAGATAGTTCTAGGACTGGTCATCATTGTGGAGATAGTTCTAGGACTGGTCAACATTGTGGGGATTGTTCAAGGACTGATCAGGATTGATTTTAATCATGGGTCAATCTTATGTTGATAACTTGATATACTGGGCCTTCTTTTGGAAATACATGTACTAAAGAATAAGACAAAATATTTCTATTTTGTAGGATATTGAAGTACACAACTCAACATGCACATGATGATGCCTTGGTTGTTGGTGTACCGCAGTCAGAAAACCCATTTAAAGATGCCAAGGGATGTTTGATACTCTGATTGTATGCAGTAATGTAAGTTATTATTATAAGTTGCAAGATTCAAGTTTTGTAAATGTTTAGATTATCCATCAGCTATTAAGTATCTTTCAGTATCTCTCATTATTTTGTAGGTTATCTCAGTATTAAAAATAGTGATATTTTTAGGTAATTTTTAGCTGGACTTTTTTTTTTTTGAAAAAAAAAGTAGAGGTATTGTAATAGTCAGGTCGGCGTTGCCGTTGCCATTGCCGATGCCGTTCCCGTCCTCAAACTTGTACCTGGATCATAACTTTTTTATTTCTTGGTGTATTGTCTTCATACTTGGCCACAACAACCCTTGGGACAAGACCTTTCAGTAGACCACACTAACCTTGACCTTCATCCATAAATGACCTTGACCTTCAAGGTTAAAAGTCCAATTTTTGCTTGTTCATGCTGTTATTGGCTGTAACTTTGTTATTTTTGAATGGATTGTCTTCAAACTTGAACATAATAATCTTCAAGGATATCCCTTAAAAATAACCCGCCAGACCTTGACATTCACTGATAAATGACCTTGACTTTGAAGGTCAAATTATTGAAATTTTCATTTTTTGGCTATTATTGGCTGTAACTTTGTTATTTTTGAATGGATTGTCTTCAAACTTGAACATAATTATCTTCAGGGATATCCCTTAAAAATAACTAGACAGACCTTGACCTTCACTCATAAATGACCTTGACTTTGAAGGTCAAATTATTGAAATTTTCATTTTTTTGGCTATTATTGGCTGTAACTTTGTTATTTTTGAATGGATTGTCTTGAAACTTGAACATAATAATCTTCAAAGATAACTGTTAAAATTATACCGAAAGACCTTGACCTTCACTCATTAATGACATTTCTTGAAGGTCAAATTATTGAAATTTTCATTGTTTTGGCGGTAACTGACTGTAACTTTGCTATTATTGAAGGGATCAACTTCATATTATAACAGAACATTCTTAAGGACCAGACCTCTTTGTTTATCAAACCCAAATTTGCTTTGGCTCTTTAATGACCTTGACCTTGAAGGTTAAATTACTGAATTTTATCAGATTTGTGCATTAAATGACCATAATTATATATTTATTGGTGTGTGTGTGTATATATATATTTACAACAACAACAACAACAAGAATTGCGTCATTGTTTCTATTTATAGAATTGCGTCATTGTTTCTATTTTTAGAAATTGCGTCATTGTTGCTATTTTTAGAAATTGCGTCATTGTTGCTATTTTTAGAAATTGCGTCATTGTTTCTATTTTTAGAAATTGCATCATAGTTTCTATTTTTAGAAATTGCGTCATTGTTTCTTTTTTTAGAAATTGCGTCATAGTTGCTATTTTTAGAAATTACGTCATTGTTTCTATTTTTAGAAATTGCGTCATTGTTGCTATTTATAGAAATTGCGTCATTGTTTCTATTTTTAGAAATTGTGTCAATGTTTCTATTTTTAGAAATTGCGTCATTGTTTCTATTTTTTGAAATTGCGTCATTGTTTCTATTTTTAGAAATTGCGTCATTGTTGCTATTTTTAGAAATTGCGTCATTGTTTCTATTTTTAAAAATTGTGTCATTGTTTCTATTCATATATATATACAAAATATATAAACAAAAGTAATGTGACAAGACAGACCAACTAAATTTATAAAAAGGAAACGTTAAGATATGTTCAAACCTTTCTATGTTTGCGTTTAGAAAAAGTAAAAAGTCGAGCGTTGCCCCCGCCCGGCGGTGGCTCTTGTTGTTGTTTCTGGTCATATTTATCATGAAAGTTTATTTTGTCTAAAGTTTATTTTGTCTTAGTCTTTGTAAAACATAAATTGTTTAATGGCACCAGAGGTCTTCCTCCAGGAAAGTTGTCATATGATCATTACTGTGTTTGGTGGGACTTAAAACATACCAACCCAACCCTCAGAAGAAAATTTAAAAAAAAAATAAATATTAAAATAAAAGAAAAATAAATAAAAGATAAATAAAAAACAACAAAAACCCACCTGGATTTAATTGGAATGATGCTGTAACACTGTTTTCTCTTTTTTTTCACTGGTTTCAGGTATTCCTTGTATTAGCAGTAGAAGTTTTATTGTGGAATCAGGACCAGTGAATGTATGTCTGTGTGTGTATCTATTCTGAGATTGCTATCTTCTCTACGATGATGGCTTACCAATCTTTCAAGCTACAGCTTTTTGTTATAAACATTTTAGTGACAGTGTAATTGTAAATTACTATTTTATCATTTTACATTTCATATCCTTTTTTTTCCCTGTATTTTTTAATTCTTTTTTCTCCCATTGAAGTGTTGAAAAGCTATCATATTGTTATGTTAGTAAAATATATATATGTCAGATTGTCAAGTTATTTGTCAGATTGTACACAAAAAGATTTTTTTAATTAGGTCAACCCAATAACTTTCTTGTAATTAATAGTAAGTTTTCTATGAAAACTTGAGTCAGTTAACAATCAATTGGCTTAACTTTATTAACACTTGATAATGCCTTTGTTGAAAACATAAGTATACACTATGTACATTATGTATGTATAATAGTAAGAGCTTAAAAGTGTAGAGTTTTATGTATTCTATTGTAGATCAACAACAAGGATGTAAACCTATTGGGTATAGGGTATCTTGAAGGGTTATACGCATATTAACTTCCTATTTTGTTTTATATTGTATATTTCTGGAGTTTGATGCATTTATTTCCTGTATTTATTAAGTGCAATAGATATATTATGTGAATCAAATTCTTAGTTCACCTTCTTTGATAAAGGTTGACAATATAGAAAACCAGTCTACAAAGCACCTCTGTCATTGGTTACCTACTTTTTGAATTGTCCAATGAGATTCTGAGGCTCCAGACTGGTTTTGAATCTCACCTTTCACATCTCTTTTCATTCTAATTATTTTGACTGTAAAAATATGGAATACTTCTTAAACTATCCAGAATGTTTATGAAAAATGTATTTTGTTAATAATGTAATATTATTTTTAATTTACAGTTTTTGAAATCACTTTCTGTATTGCCACTTTAAGACAATCTCTTGTATCTACAAGTCTTTTATTGAATATTCATATCACATGAAGTTGTTTCGTCCATGAAATATTTTGAGATTGTTTTTTTATTTTTGTGCAATATTTTCAAAAGATATTTATGCACTTTAACGTTTTTAGATAGAGGGATAGTTTCATGATATGTCTTCATCAGTTATGTTGATAAGTTGATTTTCTATGATTCATAATTTCGACAGTACTGGCTGGAAGTCAGGGAATTGTTGCTTCATGACTACCAACTGGAATGTTACAGAAAATCTTATACAAACAAGCGATGAAGTCCTCATATGTAATAATTCTTTTTGATCAAACTACAATCTTTTTTATAAACATTTGCATTTGGTTCATTACACATTTCATTTTACTCTGTAATACTAAATAAGAAAACAGATATTTTAAAAAAAATATTTAAATATTGATTTTGATATGAATGTATTATCTGTACATTACATGACTGATTGGTGATTGTTTTAACTTAAAAGTTAATTTCTGATCTAGATTTTGAGCCATGATTTTGTTGTAAGACTGATTTTATTTTCAAGAAATTATCTTTTTTTACCTCGCAATTTTTGTGCCATTTTTCTATTTCCTAGCTGCTGACATCAATATAGAATAAGTTTTACCAGATTATTTTTTCAAATTTTTATGCCACCGCAGCATCTGCGATGCGGTGGCATATAGCGATTCACCTGTGTGTGTGTTTGTTTGTGTGTGTGTGTGTTATATAGATTATATAGTGAACTTAAAAAATCTTCTTGTGAAAAACCACTTGTCCAATTTCAACCAAACTTGGCAGGATTGTTCCTTGGGTGAAGGGCTTCCAAAGTTGTTCAAAGAATTTCATTCCATGCAGAAATCTGGTTGCCATGGCAACCAAAAGGAATTATAAGAATACATTTAAAAAATCTTCTTGTAAAGACCCAAAAGGCCTAGAGCTTAGATATTTTGCATAAGGCATTGTCTGGTAGACCTCTACCAAGAATGTTCAAATTATAATCCTGGGGTCAAAATTGGCCCCGCCCCGGGTGTCATTGATTTTCACTATATATATGTACATATAGTAAAAACTTAAAATAACTTCTTGTAAAGACCCAAAAGGCCTAGAGCTTAGATATTTTTCATAAGGCATTGTCTGGTAGACCTCTACCAAGATTATTCAAATTATTACCCTGGGGTCAAAATCGGCCCCGCCCCGGGGGTCATTGATTTTCACTATATGTACATGTAGTAAAAACTTAAAATAATTTCTTGTAAAGACCCAAAAGGCCTAGAGCTTAGATATTTTGCATAAGGCATTGTCTGATAGACCCTTACCAAGATTGTTCAAATTATTGCCCTGGGGTCAAAATCGGCCCGCCCCGGGGGTCATTGATTTTCACTATATGTACATATAGTAAAAACTTAAAATACCTTCTTGTAAAGACCCAAAAGGCCTAGAGCTTAGATATTTTGCATAAGGCATTGCCTGGTAGACCTCTACTCAGATTGTTCAAAGTATAGCCCTGGGGTCAAAATCGGCCCTGCCCCGAGGGTCATTGGTTTTCCTTATATGTATATAGTAAAAACTTTATAGTAAAAAAATTTCTTCTAGCAAATGCTAGAGGTTAGATATTTTGCATGAAACATTGTGAAGTGAACTTCTAGCAAGATTGTTCAAATTATAGCCCTGGGGTCAAAATTGCCCCTGCCCGGGGGTCATTGATTTTCAATATATACATATAGTAAAAAATAAAAAAATCTTATTGTCTGAAGGTACAAGGCTTAGAGCTTGAATATTTGTTAAATGATATCATCTATAGGTACTCTACCAAAGTTGTTCAAATTTTGCCTCTTGTGTCAAAATTAGCCCCGCCCCATGGGCCATAGGTTTTCCTTATATGTATATAGTAAAAACTTAAAAAATCATCTTCTAAATTCACAAAGGCTAGAGTTAAGATATTTTGCATGAAACATTATGTAGTGAACCTCTAGCAAGATTGTACACATTATAGCCCTGGGGTCAAAATTGGCCCCACCCCCAGGAGTCATTGATTTTCACTATGTACATATAGTAAAAAAAAAAAAAGAAATATTTTTGTCTGAAGGTACAAGGCATAGAGCTTTGATGTTTGCTCTATAATATATTCTATGGGTTCTCTACTAAAGTTGTTTTAATTATGCCCCTAGTGTTAAAATTGGCCCTGCCCAGGGGCAGTGATTCTCATTATGTTCACATAGTAAAAACAGAAAATAAAACAAATCTTTTCTGAATAGGAAAAAGCTACAGCTTAGATATTTGACTTGAAATGTTGTTTGGTGGACCTGTATCAAGATTGTTTTGAATTAAACCCTTGGGTCCAAAATTTTGCCTTGCCCAAGGGGACAGTGACCTACTTTCTTGTCCTTTGATGTACAGCAATGAAATTTTGACCATGTGCACAGTTTTAGTTGTAAAATTGAACTTTGATATCAGGTGAACTAGATTTTGATAATGTGACCTACTTTCTTGTCCTTTGATGTACAGCTATGGAATTTGAACCATGTGTACAGATTAAGATGTTAAGTGAACTTTGATTTCAGCTGACCTAGATTTGACAAAGTGTCTTACTATGTTGTCCTTTGATGTAGTCATAAAATTTAGGCTGTGTGAAATATGACCTTCACCACCAAATTCACTAGACTCAAGTGCATTGATATATTCCTACTCTGATCTTTTATTGAGTTAACAACAGATTTAACCACTAATCTGATAATAAGAATTAGATAGGTCAGGGATCTATGCATTATGACAATCTTCAAAATTGTATAGAAACAAAGAAAATCTGTTCCTACACTACTATTTAGTGTTGTATTAATGCGGTGGCATAGCATTTTTCTCAAATGCAATCTTGTTTTTTCATGATTTTGAACAAAATTCTATCCATATTGTTCAGAAACTATTGTACTGTTTTTGCTGCTGGAAAAATAACCAAAAAAAAAGAAAAAAATGAAATAATCTATAATTCATGTTTAAATTTTATTTTTCTAAACAGTTAAATATTAGTTAATTGAAGCCATTACAATTCACTCCTACATATATAGGCTTTTTCTTCCATCAATACCAGTTTCTGTGCTTGATACTTTAATATGTCTGATGTAACTTATGAATTTAGTAGCAAGTAAAAATGTTTTAATGATTGTGCATCCCTCCTAACTGGTTAGATGTTGTTATCGTCAAAGTCAGTCCCAATGCAGTATTCATGTATTTATATGCCGCAATAAAAGTTAACTTGTGTCCTGACATTTAATATGTGTATTAACATTTATTGTTTTATTGGCCAACCAGAAAGAAAATTGTTAAAAGCCAAATTTCTCTTTAAAGAAAGACTATAATGTTAATTCCTTGTTGATGTCTCAGGCCATGTTTTTTTTAAAGACCATTGCTTTTCCCTTATTTTTAGCGTATCCAACAGAAATAGTATAGAATTATATCATGGTGAAGAACAATTCTCAATATTAAGACACATTGTATTATATCCTTTTAAAATAACCTTAAAAAGTTAACTTACATTGCAAAGGCAACAACAGTAGGTAGCCTAGCCTTTCTTGTGTAGTTTACACCCAGCTCTAAATGTGTTTTGCACCATAGATCAGATTAGGCTTCTTTCTCCCCTCTCTAAAATTATGATGCCATATCAGAACATGTCAGGAGTGAGATTGAATGCTTTTAAAGTTGTCGTTTAGTATTCTCATGTTAGCTATATATGTACAGTTTAATATTGATACTCCATTTTTCATATGTCTTTATTGTATTTTAAGTAAATAAATTTTGTAGAATTCAGTTGGATTAAAACTTGCCTTTCATTTTGTTCTCTTGTATTTTTAGCACCCTTGAGCATTTTTTGCTCATTGTCTGGTTTCCATCATGCATTATTATCACGTCTCCACTTAAATCATGCGATAGATTATGACCAAATTTCTCAGGAATAATCCTTGGATGGCCCTCTGCAAAACTTATATCAGTGGTTACAGTTTGATGCATAGGTAGGTCACAGAAGCTAAAGAGTACTTTAAAAATGAAAACTTCTAAGTGACTACAATGCAGAGTTTAGATTATTTTAATCCTTGGATTGCCCTCTGCAAAACTTATATGATGGTTCCAGTTTGATGCATAGGTAGGTCACAGAAGCTAAAAAGTACTTTCAAAATGAAAACTTCTTAGTAACTACAATGCAGAGTTAAGATTATTTGGCATGTAGTATCATATTATGATCCTCTAAAAATTTATGTAAATAATGCCTGTTGTATCTGTCTCATGGGTCACTTAGTTAAACACTACAAAATCTTAGCTCAAAAACTGCAATTCCATGATCAGATAAGTGTAGTATCACTTTTTAGTCCTTTTGAAGTTTTATAAATCACCTCTGGGGTCAAAGTTGGTACAGTCCTGGGGATTTTTTGTTAATGTAGACGGATAACCACATTTAACCATCCTTATGTGAAACTACAATGCCTGGAGTTTATAAATTTATAAAAGATTCTACGATATAAATCACGCTGTGGTGATCAAAAATAGCCTGCCACTGCATTATATTACATACTATTTGTATAGGAAAATAACACGATACCGGAGCTTAGATTTTCACATGTGGCTTTTGCTATTGGACCTCTTATAAATGGTTTTAAAACTTGCAACTATGGTAATAAATCACATCTCCAGATGTGACCCAATTATCTATCTACATGGAGTTAACTGTCGGCTCAAAATTTGACTTTTTTTTCATATAACTAAATTTTATTGCATCATAAACTAGTTTGTGCCCAATTGTTCTTTGCTTTATATATGGTCTGAAAGCTATACTAAGCCAGAGAAAGCAGATAAAGAACAGGTACTGAAAACAGTTGTACAATGGGTCTTACACTTCATACAATTAGGTTCAATACATTGTACTTTTTTTGGACATTTCTAAATGGTATTAAAACAAAACAAAGAATCCATCTATAAATAGAAAACTTCATGAAGTTTTATTACTTGCAAAAGATCTATGGTTGTTAAACCTCTACAATAACAATACTAAACATGACAGACTAAATATTATAACATGCAAGCATGCAAATACAAACAAGCATATACATTAACAAAGTAAATAAAGGAATATATACTAGCATTTATTAACGTTGATCTCGTAAAATGTATACCTGAAGAAGTGAATGGCTGAACAAATGCTGCTGTAACATCAGGATTCTGAATTTTAAAATCCCACATTTCATGATGTGATGATCACTTTGCACATTTTTTATTTCATTCTTTAACAGGTGACCTTGACCTTTGTAAAATGGACCTAAATTTTCACTACACTATGCCTTGTAATGTTGAACATTTGTACCAAGTTATATAACAATGCCTCTATGTATGTAGAACTTCCACATGCTTTCCTCTTACCTCTTACACCTGCATTATATGTGTAATGATACATTTAATGATGGTAAATATCTTTTCCAAGTAATTCTAACAAGATCCCTCCTTGCATTGGAATATATCTTACTGACAAAACTTTTTTATTAAATCGTCTCTAAAATATGGTTCATAAATGCAACACTACATCTCATAAGGGCAAACATTTGTATCAAGTAACACCAAATCCATCCATGCAAACCATTAGCTCCTGTGAGCTTGACCTTGCATATATTGACCTAGATTATGATGACACTACTCAGTCTCATGATGGTGAACATATATTATATAACCCCTGAATGCATGACTGAAATTGTCCATATATTTTCATACTTTTATCTGACCTTTGAACTAAGTCACCTTCACCACAGGAACCTAATTATGAGTGTGACAAATTGCCTTACAATGGTTTAAATGTGTGCCAAGTTGTATTAAAATCTCTTGATTCATGTAAAAGTTTTGCTCTAGACAAGTGTTTACCCAAGACCTACTTGTGTGACTTTGACCTAGTAACTGGTTCATACATGTGGCATTTCATGGTGGTGAACATTTGTGTAAAGTATTCTTAAATCCCTCCATGCATGCTCAAGAACAAAACAGAATACTTCCTGGATGCCACCTGACCGCTCTCCATTGGGGCAATTCATATATCCATTTTCTTTTAAGAAATAGGTGTATTAAACATGCAAAGGATTTCCAGGGGTTATTTGACTAGCTTTGACAAACACACATGCATGCACACACACAAACAAATTTTGAGCAAAATGTAAACATAACACAACAATATTGTATTGCTTCCATATTTTTAGAAAGATATGTTCATATGTAAACATTGTAAAAAAAGAAAAAATAAAGATTAAACATATTTCTTTATAATATGGCACATTAAAAAGTGAGAACTACTGTGACAGACATAATAATGTGTTGTCATTATTATAAATTCTTTGATCTGCATGAAAATATGGACTGAATGGCAGTTTTAAATTTAGATAATTAGTCCCAAATGGTTAATATTTATAATAAATTCTATGAAATCCAGAGAATTAAAAATTTAATATGAAAATAGATAGTTTTTCATAAAATAGAAAACAAACAATCCAAGTAAGGGAAAAAATTGAACTGTCCTACAAATAAATGTGCCAAAAATAGTATTAATGATTCTCTACCATATTAGACAAATGTACACACAAATAATCCTTTTCATCACCACCAACACAAAATAAACTTAATTATGGGTATTTTTCACTTTTCGTTGTGTAACATTTCATCTTTCAACAAGAACGTGCTTGTTAAACACAAATGCCCCCGGCTCAGATTCTTGTCAGTAGCAATATTTCAAAAAATGTTTACCCATTCACTCAGTTAAGGACAGAAAAATTGCCAAAAAATTGTAAACACAAGTTATATAGCTTGACAAAGTCATAGCATTTTGTAATTGTGAAAAATATAAGTTGCAAAGTCATTGCTCTGACTTGTGAAGATGAAAAATATTCAACTTCATGCAAGTTATCTTCCTACCAAATATGAAATACATCTGTCATTAAATAAAGGCTGTATAGGCAAAAGTGTAAATATCTATTTTTAGCACTAGTGACCTTAACCAAACTGACCCCTAACTCTATCCAAAAGAAGAATACCATGTAAGTTATCTTCCTACCAAATATGAAATACATCTGTCAATAAATAAAGGCTGTATGAGCAAATGTGTAAAAATCTATTTTTAGCACTGGTGACCTTGACCCAACTAACACCTTACTCCATCCAAAGGAAGAATACCATGCAAGTTATCTTCCTACCAAATATGAAATACATCTGTCAATAAATAAAAGCTGTATGGGCAAAAGTGTAAAAATCTATTTTTAGCACCCACTGATCCCTACCTAAATCAAAATGATGACCATGCAAGTTATCTTCCTACCATATATAAAATACATCTGTCACTTAATAAAGGCTGTATGAGCAAATGTGTAAAAATTTATTTTTAGCACTGGTGACCTTGACCCAACTGACCACTAACTCCATCAAAGTTTATGTTTCTATCAATTATAAATAACATCTGTCTATAGAATAAGGTCGATACACCTGTAAAAATCTATTTTTAACATTGGTGACCTTGACATTGGTAACATTGACCTTGACCCAAATGACCCCTTAATACACCCAAAGAAGGAGGACCTCCTTTGGCATGTTTGTATTAAACTAAAACATCAACTAAAATATAAAGGCTGTATGAGCAAAAATGTTTATATTTATTTTTAAACCAGTGACCTTGACCCTAGAGACCGCTTACTCCACAAAAAATTAGAGGACCATCAAAGGTATCCACCTACTAAATATGAAAGAAATCATTAAAGAAATTAAGCAATTAGGAGAAATTTAAGATAAATCCAACTTGCCGAAATAGGTTAACCAGACAAGGCCCTATTTTCAAAGTGAAAAAGGGAAATAACTGGGAAATATGGATGACACAGTTATATAACTTGGCAATATCATGTACTTTGTATTGATAAGTAAGTGTGGAAATTATAAAGCCATTAGTATAGATAGAACTTAAGATATTTCCAACTTGCCGTTTTAGGTTAACCATTATTCATTTTCTAAGTGCTGAAAAGGGCAATAACTTGGTAAATATGAAAACCAGAGTTATGTAACTTGCCCAGATCATGTACTTTGTATTGATTAGTAAGTGTGTAAACTTAGAAGCCATTGGTACAGGTAGAATGTAAGAAAAATCCAACTTGCCGTTCTAGGTTAACCACTATATGCCCGGGGGCATAAAAAAAGTTGTCTGCAATTATTAATGTCTTTGAAACCATTTTCAAATCTAGTTTTGGCATGTTCAATTCTTTGGGGTCATACAGTACTTTCAGTAAAGGTATAATAGTAACTTCAAATAAATTACAACTTAGACCAGAGCTCCAAGATTAAACTGAAACAGTACAGCAAAATCTATTGACACCTTAACACACAAAAATCAAAATCAAAGTAGTACTTAAATTTTTTAGGTGAAACATTAATATGAAAGAAAGAAAAACCAAAAACTGCCCCATCCTTGGCGCACAAAAAAAGAAGACATTGCTTTTTCATAAAATTCGAAACAAAAAAAATCATAAAAAGCAAAGATTTATTTATGTACTAATGCAGTCCTGATACTTCATAAAAACAGATCTAAACCTCATGGTCAAGAAGAAATAAGATATGGCTGAATCCGACTACAAATGAGATTTCATCCATCCATAATCAATGAATAACATCAATAAGCATCTAGGTGGTATAGATTTTTTAATAAGTAAAATGTGAGAACACGGCAACATGAATTATATATGTATATTGATTATAATTATTTTGACTAGGGTAACAGCAAGCTAATTACATTTGCAAAGGAACACTCTTAAATTGCTTATCATCTTTTTTCAACATTTTTTTTCTTCACAGCAACTCTGGTTTTGCTACTTGACTTGTACTTTTGGAAGAAAGACAGAACACTCAGGGTAACACAAAAACAAACAAAAACAAACCAGTTATACATGTACAGGTATATAAAATACAATAAAGCACTTAACTAAACATAAATGAGACGCGCCATGACTAAACCAACATTATGCGTTTGCAACCACCATGGTTCCAGACAAGCCTGTGCATTCCCGCAGTCTGATCAGGATCCATGCTGTTCGCTACCAGTTTCTCTACTTGTTATAGGGTGTGTAAGAAAACAGCATGGATCCTGATCAGGCTGCGCGGATGTGCAGGATGGTCTGGATCCATGCTGGTCGCAAACGCATTATCTTGGTTTTGTCATAGCGCAGCTCAAATATGCACCAAGTTTTGCCACTGATCTAACATATAAATCATCAATGTGGAAAAACACTTCAGATTTTTAAAAAAAACAGCCATTCATTACATTAAGTAAAATTAATCTCATGTTTTCAAATCATTTATACTCCATATTGGAGAAAAAAATCAAAATTATTTTTACATAACTACACTACTTGCAAAGACATTGTTATCTTTTTACAAAAATTACAAACTTTTAAAAAAAATGACATTATTGTACACATAGCTGGAATTTTAATGACAAAAGTCAGTACATATATTTTGCATTGATTTTCATAGGCTTTCCAGTATTTTTTTAAAGCAATTTAACCCTCACCACACTAAAATATCACTAACTGTCCATCTTTCATTTGTTCATTTTTTACATTTTCATCTATTACTGAGAATAATTCACATCTTTTTCATCTTTTTTGGTTTTATTTACTTTTTTGCAACATCTGTTGATTACCATAACAAATTGTTGATAACATGGCGGCATACATATTGGTAAATTTTCTTGTCTCAAACATGGTCTGGACAAATTTTGCAAAAATGTGAACTTGCAGGATAAAAAATCCCTATACAGATTTGAAGTGTATGATGTCACAGCTTCCTTTCCATTTAAATATTGTTCTGTGTGTTCAAATGTAGGCTCCAATGCAGAAATAATTGTTACAGAGAAAAAAAAGAAACTGCCAAAAATGTTGAAACAAGGCATTAAATATTCTAAGTCTGAACTATAGAGAAAACACTGGAAAGCCTATTTCCCTGTAAGGAGACGGTCTACGACATTATTGTTGCTAGTATAAAATTGGCTGTCACTGCTGTTAAAAGCACTGTCATAACAAACATAAATCCTTCAGGTTGTCCGATCATGTCTCGTAACCACTGTACGGCTCTCGCAACAAATGACGAAGATGACTTGGATTTCTTTGATTTCTTGCTCTGCAATCAGTATGAACAGGTTTATTTTCTGTCAACTACATAATGTAGCTATGTAATAACTATATAACTAATATAATATCAGCCAATTATAAATAATGGATTAAAACAAGGTACTTATGATTATTATGCCCCTTATATAACATTACACAAAAACAGTCTGCGGTCAAATCTATTGATGAAAATTACAATGGAATTATATCAGAGGGCAATGACATTTCCCAACTGTTTGTGCAAAGAACTGCACACATGATTACTTCCACCTACATAAAGCCTGAGAACGAATTGAATATGCATTATAACAAAACATTTAAATATAGGATTATAATACTCCAGTTTTCTTTTTATTCAGACAATAATTTCTTCATTGGACTGAATACTTTTTATCTCGGCTTTTTACTTGTCCAGAAACATCTATAATCTAAAACGCTGATCTATTAAGTACATTGTATACATCATAAAGATGGACATGTGATTTGTTGTTTACAAAGCTAAATGCCCTTAGAATGCCCTGTGACATAGGGAGCATGACATATCATATTGACCTACTCCTAGTGTTATGTTTTAATAGAATTGCTATAGCAAACATTCTTTTTTTCTTGCTTATTCATTTATCCTGCAAAAATCATTTCTATGATCCCGTAAAAAGAATTTACAGAACAAGAGCTGTAAGTAGTACAGAGTGCTCAACTATTTTCTGTGCTTGATAGAAAAACAAGACTTGAAGAGCATTGATAATGTAAATTTTCTAAGTTTAAAAGAGCCATAATTCTGTCAAAATCCATGCTAAAGTAATAGGCCTTGGACAGTGACCCATTGTGCTCTCAAACATGTCTGTAAACATGTGAAGTTTCAACCCATTTCCTTCAGTAACTTTGAAGATTTGATACTTGATTTCAACCAATAGATCTCCTTATTCTTCAAAAAGTCAAGGTTAAAACTTACATACTCACATATTTATAAGATATATTAAGGTTAGTGTTACTCCTAGAAACAAAACAAGAGCACCTCTAGGCGGAGCATTATATGCCATATGGCACTTACGTTATGCTCCGGATACTGTTTTTAGTTTTAAGGTAATTGTGACCTTGACCTTTGACCTAGTGACCCCAAAATCAATAGGGGTCTTTTGCTCAATATGGACAATCATCCTATGAAGTTTGAATATTGTGGGCCAAATGGAACTCAAGTTATGCTCCAGAAACTGTTTTCAGTTTTAAGGATATAGTGACCTTGACTTTTGACCCCAAAAGCAATAAAGGTTTTCAAACCAATATGGACAATCTTCCTATGAAGTTTGAACATTGTGGGCCAAATGGAACTTAAATTATGCCCCGGAAACTGTTTTCAGTATTAAGGTAATAGTGACCTTGACCTTTGACCTTATGACCCCAAAATCAATAGGGGTCTTCTACCTTATATGGACAATCATCCTATGAAGTTTGAACATTGTGGGTCGAATGGAACTTAAGTAATGCTCCGGAAACTGTTTTCAGTTTTAAGGTAATAGTGACCTTGACCTTTAACCTTTTGACCCCAAAATCAATAGGGATCTTCCACCCAATATGGACAATCATCCTATGAATTTTGAACATTGTGGGCCAATTGGAACTTAAGTTATGCTCGGGAAACAAAATTGCTAACGGACGGACGGACAGACTCCAGGGGGTATAACATAATATGCCCTTTCGGGCATATAAAAATTGCAAGAATGTTTTTTTTATAAATCTAACCTTTGCATCAAGGAGTCCTTGTTGTTGGAGAAAGTTGACTAAAGTAGGCTCATCTTTGGTTACAACAGGTAAATATTCTCCTGTCAGCTCTCTTGTCCACCATTTACCTCCATTCCTGTATAATGATAATGAGAAAACACGCATCTTATAAGAGTATCTGATAAACAAAACTACCAATAATGATTGATGAATAATCCTGGTATTGCTATGTTTTCTATGCATAAAAAATAAGCATTTTTGTGAGAAAGAGTTGGAAAATCTATTTCTAGCCTCAATGAATTTGATCCTGTTGGACTGTGAATCTGGTGACCCAGGTTCGATTCCCGTACGGCGCAGGTCACTTTTGATGTGATTGATCATGAAATCCTTTCTACAGTCATTTGCACTGTACCTCTATTCTTGCATGTACATAAGTAATCAGTTTCTTGGGAAAGTGAAGAAACTAGTACTGGTAAACTGGCTGACAGCATGCCCAGGAACAATGTGGTAGCTGAACTGTGCTCTGGTAAATGTAATGTGGCTTACTGCCATGATCTGGAGTGAAAACTACCAACACCACAACAACCCTGTCAACTTGAAGCCCCACTTTTGAGTACACCATGAAAGGTTCCAAACACAACAAATAAAATATCAGTTTATGAATAAAAGTATTATGAGAAAAAGAAAGTGTTAAACAAAGGACCTATAATTTTAGGGAGCATAAAAAAAACTTTTTTGACAAACATCACTACCAACTTCTCAATATCATTCAAAGTAGAGACTAATCAATTATATATAACGGACATAACAATACTATTACAGAAAGATAGTTTATCAGGCTAAGATTGTTACTTGTTACATTAACATTCTGCCAAAAAAATTAGCTGGCATGTAAGCTACTAGGGCAGCATAATTATTATAACCCTATCTGTCTCTAAATATGTAATACAGTTACTGTCACTTCTACCAAGATGTTTAAGTATAAGACAAGTAAAGTTATGGTCAAAACAAACTTACAGTTTGACACCTCCATCTTTCGAAAAGTGATATTTATAGAGTTGTGCTCGGAGATATTTTGGTGGTTTATCTGGGAATGGATTGTACTGGATCAACTCTAGGACGTCCCTCTCGTTTGTCAGCAGACGATAGGCAAGATTCAAGAACCAGGTGTTATGTTGATAACTTCCAAGAGCTGCAAACCACATCTGCCAGTCCAGCCTAGGCTGGTGAGGAGCTGGAATAGAATATCAATCATGCTTATTTATTGCAAGACTAGTTACAAAAGTCTGGCATGTTTTGTTGGTTTAATATTTTTGATCCTGTTGCTGTGTCAGGCATTGTAGTTTGCAATGTTACAAGGATTAAACCAAAACATCAAAATAAAACAATCAAAAAGATCAAAAATTACAATCCCAATTAATATCTTAATAAATGAACAGTATATGTATTGCTTCTTTTCATTTACCAATCCAACAACTACAAAACTGAAATGAAAAACCCAGTTCTTAACACTTTCAGACCCATCATATGTTTCATAATAAAATTCAAATTCAGTTTTCTCCATGTAGTAGAAACAGTTTCAACTTTTATTTTGAGTTTAACATCAGAGAATAACCATTACTTTAAGAATGCTGATCCCAAAATTACAAAATCGTCAATCAAGTAAATTCATTAAATGGATCATATTCATTGGTTAAGAAACTAATCTTGGCAATCAACCAACCAATCAGATTTTGATTTTAAAAATTATGCGCAACTTTTACAATTCATCAAATTGGTAGTAAGATTATGTTCAGCTGTTCTATATGTAAATATTGTATCAATATTTATTTCAATATATAAAGTTCAATCAGATCCACTCTAAATCTCTGATTAACTCTTTTACCAAACTCAACACATTTACATACCAACAACTGGAGGTCGTCTGCCAAGATCTCCAGGTTTATAGAAGAATTCGTACTCCCTCCATCCAGAGTCTCGAGAGTTACTTCCCTCTATAACAACTTCAGGTCGGCCTCCCACACCTGTCATTCTATATCAACAAAGAAATAAGGCCAGTCATTTAGCCACTCTTTTTTTTCTCTCATAATTTTAATTTCATCATTCTATACATCATATGGTCTCGACATTTCTATGCAACATTATGATTTTTTTTAAAGAACAACAGTGAGTTGTTTTCAAGATATGTGGACCAGGTCAGATCCAACAACTTGTGTGCTTAATTTCAAAACATTCACAGGGTCTGTTCAAAATGACCCAAAAATGAAGTTTTTAAAAGGCCAAGAATTGCACAAAAATCAAGGACAATATTTTAGATTTCTTTTCTGTCAATTTCTTACAAATTAAGGTAATGAAACTTTACTAACTTGTTTTTGTGTGTGCTTTTATGTTAAGGCAAAATGGTACAGAAAATCACATACAATTTGTTTGTGTAAAATATTTATGTATGAAACATTAGAATTAGATTATATATTTGATTATATTTTGATATTCCTATGTGAATGAAGTGAAACATATGTTTTCGTTTAGAATCTACTAAATACATGCACTGAACACACTATAAGTAGATCTTGTACAAACCGTCTGAACAATCCATATGAGCTGGTAAGATGGAAGTTGTTCACTCTAGAGTGGAGAGTCTTTGCCTGTGGTGGCACTATTTTCTCTGCATCCCTGTGAAGGCTGGAATATGGTACCTGTAACATTAACAAACCATACATCCACTATAGCCTAGTTTGATGTCTACAGTTATTTCCCTTAGTTATTATAATTTCTTCTGTTTTGATTATCATTATTTTTCAATAATACAGGAGTACATGTGCATTTCATAAATAATAATATGTTTTTAAGCAAGTTAATAACATAATATTTCTAAGTGAAACATGCAAAAAAGCATTATAAATCTGACAAATGTTTACAGGCCAATTATCTCAGCCCAATTTCTGCACAGTTTCATTATTAATTACATTTCTACTGACTAGTTTGTTTTTTTTCTTCGGTTTAGAAGGTACATATATCAGTGGACCCAAATTTGTGCAATCCATACATAATGACTGTGACAAGGAAACCCAAAATTTCCCTCATGAAATTGTCTCATTATGGTTTACATTTCTGCAAAGTAGTTTCAATTTCCTCTCCTGGGTTCAAAGGATGAAGAGTGGAGAGAATATTAAATTTCTAACAGACTGACTGAAGTCTAGGTGTATAAATAAATAAATAATCAGGACTTAATAAAACTAGAACTATCACTAAATGTGATTAATACCCCCACAAGTCTGCTTTGGAAATGAGGATGTTACTAGTAACAGAATACCTTGTAATAGAATTGAAACATAGAGTTATGGTTGTGGGCAATTAAAGATAATTGTGGTTCATGTATGTTGCATTTCCTTTCAATGCGGTTGGTCATTGATGAAGTTTAATTGAATTACTCTGTAATAAGTCCAGAAAGACAAAGAAAAAGAACAAAGGGCAATAACTCTATAAATACTGAAGATAAAGTTATAGTTCTTGTGCACTGCACTTCCTCTTATTGTGCTTGACCATTGTATGAAGTTGTTTTGAATTCCAACCAGTATGTTTTAAGTTATGCTCCGGACAAGGAAAAATATCAAAGGGCAGTAACTCTGTATTTTGTCAAAATGGAGTTATGGCTCTTGTGCACTGCACTTCCTTTTAATGTCCTTGACAACTGTATGAAGTTGTACTGAATTCCAAACAGTAGTTTTCAAATTATGCTCTGGACAAGGAAAAGTAACAAAGGGCAATAACTCTGTAATTAGTCAAGATGGAGTTATGGTTCTTGTGCACTGCACTTCCCCTTATTGTGCTTGACCATTGTATGAAGTTGTTTTGAATTCCAACCAGTAGTTTTCAAGTCCTGCTCTGGACAAGGAAAAGTAACAAAGGGCAGTAACTCTGTAATTAGTCAAGATGGAGTTATGGTTCTTATGCACTGCACTTTCTCTCAATGTGCTTGACCATTGTATGAAGTTATAATGAATTCCAACAATAAGTCTTCAAGTTATGGTCCGGACAAAAGAAAGCAATGGAAAAGTAACAAAGGGCAATAACTCTGTAATAAGTCAAGATGGAGTTATGGTTCTTATGCACTGCACTTCCTCTCAATGTGCTTGACCATTGTATGAAGTTATAATGAATTGCAACAATTAGTCTTCAAGTTATGGTTCGGACAAAAGAAAGCAATGGAAAAGTAATAAAGGGCAATAACTCTGTAATTACTTTAGATAGAGTTATGGTTCTTTTGCACTGCACTTCCTCTCAATGTGCTTGACCATTGTATGTAGTTATATTGAATTCCAACCATTAGTCTTCAAGTTATGGTCCGGACAAAAAAAAGAAGGCAATGGAAAAGCAACAAAGGGCAATAACTCTGTAATTACTTTAGATAGAGTTATGGTTCTTGTGCACTGCACTTCCCCTTATTGTGTTTGTCAATTGTATGAAGTTGTTTTGAATTCCAACCAGTAGTTTTCAAGTTGTGCCACGGACAAGGAAAAGTAACAAAGGGCAATAACTCTGTAATTAGTCAAGATAGAGTTATGTTTCTTACGCACTGCACTTCCTCTCAATGTGCTTGACCATTGTATGTAGTTATATTGAATTCCAACCATTAGTCTTCAAGTTATGCTCCGGACAAGGAAAATGCAACGGACAAAAAAAAGAAGGCAATGGAAAAGCAACAAAGGGCAATAACTCTGTAATTACTTTAGATAGAGTTATGGTTCTTGTGCACTGCACTTCCCCTTATTGTGTTTGACAATTGTATGAAGTTGTTTTGAATTCCAACCAGTAGTTTTCAAGTTATGCCCCGGACAAGGAAAAGTAACAAAGGACAATAACTCTGTAATTAGTCGAGATAGAGTTATGGTTCTTGTGCACTGCACTTCCTCTCAATGTGCTTGACCATTGTATGTAGTTATATTGAATTCCAACTATTAGTTTTCAAGTTATGCTCCGGACAAGGAAAATGCAATGGACGTCTGGACCGACCGACCGACCGCCCGACCGACCGACCGACCACCGGGTGACTCCTATATACCCCCCCAAACTTCGTTTTTGGGGGTATAATGAATGACAGTTATATAATACTGTAACAATATGGTGAGATCCTTACTTTCATTACAGGAAAGGTACACAGTCAGATAATAGCAAAAATATTCCTTCAAGTAATACATTTGATATTAAAATTTAAAAGGCACAAAGTGTGTAAGGAACAAAATATTATCTAACCAAGCAACTTACTAAGGAGATGGCAAACATAGTGGCTCCAATCACAGTGTATATTAAAACCTGAGTAGCAGCCCAGTTTTTCCAAAAACTGCCCTTTACCTCTGTATAGCATCTGTAATGTATAATCATAATAAACAACCTGAAATATTTGACATAAATCTACTAATTTTGGTCAGAATTACTACTGCAAATTTTGGTCTAAATACCTGTCATACTTTTCAATTGTTCAATATCTTAAAGGCTTTCCAGACTAACTTTTAGATGCCCTGCAACTTTCTTTTAATCTGTGCTATTCTCATCCAACAGTGACAAAATACACACTGCATGTATTTTAATTTCTACATGTTTTTACATAGTTTGTGATTTTGCAATATTTTAAATCAATCAATATCTGTAGACATTGACAAAAACTATATTCTATTAATATATCTTTTTTATATATACAGGATTTTAACATGTATTCATGTTTATGCTTTTCTTAATGATATAATAATAATATATAAGGGGAGTGGCTGCCTAGAGGTTAAGGTGTCGAGCCATACTCGGGTCACGACCATGTTTCTTCATGTCATATGACACCAGTACTGGTACTCTATACTGATGATGATGTCAAGTCACCACCACTACCAGGATTTACTATATCCACTATGATAATTACACATGTTATATCAAGATGTTATACATGTAGTTTACCTTATTAGAGCCACCAGCACCTCAAAAGCAAATGAAAAAGCACCAAACCAAATAGTCCAAGGCACTACCACTGACAGGAACCGGTCAAAGTCCTTCTGAGAGAAAGCTGGAAAAAAAGTTCACTAAATTCAGCAACATTATGTCTACCAGTACTGCTTAAGATATTCATAAAAGCTTTATAGAATTTTCTTCTGATGTTCCATTACTGCTCTATGGTAAGTTCTTTAAAAGTTCCATAAATGTTTTAAAGTATTTAATTCTTTAGAGTAGACATTCCATAAATGTTTTTAATAATTTTGATATTCCATAAATGTTTTCGGTATTTTTCATTAGATGTTCAATAAATCCAGTTTAATGTATAAATGTTTTTCAGATATTTTATGATGATCCATAAATATTTTTTAGATATTTTTTTTTAGATGTTTAAATGTTTAAGTATAGTACTTTTGATGTTGGACTGTTTTATATTTCATAGAAATGTTCTTTCAATGCCCTATATTGTACCATTTTAGAGGGATATTCAATGTGTTCAAATATACTACTTAAGCTATTCCATGAGGGTGTTACTAAAGTTGTTCTAGTGTTACTTAAAATGTTCCATGAGGATCGTACTTAAATTGTTTCATGAGTGTGTTAAAGCAGCACATCTCCAGATTCATGTTTATTTTCATGAAAATTTTGAAAAAAAAGTAAAATATTGTGAAGTGAACGAAGAAAATAATTTTTACATTGTAAACAGCATAAACAATCAATGTAAATACCAGAGGTCAAAATACGCAAAAATAACCCTTACTGCGTTAGTAACGCAGTAGAAATATGGGGGAAAATACTGCAGAATTGGTCATAAATCGCTTATAACATAGAAGTTATTATTTTTATCTTGTATCTTTTTACTTTTCTTAAAATCTCAGTGCTTTTTACGCAAGTTTTTATTTCCTGAAATATTTTAGCTCATCTGGAGGCATGCAGCTTTTATTCAGTTGTCCCATGAGGGTATTACTTAAATTGTTCCAGTGTTATTAAGTTGTTCAATGAGGCTAGTACTTAAATTATTCTATGAGTGAGTTACTTAGGTTGTTCCATGAGGGAATGAAAGTTGATCATTTAAATTAGTTGTTCCTAAACTGCTTTGAAGTACTTATACATGTATATAAATTTAGATCTATGTTAAAAAGTAAATCTCATAGAAAAGAATAATTTTACCAGCAAGTAGACTCACCAATTTTAGAACCTATAGTATAATCATCTTTCAGATTCAGTCCAAACTGTTTAACAGTCTGGTAACCTAGGTAACCAAACACAACTACACTCATTAACTTGTTGATTATACTTGAAGATGATGTTGACTCTGAAACAAAATGTTACAAAATAATTATCATAATTATACATTATACAAAACCTTTGATAAGACTTTATTAAAATGACATTTTGCCCATCCAAGGGTTAACAGTGAGTGAACAGGTGAATAAAAATAACTTTACATTTTGCCATAATTCCTTTAAATTTTATATTTGTTGACATGTTTAATCAAATTCTGACTTTTTAAAACTTTGTTTGCTCATCAGAAGGTGTGCAGTTTTCAATTTTGTCCAATTACTAACATCTTGATTATATTCTTATTTACTTACTTTTATTGCGATAGCCGAGAAAATCATCATCTAATAGAGCAATACTCAGTGCTATTGTGAGCAGGTTGAAAAAATTGTAATTTCCTGTCACGATGATCAACAATTGTAGCAGTACCTGAAAATATATACAAGTAAAATAGCTTATAAGCAATGCCAAATACTGACAAAGTGTAACTTCTCACCATCCATATTTCATAAAGTCAAGGTGACTCTGTAACAGAGAAGCACCAGATGGAGGTGTTTCCTTGATTGTGCGTTTCTTGCTTTTTTCATGATGCGACAAAATTCAAAACTTGTGTTTTTTCATGACACAACTTAATTATTAGGTGTTTGGTCAATATTTGGTTGAAAAATTAAATCTTTGACTATAACAGATGACAGGACAAAACTGTTAAATCGCAAACAATTGTTGATTGACTGTTTCAATTAGCAATATGGTACCGAATATCTTAATAAATAACTTAAGCAAATCAGAGCAAAAATTTTCACAGGGGATCAATTAAACACTGCAAATGGCATTTCAAAAGAAAAGGCAATGCATTTAGAGTTATTAATTTACAATGACAATTGACCTTCCCTAAGCTAGCTGGATATATTCCTTGTATGAAAGAATTTAACGTCTGCTACAGCAGATACAAACCCATAGTGGTGTGGGGCAAGACAGCTGTTCGATTAGTTAGTATTAATATTGCGGTTCAGATCAGAATATTCGTCCTGAGGGAACCCGCCCGTGGGCAATAACGAGGCTTCCCAAGGGATAGATATTCTGATCTGAACCGCAAACATATGTCAGATATTTTTTCTTGCATATTCTACCATATTCCATTATATTTTAAACTCTTTATCTTAATAAAACAATTTTATATAGAAATTTATGTCATTAAATCATTAACTATTTTCTTACAACAGGGTATGAAATTACAACTTCATCCATAATGGTAACATTACGCCATTGTACAGCACGCGACTCATCTGGCACCACCCATGCCAGATGAAATTTCCGGCATGGTTAAAACTAATGGAAACACAAGCCTAATAGGTAAAATACTTATTGAGAACTGAAGAACGGGGTTTATCAAATTAACAAAAGATGATACACCACTAAATAAGCATTTTTCCGTGCTCAAAGCAAATTCTTTGTAACCCATTTTTCAGCAAAAGAGGCTAAAAGGATTTAAGTATTGTAACAAATCTACTTAAGAATATTTTATTGAACACATCAAAGACTGATGGACACAAAAAGAAAAGAAAATAGACATAAAAGAACTCCAATCTTTATCATTAAACTGAAGTGCACAGGTGCACTTCCCTTTATTGATAAGTAAAAAAATTGATTAAGTAAAAAAATCCATCACAACATTTTGTTAATCTTTAAGCTCATGATAAAAATCAGCAATCTTAACAGAATGACATGTCATTTTCTGATATAAATCATTCATTGCAACACTGTTTTAACACTGTTCTATAAGCTAATTCAGTTATGATGGTATTACGTCAAACACTTGATATTTAAAGTATTTTAATACAAAAATAGAATAAAAACACATAATGTAAAATCAGTAAATTTCACAGGTGACTTCAAATCATTTGGTTTTTATCACAGTGATGTCTTATCCCTCTTGGAGTTCTGATTTCGTCAATTGCGGAAATAACTATAATACAGCTTGCTTATAGAAGGTCAAATGGAACTACCGAAGTTCCTGTAATGCGCAAAGGGGCACCTAAGGTCTTCCTCCATCAACAAAGCTGGGAAGTTGTGTTAGATCTTCACAGCCAGTGAAACTCAAAACCAAAGCAAAGAAAAAATGACATTTTCATAGGACTTTTAACATTTTCAATTTTGTTTTTGACATTCAGCTTCTGTTGATAATAGAATTTTTAAATTTAAATTAGTAACACACGAAAAATATGATTTTACAGCTCCTTTAAAGTGGCACTTTTGGATCAATCTAATAATAAAAGCATGTCTTCAGAATGTATTGAACACAATTATAAAAAAAAATCTATAAGGTATAACTTAATACAAATACAAAATTAATTGCTTTCTATTTAAACAGGTTTTTTTCCTAAATAAAACTCACAATAGAAGTATTGACTGTACAAACATAAAGTATATCAGACTTAAACCTTGATCAAAGAAATAAATTCCTATACTAAATTATATTAAGTAGATTTGTTTTAACTGTAAGTTATTTTTTTGTAACATTAAAAGCCCTTTCAATACCTTTCATATTATCATATCTTATACTATTTTTATAAAATCTTTTTCTATTTTTCTAAAATAAAACTGATACAAAACACATTATTTCAGGTAATGGGAACAGTTCAAACTCAGATTTCTGCAATTTTTGAAGACAAAATTACTTCCTGTGCAGCAGACACAGGTTTTATAATTCAGATTAACTAAAATGGACAAGACTCAAAACAGAGATTCACCAAAGTCATTGACTCTTTTCTCAATACTTTCACCTAAATCAGTGAGGACTGCATGAAATAATCGCCAAACCTTCTTAAATAGTGACATAATATTTTGTTCAGGAACATTTTATTATGTTTACGTACAAGTGATTTAGTTTTAAATTTTAGGTCATTTTTCAGAAGGAGATACTAAAGAAGGAATTACTATTTTATGGGAACAAAACTAAACAAAATTTCATTGTTTTCATATCAAGCACCGAGGAGTCAGGAAATTTTATAAAAGAAGGTTCAAAAAGGAGTTTCAGTCCTATTAATATTGCACACTTTAGTAGCAAAGCAGTGTCAAAACCAGCCTTTGTGTTCTGTGTTAAAAATGTATAAAGCTATATATCTGCTGCAAAATTATTTGAATTTTAAAAAAGAATGCTTCCAAAATGCATGTATGAAATAAACATGGTAGAAAATTGCCTTAAAAGCGAATGACGCAGGCACAAAATCATTGCTAAATGGATAAAACCCTACTCAAAATAGCAAATAACATTTTGTTCTGGAACATTTTATTCTGTTTAAATACAATATTCATGCATGTTGACCCTTTACCTCATATATACGCGAAACAATGCACTTTCGACCCACCCCCCTTTTTTAGGCCTGAAATAGTGAAAAAATGTCCTATTTGGGCCCCAAACACATGTTTTCGTTTGAGAAATGTTGCTAAAAACAGTGAGCACTTTTTCCGCGCCGTCCCCCATCCAAATGTTACATCAGGGCGTTGACAGAAGGGGGATGTGGGGGGTTTGAAAGGGGGCAGAGTTCCCCTCATCGCCAAGAAAATGTTGGACTTGTGAGAGGCTAAAAATGACCCCAGGTCGATCATAAGGTAACGTGTAACCAACGCTGAAAAGCCTTTGACTCTATCTCAATCCCTTGAGAAGTTGCAGCACTTTGAAATAAATTTTGATGTAAAAAATTGAAGCAAAATAGTGATTTTGGGCAATTTTGAGATGTCCCCTCGTTGCCATGGTAACAGGAAATTTAAGAATGAGCATGTTGTTACAAAGGCAATGGTCCAGTCAACATTTGTGCCAAGTTTGATTAGTATTGAAGCATTTTTCATAGTTTCATAGCAGTTTGAACTTGTAACAGGAGGTTTTTCAGTGAAAACAGCCATTTTTCACAATATGCTCATGGGGGAAAGGGTTAAATAACAGTGTTAAATAACAAAGACATTCTATGTAACAACTTTTTCGGGAATCAACCATATAATAATGTATCCAATATAATTTTACAGTTAATAAATTTTATGAAAATATTTCATAAGATATAGATTTAAACCCTTTAATTTACAAATCATCATTAATGTTATGACAAGACCATGAATCATTTCTACAACTGCTATACATAGTAATGTATATTTGCCAGTATGAATGAATATGAAGAGTGCACTTAATAATTTTCATGCCCTTCGTTTTATAATAATTCTTAAAATGACTTTTACAATTCCTACACCGTTTGTGTTTATCAATTCACGAAAACAGTTTAAATATTGCCTGATACGGGTATCAATGGGTCAAGTTGCATGTTTTAACCTTGCCGTATATAGATAAGCCTACTATAAGCAACTTTTATAGTACAATGTACTTCCATGGATAAATATACACCATAATTACTTATCACAACGCTACTTGAAAAAATCCTATAAATTTTAATCGATAAGCGTTCGGTAAGAAAAACCTGATGAAAATTTGTATGAATTCTGATGAAAATTTGTATAAAGTACAAATATGACTATAATGCAAAAACTTAACCTTTTTTTCTGGCTTTTAATTGTGTAAAAGGCAGTTAAAATCATTCTTATTTTCTTTGGACTATCTATCTTTAATATTAGATGGAAACAAAACTTCAACATTTTTCACAAAGCATTGGCATTTTTTTCAGAGACTGTGTTATATTTTGAATAATAAACTAATTAAAATAAATATGCAAAGTCTCCTCCATCCTCCATATCAAGCTGTTAACCAATTTTTTGAAAGAAAGGACCAAGTGTTCAATGAAACATAATTGTCAGGGGGGTGGCATTTAATGTGTGAAAAATGCATAATTTCCACTATTTTTTTAGAACTATCTTAAGTTATCACCTGTTTCTAAAAATACTAAGAAACACAATCTGGACAGGAAAGGACAGGGCAGGACTATGTTTGGTTGGGGTATAATAACATTACTGCATTGGCTTCTTTCTGTTGACATACTCTTACCAACTTTATTTACATATTCACTTGACTTTCTAATAAGGTTTTATCTATGTGTCGAACTGACTAAATAAATGAGTTGATAAAGCCACAACAGTATTGAATAGCTATAGTAGAATAATTTAAATTAACTTTTCTTCCTGCAATATTTTATCTTACTTATATAGTCCCGAAAAAATGTAAACATTTCATACCAAACTTTTATAAATTTTCATTTTTCAATAAATACCATGTATATATAAACCACCTCATTATAAGCGTAATTGTTCACGGGTATTTGTAGTAGAACATGTATGATTCTATCAATAATACGCTTATTTCTACAGCTATTGAAGTCTTGTCATTTAATGGTCGCAATTATTTGAATTGGCACAAAGGGTAGGTGTCGTCGACGATCAACTTGGTAGATCAAACACAAAAGCCTTCTGATTGGATATATAACGCTGTA